GCAGTCATTGTCCCTCTAGACATAGCATTGCCTTCTTGGATCAAGAAGGCTAACCAGAACTTCTGTTTGAACTACGGTCTCAAAGCTAAGGAAATACAATCAATGATACAAAGCCTGATAGGGAATTGACTCACTTACAAATATTCATTCCTCATGAACAAAGTATAGACAGGACACTGGCTGTGAAATTGTAGTGCTGGTCCCTGGTTTGAACCCAGGCAGGGCTCTTCATTCTAAGCTACAATAAAAATGGTGCCCCAGAGACCTAGAAATACAAACTGCTTTATGAAAGTTCAGTTTCTTGTCATTTTAATTGGGTAGCTTTTTGACTTACCTGGGGGTAAAATTGTGTATGTGAAATGACATATGGAAACAGTATATTTTCTGAAGTTCTGACAGAGGATTATGAAGGGTTTTGAAATTTGAAGTTGCAACCGTGTATAAGTATTACAGAAGAGCCCTTAATTCCCTGTCAGTTTAAGGGGGTCCTCCTAAACTCATCATCACTCAGGGTTGAAATGCCTAGTCTGTAATGTCTCCTTGCTGTTGTCACTGTTCATTCTTAGGTTCAGGCCAGGACTAATCTAGAAAACATTATCTTAATTCCTTCTCTCATATCCTAAGCAGTACATTTTATTAAGACGTTTTATGTTAAAAGTACATCTTGTGTCCGGTTCTGAGATTATTGTCCCATAAGTGAATTAGCTTTCATTTAATTAGTCTGGGTTGTTTCCATTTAGCCATATTAAAGAACAAGCCAGTCTGGAAAAAGCAATCCCATGATGCATGACTTTGGTATATCCCTTAATAATGGGAAGTGTTTTGAAACTCACGGAAGAAATGCTTGATGCTTTGTAATAAAGAAGCATTTGCAAATGCTTTGTAACAGAGTCATCGACTAGAGAGCAGAGTGGGTAAGCATAATGGGAAGCCAGGAGGTGCTTGGAGATTTCCTAACCACGATGCCATTCGCTTATATATCCAAAGGGCTACTTTGGAGCCATCATCCAGATCCATCAGTGGTTTAAAGGTGATTGTGTTTTCTTCCCTTACTGTTGCATATCATATGCTGCTGCCATGGTCACCAAAGGCCTGGGAGGGAAACTATATCAGTCTTGTCTTTTTTTCTTCAAAATACAACAAAATCCAAACTAATCAGCTATTAAAGTCAAGTTGTTTTATATGTCACTTTATCATGAGAAATGCTGACAACATGTATGATTTCCACACTAAGAACTCTGTACCAATTGTGACTTAGTTCTTTGTTCTACTGGGTGGCTTTTCTCTTGTCATACTGTATATTTTCACCTTGTGGCACCGAATGTGTTGCTGTGATACATGGGTGGATCCTGAGCCATGGTTAAACAGCCAAGTTCTGGTGTTTTTATATTATGTGACAGTTTTGTGAAAATGCTTTTTTGCATTTTTTGTCTTCTTTTCCAAGTTTTGAAACCTGTCATAAATAAACTTTTTCACTGTGCATCTAACATACTTGAATTCTCTCTTAATAAACCTGGCTGATATTCATGTGAAACTTCATCTTTTCTCTTTAGCTTAAGAGGAAAAGTATTCAGTGAATCCTGTGAATTCATCCATAATCTACTAGGATTGTAAAATTAAGAAAAGTTAAGACTAAGATGAATGTCTGTATGTAACGGATGATGGGAAGATGATCCAGGTATCAAGAGTAGTTGCTGCTCTTATAGAGGACCCAGGTTCAGTTCCCAGGACCCCATGGTAGCCCGCAACCACCTGTAACTCCAGTTCCAGAGAATCTATTCTTTTCTGGCCTCCAGTGGCATTGTATATACATGGTACCTAGACATACATGCAACCCAAACACCCATCACATAAAATAAAAATAAAACTTAAATCTTTGGGCTTGGAGAGGTGTGCAAGAGATTGACTACAAGTCAAGAGCACCTGGACTTGGTCTTCTGACACAGCTATTCCTGCCTTAAGGGATCCCGTGTCTTCCTCTGACTTTTTCTTTTTTTTACGAGACAGGGTTTCTCTGTATTGTTTTGGAGGCTGTCGGACCAGCCCAGCCTCGAACTCACAGAGATCTGCCTGCCTCTGCCTCCCGAGTGCTGGGATTAAAGGTGTGCAACATCACCATCCGGCTTCCTCTGACCTCTTAAGGCACCAGGCATGCACATGGTGCACACACATATATGCAGACAAAACACATATATGAAATTTTCCAATGTAAAAATTAGTTCATGGCAGAGCATTATGAAATGGGAGCTAGGCTTGGGGAAATTAGGTTTATAGCAATGATTGATAAAATTACTTTAACTTGTAAAATAGTTCACACCTGTCATATGACAGCTCACAAATTGCAGCTCTTGGCATCTTACGAGTATTCACAAATCAGAATGGTGCCTGATCTTGGAACCAAGAGCTAGGTGAGTGTTACATTGGAATACAATGAGTATCTTACAAATGTGTATCCACCTGCTTACTCAATACATTTACCTCTTCCTATAATGGATAGATAAACTTTTTGGGGGGAAAATTCTGCATTTTTGTTTTATGCTCCATGCCCAGTACTAGGGATTGAATTATTATTTGGTTTATTCTCCAACTTTTTCCTGCTTGCTTTACTCCTCCTAAAGTATTTGCTGAGACTCATTGCTCCCATGGGATTGGAACACCTTCCTTATGTGATTCAGTGTTGGACCACTCTGATGATGTGTTCTTCCTCTACTGTGGCTACCCTGACCCCAGGAACTATATCGGGTCTTTCTGTGGTCCCAGTGTTTGCTGATTTTCACAAATCTGACAAATGGCATGGAAAGGAAGGGCTTTGGCCCCTCAACATTTTGAGAGAAGCCCCTATTGAGAAATGCCCCTTACAAACGTGATGATCATTGATGCAATTTGAATGTTTGTGACAACTCCAAAATTCACAGAGAGATATAATCCCCAATGCAGCAGTATTAAGAGGTGAGGCCTTTAGGCATTAAAGGCACTGCCTTAGTAAATAATAGGGTTTAGTATTTCATAAAGCAAATAGGGAGGAACTACTTTGGATCTATTTTGGTCCTCTCGGTCAGGGATATGGCATCAATGGCACCATCCTAGAATCAGTAGCTTTTACCTGATAGATAACCACCTTCATCTTGAACTTCCTGTCCTCCAGAATTGACAAAAAATAATTTTTTATTCTTTATAAATTATCAAGTCTCAGGCATGTTGTTATAGAGGTACAAACACAGTCTTGGGTAAGGTATAGATCTCACCCCTGAATGTAAGAATTTATTTGATGAGTTGGAAGAGTAGGTAGTTTTAAAAAACTCTGCTTAGAAACATAATTATCGCCAAGCATTGTATCCACCTGGTTTGTCTGCTGGAGGCAGTGTACATATCTAGGGGAAACATATGCACCTTTATGATCTTATAGGGCCCCCATATTCCAACTTAGCATACATGTGGGGGGCAAGGCCAGGCTTAGGGCTTGATCAAGAATGAGCGACCCCAGGGCTGGAGATATGGCTTAGCAGTTAAGAGCACTGACTGTTTTTCCAGAGGACCAGGGTTCAATTCCCAGCCTCCACATGGCCAGCCACTCACAACGATCTGTAATTCCAGTTCCAGGGGATCCAGCATCCTCATATAGACATACATGCAGGCAAAACACCAATGCACATAAAAATAAAAATAAATTATTAAATACTGAGTGATCCATGGTTTCTAGTTTAGTGTTGGATCAGGCAAGTTTCTTATGGAGAAACCAGGTAAATCTAGAATAATTTAGGGCTGGGCACTGGTGGCACACACCTTTGATCCCAGCACTCGGGAGGCAGAGGCAGGCAGATCTCTGTGAGTTCGAGGCCAGCCTGGTCTACAGAGCAAGTTCCAGGACAGGCTCCAAAACAATACAGATAATCCCTATCTCAAAAAACCAAAAAAGAAAAAAAAACAAAAAAAGCAGAATTTAGGAAAAGGTTCCACATGGCAGAAGGGCAGGCCAGATATGCCACTGAGCTCCCTCATTGCCGTATCTACCTTCCTTGACTTCTCTCTGGCTTTGTTGAGACAAAAGCTGTCTGGCTCTGGTCATCCATGGAATCTAAAGGAGAGGTCACAAAGGAGGGGCATGATGGGGAAGGAAGTGCCCTGGGACTGAGCTGGAGAAAAGTTGAGAACAATGCTTCTACTCAAACAAGACACACAGACCTCAGTTCCCTGTTTACCCTCAGCAGCTCAGGAGAAATTAAACAGCAGGTTTGGATTGCATTTTGATTTCCATTGTACACTGCCTCAGTCTTCAGCATTGCCAAGTATTGGGACCTGCCCTTCCTAGGGCAGCAAGTGATGAGCTGTCACCCAGCTAATCTGAGCTGGAATTGGTCAAGCTGTCTACACTGCACATGAAGGAGGCCATTTCCCATCCCCAGCGCCATTCACGGTGGATTTCATCAAAGGGCCTAATCCTGGGAGTAGTTTGGAGCCGGGTTCTCCTTAGGATGAGTTAACTGGTGAGAGGGCCAGCAGAGCTGTCAGTGCTGGTGCAGACATGTCTCAGCAGCCCAGTGCTTTGCTCCAGGAACCCAGCTGGTCACTAGACACTCATGCTTATTAACTCTTCCCTCCTTGGATCCAGTCTAGTTCTCTCTGGCAGGCTGTGCCTTTGGGTGTCAGGAGCCAAGCTTGCCATAGGAAGAGCAAAAGGCTAACAAGACTTTCTAAGTACAGAGTCTAGACATGGTTTCCGGTTAGTGGGAAAGTTCATCTTCTGGGACCCAGTTCAGTCCTACGGCACACTTTGGAGGTCTGCCTTCAACTAATGACTAAACTCAGTGTAAATGTTTTCTGGGGTCAAGTTTAATAAGAATAGATAAGGAGGAGTTCAGGTTTCCCTGTGGCACTTAGTTAAATCTGCCAGGCATTTTTAACCAGCATCTTACGTCATCTTCATGGCTGCCCCATGACAGATAGCAGGGGTCTTGGCTTCTTCTCTGTTGCTGTGACAAAATACCCTGACAAAAGCAACATAAAGGAAAAAAAGGTTTATTTTCACTCATAGCTCCAGGTTACGTCCACAATGGCGGGGGAAGTCACAGCATCAGTGGGAGTGGCTGATCACACTGCATCCATAGACAGAAGACAGCAACGGATACATCCACAATAGTGCTCAGCTCTTTCTCTCCTCTTACAGGCTCTGGGATTCTCTTCATCCTAAGGAATCCCAGGGTATCCTCACCATCCTGGGGGATCCTCTGCCATCCTAGGGGGTCCTCCAACTAGGGGATCCACTACCATCCATGACAGTCTTCCCACCTCAACATTACCAATATAATCCCCACAGACATTCTTAAAGGTCCTTCTAGGAGACTAGGTTTTTTTCAAGTTGATAGCATTAGCCATTATAGCAGGTCATGTGTGTGCCCACACCCAATCCTAATGTATGGTAGATGAGAGGATTAAGGCAGGATGAAGTTGAAGGCGAGATATATCCTACTAACTTCATTTCTCTAGAGAAAATTAATACTGGGGGCCTCAAAGAAATGTCATGAACTCCCCACAGTTTCTGCTACTTCCTGAGGGAAGAGGTCAAGTTCAAATCCTCTGCTACAACTCATTCATTTCTGAGTCTGTTCAGTTTACCCAGCATCTGAGCCCTATTACCTTCCCTGTACCACTGGGGCATGGTTTGAGAGCTATGCCCTCAGCTCAGCAGGTGTATCTGGCTGTCGACAGGGGTGGGACACTTGGAAAGCCTCTAAGGCCAGCAGGGCTTTGTTGATGCGACTGATGGTAGGGTAGTGGCTGAGGTCCACCTTGAACCTGTGGCAGAGAAACATTTGTAAGCCAAGGTTTTCAAAGACACTACCATGGGCAGTAGGGAAAGCAGAGGCAGGGCTGGATGGGGCCCAGAGGTTGCAATACAAGGCCAGAAAGCAGCCCTGCCACCTGGGGAGCTCTGGGTGGGTCTGGAGTGCCATCATCTGCCATTGACCTTCTCTAAGTAACGAATGCTGTGAATTCCAGAGTCAGGCATCTGTGGAGACTGTCCCATCACCCACGTTACTAGCTTCGAGGGGAGGGAATACACTGCACATGTCTATATCGTAAATAGCAAGCCTGATGCTGTCTAGAAGGCCGATGGAGGGAACTCGCAGAGCTCACTTCTAAGCAGACACCCCACATTTGGGTAGAGGAAGCAGGTACTCTTGGGGGCATTTCCCTTAGATAAGCCACCTCCTCTTAGGCACAGGGGCTGTCTATACAGGACCACAGGCTCCAGTGGGCATGGTAGAGACTTCAGTGACTCTTCTGCCATGTCTAAGCTAAGCCAGGGCAGCTGGGGTGGCCTGGTTCAGTGGCTCCCTGGCTCTTAAAGAGGGTTTACATGGGATAGTGGATGTGGAGGCCCTGACAGGACGGGGACAGGAAGGAAGGTGACAGAGCTTTCTCTTACCTTTCAGCGTTTGCCACTTGGGGCACTAAGCACACGTCAGCCATGGACACCTGAAAGAAGGCCAGGGGAGTTGGCACAACCCAGACTCGCCGGCAAGGCTGGCTGTATCCACTGCTGCCTGTACCACGCCTGTCAATCCAACTTCCTGTCTGCTTCCATTTTTCCAATATCCCTGTCACCCCCTCACTGTCTCCCCTGGAGCTGTAGCCCTTCTCCCATGACATGCTCTAGTGTCTGTGACAAGCAACCCTGTGGTAGCCAGAGAAGGCCTGTGGGTGGTGGTCAGTGTGCTTGTTGAAGACACCACCACTAGGGACTCAGTGAGGACTCCTAGCAGAGAAGGAACCGTGGAGCCAGACTACCACAGGCCCAATGCCTTAGTCTGCTGTTGTCAGGGTTCCTTAATCCTATAATCTCCAGGTTGCGAAGGAAGGGAGACATTTAGTCTAACCCAGCTGATGCCTGGACCACTTCACCAGCTCAGAAGTGTGCTTTTCTGGCCTAGATACCTCACATTGGTGCAGTGGTTCTCAACCTTCCCAATGCTGCGGCCCTTTAACACAGTTCTCATGCTGTGGTGAACCTGACCATAAAATTATTTCATTGCTAGTTCATAGCTGTAATTTTGCTACTGTTCTGAATCGTAAATACCTGATATGCAGGGTATCTGATATGCGAACCTGTGAAGGGGTTAACCGACCCCTGAAGGGGTCACTGCCCCCAGGTTGAGAACCACTGCTCTAGCGGCAGTGGAAGCGTGAGTTGAGGTGTTTCCACACAATAGCTGCCTAGAGCAGAGGTCTGTACCAAGAGGCTGGTTCGGGTCCCCCTTCAGGTATCTCCTTAGCATAAAGAGATGAGTGGTTCTAAGTGGGAGAATGACAGTCTGGGTCAGCACGAAGGCCACAGTGGGCAGGTCTGGGGACACTTACCTCATCTCCTACACAGTACTTGCCTGCTGTGCTCTGTAGAATCTTCTCCAGAGCTGTGGGGAGGCCATAGAGATAATAGTTACAACCTCTCCAGGCCTTGGCTGTGGCCTCTCCATAGCTAAGAGATAGGTGACATTAAATCTGGCATAGGCAATGACAGCCAGGACTAAGAATAATGTTTCCCATGGCTTCTCTGTCTATTCTCAGAGTAGACAAGACTTGCAGCTGGCCAAGGCAACAGCTATCACAGACAGCCTAGCATTCTGAGGACAAGCACTCTTGACTGGGGTACTCAGTGAAATAGAGGCTGGGTCACCAACAAACACTGTAGGACCATCAGCCCCCAGGCCTGGGGTTCACAGAAGTTCTGGGGCTCAAGCCATCCTTGAGGACCTGCCCAGCCCACCACCACCCTGTCCACGGTCCTCTCACCCACCCCTCTGCCAAGATCAAAGCAGCCCTCGAAGCTGGTTCAGATGCCCAGAGCCACGTGTGTGAGGGTCATTTCTCTGAGAAGTCACTTGACAGCTCAGAAGAGTAAGGACTCACCATTAAAGCCAGAAGTGATAGCCCTCTGCGCCCAAGGCGTCTGGTTCTCCTGTCCCACTTGCTTCAGGACAGACAGGTTCTGCACAGCTCAAGAGAAAAAAAGAATCCATTGCTCTGGAAGCCAGCTTGAGTCTGTCCCCTTGAGGCTTCCTCCTCTTGTCAAGCCTCTGCATGGAAGCTCAGTGTCCGTCTACTCTAACGGTTTACCTGTCCCACTCGCCTCTGGGCTATACAGGCCTTCCTTTATCATGTCTCTGAAGTTGGAAGTAGCCAGGTATTCTGAAAGCCATGTGATTTTTGGCAGCAATGTGCAACAGGGACATAGGATGATGGAGTGACTGACAGATACAGACACAAGCCAAGACCTATTTCTCTCACACCCAACACTCTCCCCCTCTTGGTCTCTTGAAAAGAGGCTGTGTGATACAGGGGCGGGAGGGGGGAGACATGGAGAGACAGATGGATGGGGACAGGACAGTCCCAAGGGACAGGACAACTTGGCACTGGGGTGAGGCAGGTGTGTAGGACTGGCTTCAAGTGATTATGACTAAGGTGCAATCCCCTTGGTCCTTGCTCTGATATTTCTTATCTGCGTCACCTGCAAAGTCGGTGCTCCTTTTTCAGAGCCATTACCTTACAAAGCTGAAGCTGGCGCAGATAAATGGTTTTAATACTTGCCTTTCTATTTTACAGGTGAAAACTTACTTTAAAAACAAAACAAGAACCTTATAAGAATCCCAATACTGGCATACCATGGAGTTAGGGGTTTAGGTCTAGACTAGGGAAAACAGTAGATACGCTGATAAAGCAATTTATGTGGACTTTCTTGGTTTCTCAGTGGTTATGAAAAGTTCTGTTTATATTATGTTGATCTACTGAACAAAGAGAGTCACTATGCCTGAAAATGTATGTATCTTAATTTTAAAATAATTTATTACTAAAATACACCAATGACGAAAAATCATTAGAAAAACAATAGACCTGCTTAATGAAGAGTTGCTGTAACCCTTCAACTTGTAACAGTCCAATAAAAACCTAAAATGTGATTATCTATGAAACACAGAAAAGCAAAGTATGCTAAAGCAAGGCCTATCTGCATATATGGCACAGAGAAGATGAGCAGGCTGCCCAGGATGGAGCTGGAGGCTGTACCGGCCTGCTACCCTGCCTCTTTCCCGCCTCAAACACGTCTATGCTCCTAGGCTTAGGAGCAGAGTTGGAGGTCCACACTGATGAAAGACTTCTGGGATTCCTGCCCACTTCTGCCATGTGGGCTAGGTCAAGGCCCCGGGAGTTTTTCTTTGTTCCCTTGCCTCCCCCGCCCACCCCACTGCGGCTCAATCACGGTGAATACGAAGGGATGAGTGACAGTGTACAAGAGTGCAGATGTAACAGTGCCCAACCTGAACGGGCTGGATGCCACTAGCGATGAGGTCAGAAATCATGCGCACAATGGCTTTTTTCTTTGGGTCCTGAGGCAGGAGACGTGGGGTGGGCCGGGTCTCTTCCAGGTACTCCACGATGGCCAGCTGTCCAGAGGGAACATTGAGGCAGGGAGAGGGCTTGGGATCCTCGGACCCCAAGAGGGCAGGGGCCAGCAGACTACCCTTTCCCGGTGGTGCCGCCGCCTGCTTCGCCCTCCTCAACTGAAGCACCGGAAAGGCCCTTTGGGGACCCTGCTGAACCTGGGTCTCCACATGTTCTCCCTTTCTCTCTTTCCCTCCACCATACACTCATTGAGCCCCGATTACGCTTGCTGGTTAGCCTCCTGTGGGTTAGGAAGAGATGTCAGATCCTCTTATTCACAACCCTGCCACTCACTGACTGGCCAATGGTGATTCCGTCGATCTTCAGGATTGGCACTTGCTTCATGGGATTCAGGGTCTGAAATTCCTCCGAGAACTGTGGAGACAAGGCCACGGTGGACTAGGTGTCCTAGCTTGACTTGCCCAAAGTAGGACCACGCAAGAAGGAACATGGTAGGCCTATCACCAATCCATATTTCTTATCCCTGGAGAAGAACTTGGCTCCTAAGGCTAGGCTAATTTCTGGGGATCCACACAGTATCCTAGACCCCTAAAGTACAAGTTTCACCCCAGTGGTTTTAGTTGTCAAGTACTCCCCCACTTTGAGATAGGGTTTCTTTGTGTAACCCTGCCTGTCCTGGAACTCAGAGATCTAGCTGCCTCAGCCTCCTAAGTGCTGTAAAGGCATATGCCACAACTGCCCACCTGCTTCCTGTACCCTTTAATGTGGCCACCATGTCAGCTCCTACCTGAGCCATCCATTGAGAGGGTCTAGTACAGGGAAAGGTCCCTTCATCACCTATCCTCATAAAGTCAGGCACTGATCTCCATTTCCTCCTCAAGGCTCCCATTGCTGCCCAGGAGAGCCAGCAGCAGCCTCCCCAGTTATAGGAACCATGGAATAAAGGTTTCCCTCCAGGGCACAGCCCTGGTACCTCTTCAAGGTCCAATTCTCATGTTGTGGGTGTGGGTCAGCTTCCTTACCTGTTGCCCCCCGTCCTTTACGAGATTGATGGGCACTATCTCATGGTCAATGCTTTTCAGTGCCAGAGCTAGGAGAGACCAGAGCGGAGTCAGGGGATGACTTCTGGCTAGACTCTCAAAGACACCCTCCCAGGGCAATGCCAGGAGCCTCCTCCCTGCTGGTTAGCTCTACAAAGACAGCACTCATGCAGTACTGTAGTAGCTGAAAGTGTGGGATACGGCTATGGGTTTAACTTACTGGAAGGATGTGAGCTTAGCGTGGTCAAAGCTCTTTGTTCAATTGCTGGTGCCAAATCGAAGCAAATGAACATGGGCTTGAGCCAGACTACACGGTTCAAACTGCGGGTTTCCTCTTAGCAGTGCATGATCGAAGGCAAATTACCTAACCTTTGTGCCTTGTCTCGTTTGCACAACAGGGACACTAACGGTCCCTCCCTCCTATGACCTTCGAGGTGGAAAGGGGAGTCAAGCACACGAAAACACTGGGCACAGAGTTCTCTGGTATGCAGTGCTCTAACAGTGACCTTTGCCTACAGTTTTGCTCATTGGAGGAGTGAAGGGTCAGACCCGGCCTAAAGCTCTAGTTTCTGCTCTCCCGAAGTCTGTGGACAACTCCAAACAGTTCTGTTTGATTAACCAGATCAAATAAGAACAGAGGGAGGCCAGCTGCTCCCCTGCCAGTTTCCAGGGACCTCTGGATCTTGTGAACCTACTCTGGGCATGGTTGCTAAGGGGCTTTGGAGTGCAGCGGGACTGAGGTAGCAACAGAGGAAAAACACCCCTTCTTCCCACTCCCACTGTCGTCTTGTTGGACTTCTGGGGTGGAAATGCCGTTCAGAGATGGAGGCTCCAGGAGAACAGGGATGCTGGTTGGTGGGAGGTGTATGTGCGTGTGTGTGTGAGCCCTCTGTCCCACCCCTACCCCACCCCTCCAGAAGCTAAGCTCTTACCTATTCGAACTCTCCATGAACAGGAGCTTCGGAAATAGGAATAGAGGACAGGCTGAGGAGAGAGAGAGGATGAGGGTGGACGTTAACTTGGGCTTGGGTTTCCGGCCATAGGGGCCTGCTGGAAGCAGGCACAAGCCCCCCAGGCACAAGGCCATTTCTTCATATTGTACCAGGACTTCTTACTCAGGCATGCATCTTGACAGCTCAGGCTAGTCTTGAGTCCTGGTGTTGCTATGAGTTCCTGAGGTACAAGTGTCGCTCCAGAAGAAGCAGCTTTCAAGTGCTAGCCTTACCTTGTCAGTCATGGTGCTGTTGCCCACCAAGGAAAGTCTTCTCTCAGAGAGCTATGAGGCAGGGGGAGGAACCCAAAGGGGTGGGTCCCAGGAGCCAATGGGAAAGCAGGCTAAACAAGCATCAGAGGATCCTGGACTCTGGTCAGAAACGGCATCTTTTCAACTTGTGGAAGATTTCTTTTATTCTTGGTTGGGGCAAGTTTGGCACTCAGGCATAGAGTGCAGACTGAAATGGACTCAAAGTGGGCAGACTCAAGAGTCCAGACCTGGTTCAGGAAGCAGTGGTGTGTGACCTGAGACAAGCCCCTGCTTTCTCTGTTCTTCAGCTCCTCTGCTCATGAAACAGAAGGCGGCTCTAAATGATGACAGCAGTTCCTTTCACCACGGCAGAGAGCAGCTGCTTACTCACTGATGCTCTCCACCCCCAGATGGCCTCCTAAGAGTGGGTGGCAGGGGCCAGGCAGTGACGCATGCCTTTAACCCCAGCACTAGGGAGGTAGAGATCAGCTAGTTCCAGGACAGGCTCCAAAGAGAAACCCTGTCTCAAAAAATAAAAGGTGGCAGACATGTCTGTTTGCCACAAAGGTGAGGCTGCAAGCTGGTGGTTCCCCAGGGTCCTGTCTGGGTTTCACAGTACCAATGGCCCCTCACTGACGAGTGTTCTACTTAACAATTTTCCAGCCTTATGATGAGAAAGCGATATGTGGCTGGGTTAGAAACTGAACTTCAAACCTTGAATTTTGGTCTTTTTCCAGGCTGGGTTGATTATCAGGATTACTGAGACATTGACCCTGAGAGAGTGGCAAACATGATTAGAATTGCTGAAGAATGCCTTATGTAATGTGTGTTGTACATCGACTGTACCAATGGTGACCAAAGTCACGGTATTTGCTACTACTCTCATGGCCCTTAAGGAGGAAACCAAATCTCTATACAGCATAGTCTTAAACTTCAGCTTATGCCTTCAAAGACCTCCAGTGGAAGCCTGAAACCATGTACTAACCAAACCCTATATTAATTTTTTCTTTCTTTCTTTCTTTTTTTTTTTTTTTACGAGACAGGGTTTCTCTGTATTGTTTTGGAGGCTGTCAGTCCAGCCTGGCCTCAAACTCACAGAGATCCGCCTGCCTCTGCCTCCCGAGTGCTGGGATAATTTTTTCTTATATATTACCTTAGTTCCTTTTCCTGTTGCTATGACAAAATACTGTGACAAAGGCAGCCTAAACACAAATGGTTTATTTTGGCTCCTAATTCCAGATGCTGTCCATCATGGGGAGAGGGACGAATGAAGACAGTAGCCTGAAACAGCAGGTACCACCCCAGCCACGGCTGGGAACAGAACAACGAATGGACGTGTGCTGTTGCTCAGCTAACGTCCCCGTTTTAAGGGCTCAGACCCAACCCGGTGTGTCACCTTCCCACGTCACGCAATCTGATAACAATAATCCTTTACAGATATGATCAGAGGTTAGTCTAACTTAGAAACTCTCTCGCAAGTGTCTGAAGGCTGGTCTCCTATGTGGGTCCAGTTCCTGTCAAATTGACACCAACCATCACATACATGCAAACATACATACATACATACCTAAGTTTTAATTTATGAATTAGATAGCATGAGAGATTACCAATAAAAATGAAATAGGATGATTTTAATAATTTACTATAACTTACAAACCTGAGCTTTGAGGTTACTGGTATGTAAAGCAAAGGTTGCTCACACAAGCGCTGTACTATCTTGGCAGCCTAGCCACTAACACATCTACTAAGTGGCTAATAGGTGGGTAGTGTAGGCAGCATGAACATACTAGACAAAGGGACATTCACTGCCCTCTGCTGTGTGAGATCTCACCACACTACTCGGAAAGCCTTGAACTTTCCCAGGTAACGGAGGCTTCCTTTGAACCGAGGTTGACCACAGACAAGGAAATTATGGGAAGAGAAATAACAGCTAAGCACCTACTGCAAACCATCCGGTAATATTTGCTCTTGCACAGCTACATTTTACTATCAAGTAGAACGTCCGTTTAATCAGGGCACCTGGAAGAATTGTGTTTCCAACTCAAATAGGAATTCTGATTACTTTGGCAATTTTAAATGTACTTGCAGTTTTGCAGTTGTGGGAGATTCAGCCCACGCTAGGCGCTACTTCAGAGCTGCATACCTCCCCAGCTGTTTTCATACCTTATATGATTGAAATTCCGAAAATCACATCTGCATGTGGAAAACCTATGCAACGTTAACCTGACGCAGTGTCTGCTTGTTCCATTTTCTCACACAACGGGTCTCAAACTTTATGCATAAGAGACTTAACAGAGTCCCATAATTATAAAACAGATTTTCAGCCCTGTCCCACCAATGGCTTAAATACAGTGCCTCTAGGATGGACGATTTAAACCAGGGAAGCTTCCCAGACTTGGAAGGCGAAGGCACGAGAGTCGCGACTTCAAAGCCAGGTTGGACTACATAGCAAGACCTTGCTTCTTAAAATCAAACCAACAAAACAAAGACAAAATTAAAAACCTGGGAAGCCACGAAAAGAGTCACATCTTTCCCTTGGTGCACGCCTGGACCAACAGGTCGGCCGAGAGGTGCACGCAGGGAATTGCAAACGGTCGTATACACGCAGCAGGTAAGGGCACTATCGGGCGCCACCCAGAACGCTGAGCCCCTTAGCATTCCCAACTCAGACCGATCGACCCCTTACTTAGCGCTCGGCGGCCAGCGCGCAGATGCAGAGTGACCCGGCGCACAGCACGCCGGGAGTCGTTGTGGAGCCGTGCGGAGGGGCGCGCTCTCAGCGCCCTCCGTCATCCCCCCCAGCTGTTCTCAGTGTGTCTAAGGGGCGACCCTCAACCCCGGAGGCGCGGCACAGACCTTCCCGGCTTGCATCTCGCACGTCGGTCAGCCAAGAAAGTCAGCTCTCCGAGACTAGAAAATGACTGAGGCCTAGCTGGGTCCAGAGAGCGAGGGTCGGACTAAATGGGCTTCCCTCCGTCGTGTTGGCCCCGCCCCCGCCTCCCGCGCTGCTGGGAGTTGTAGTTCAAGAGCCGTCCCGGGTCTCTCCGTCCTTAACGTCCCTCCGCCTCCCGCAATGCTCTACGCCTCAGGCCGCTTCCTAGCGGCCCGGGCGGCCACCACGCTTCACGCCCCGCCCAGAGCCCGGGGCCCGGCGCTCCGCGGCAAGCGGAGGGAACTACAAATCCCAGGGCACCTCGAGACGCCCTCCTATGACTCCTTGACGGGGCTGCGGACAAGATCCAGCGCGCCTCCGGCCCGGAGGGTAGTCCTCAGAAAGGGGAGGATGCCGCCGGCTATAGGCAGCAGCCATGCGGGTTCCGAGCTGCGTCTCCGGAGGGGCCGCTGCGCGCCGCAGGCTTCCAGGGCCGGGGGCCGGGACAAGGTTCCCCAGGTTGCAGCACGGAGCCTTAAACGGCCTGCTTGGAGCTCGTGGCGCTTCGAGACGGCAGGCTGGTGGGCCACGCTGGCTGTGGTGACGCTGCTGTCCTTCGCCACTCGCTTTCACCGGCTGGATCAGCCCGCGCACATCTGGTAAGTGGCAGAAGGGACTTGGCGGGCACCATGGCAACTGAGAGGGAGGGACGCCTCTCTCTGATTGGCCTGAGGGCACGAAGGGGGCGGGATTCACCGGAGGCGCGACAGGTCTCTGGTGGGAACTGAGCGGGCCGGGAGCTTGGGTCACTTCTCTGTAAGTCTGGTCTCTGAGAAGGATAGGTTTGTTCTGATGGTGGGCCGGTAGGCCTTAGGGTTTGCAGAAGAGGTTCTCACGTCTTCTAGACTACCTGGCTTTCAAATGGGGGCATTCAGAAAATAAGTAAATTCCTAAGAAAATAGTAAATTCATAGTACATAATTTCCCAAGGCCTGCTTTTCAAAGAAAAAAAAAATCCTAAAAGGATCTTTAAACCTACAGAGTAAAGACAATTTGGGTATCAAGGAATGGTAGCACAGATTCCGGGCAACAGGTCTGGCATGGTCCTGTGAGAATAGAATTAATTTCTAGATGGTTTTATTTTGTGTGATAACAGATGCTGGCTTGAGGCTGGGTTAAATTTCCTTTTCCAATCCCACAGAGTAACTTGGTATTTAGCTGGGAGGAAAGTTATGTTTTCTCCATCTCACCAAACAGAAACTTAGTGTAGAAGGTGTCACAGATGGACCTTAGTGACCAAAAAGCAAGCAGACAAACGCTCGCAGGGCCACTCTTCTTGGAAAGCAATAAACTAGCTGTGAAATGCTGTTGTTTCATGACTGCTGGGGACTCAGAGGACTTCATCACAGCAAGCAGAATGGATATCTGCATCTTTGGAGTTAGGTTCCATCACCTCCTGCCAGGTCCCACTGGCTGAAATGACATGACCTGCAGTGGGTTGCATAAGGACCGAGCAATGACAAGTTTGGGAAATCTGTTTTATCCCAAGCAGCAAGTAACCGTGTTCTAGCAGGAGACATTGCCGTACCTCTCAGCCCTAAGAAATGGCCCAGGGAAAATGCTATCAGGGCATTCTAGGAGCATTCTTGACCTGCGTGTGGATGTACAAGACATTGATGGAGGACGTTCTCTCCCAACAGGCTTTATTACCCCTCAGTCACTCACTGCCTGGGCTTCTGGCGGATGTTTCATGTTAATATGCAGCTCTAGTAGCTACCCTGGTTAGCATGGCTGACAGAGGCAGGGACCAAACAGGCTCAGTTTGTCTCAGGCAGTATTTAATTATGCCTACTACCAATGAGACTGCAAGCAGCAGGATGATGCCAGCCTTTGGTACTTACCTCAGCTATGTTCTTCAGGGTCTTGGATTCAGCCTCCTATGAGTAAGTCCTGGTGAGGGACCAGCAAGTCTTATTTCAGACAGTGTGAATGTAGTCTAAGGGTAATCAGCTATCCATTAAGACCCAAGCATAAGAGTTTAGATCGATTCTTATCTTTGGCATCATTGCCAATAATTACAACACTTCATTAAAACGGTGCACCTCCCGTGTCTAATGGGGAGACATGCAGTGGCCCGTTCCCTATATACTAGCATATTACCTAAAGAGATGCAGGTCATTTGGTTCAGTCTTATTTGGATCATCATTTATTTTGATTAGACCTCCACTGCATTGGTTTGACTAAACCCTGTAGGCCATATCATTGAGTACTTGAAGCCTCAGTGATTATATGGGCATAACTAAGATCCCTAGTACTTTAGAGAAGAGTATATGATACACTCTATAGAGTGAGATAAACAGAAAATCGTGCCATCTGTGTATTAGCACACATCCCAGGGAGCTGCTTTTTGAGGAGTTGGGACTGATGTCATCAACCACATCAGAGTAGCTCAAGACTGTCTATGTCCATTCACCTGAGTTCTTCTGATTCCAGCTACAGGTTGAGTTACTGTCATCAGCTGCCACTTAATGTAGGTGACCCATCTGAATGTTGCCAGGCTTTGGGGTTTAACTTAGGGACAAAGAGAGAATTGATGTTTCCATTTACTGTACATCCCCAGAACTCTGTCTTTCTTCCTTAGGCGTTGAGGTTGTTTCTGTCCTATAATTCTGCCCATGAGGGTAGTATGCCCAATGCCAGTTTCTGTTTGCCTTTTCTCCCATTGTACCCTAATATTTCCAGACCTTTTTACAACAGGCATTGGTTGAAAACTCACAGAGACCTATTGTGTCTTCTGTCTGACTCACGTGGGCATTGTGGGGAGACTTGTACTCAGCTAAGTTCATTGTGTTTATGTTCTAATCTGTTTGGATCCAGTAAGACAGTCCAGGAGATGAATAAAAATTAAGAGTATTGTCACCTTTCCTTACCCATCTCTGCTGATCTAGAGCGTCTCTAAGAAGGAAGACATACCATGGTCATGGAAACCTAAGCTTTCCTAAGCAGCTTTCTATAGCCCCACTCCTTTTTATCTGATAATTACCCATCAAGAGGAGATGAATCTTTGTGGAGATGAGGCCATAAGGACCAGACTGTTTTCTAAAGTGTGTAGGCCAGGAGAAGGTGATGGGAGTAGAATCAGAAACCTTTTTAGTTGGTTTCTGAGGAAACTGTCCAATCCTTGACAATATCAGTTGTTTATGGATGATGGGAGCATGGGTTGTCTGTTGATTACCTTGACTGTTGGCCCATTGTTTGATGGCCATTGTGACAAAAAGGTGTACTACTGTCAGACTAGATGGTTTGGAAAGCTGATAAAATGACATTAATTGTAAGGACCACAATGATTTATCTGGAGTCATTGAGCCGGAGCTGCAGCCTTTCTGTAACTTGAGAAGGTACTAGCAGCAGTGAGGCACTGGTGAGGACATGAGTGGAGCCCTGACACACTTAGTGTCTTAGGAGTGGGCAGGCAGTGCCCTGTGCAATGTGGATAGCTTTCTACTAAAGCAAGTAGGCCAGCTTTTGGCAGGAGCCTGGTGTAGCAGGGTTTCTTGTCAGACTATCTTTGGACTCCCAGCCCACATAATGACCTGGAAATTTATTGTTAATTATGAAAGTTTGGCCTTACCTTAGGCTTTCCCCCAACTAGCTCTTATTTAATTAACCCATATTTTTAAAATCTATGTTCTGCCACCTGGCTTGGTTACCTCTTCTTAGAATGGTACATCCCACTTGCTGCAGATCTGCTGGTGAAATCTCATGCCTAGATTCTCTCTCTCTCTCTCTCTCTCTCTCTCTCTCTCTCTCTCTCTCTCTCTCTCTCTCTCTCTCTCTCTCTCTACTCCCTCTCTCCCTCCTTCCCCCCCTCTCTCAGTCCCTCTCCGGAAGTCCTGCCTTTTCTCTCCTGCCTAGCTATTGGCCATTCAGCTCTTTATTAAACCAATCGGAAGGTGCCGTAGACAGAGGCACATCTCTACAGTGTAAACAAATATTCTGTAACAGCCAGGGTTACCATGGTGGCTTCTGCTTCAGAGACCTATGGACCTTTTAAACTTTGTGTTTAGTTAGTTCATGATGCTACATGTGTTTTCACACCCAGTGCAGTACAGACAGGGCTAGATGGTGTATGCTTGATTAGGACCTTGAGTGTAGCTAGTCATATCAGATGCATCCTGTATAATGTATGTGTATCTTCATGAGTAAGCAGGACTACCCCGTCTCTGGACAGACAGTTTCTAGCTCCCTGGAGAGTGTCTTGAGTCTCCCAGTACAGTCTTCTAAGTTCTATGTCAGACCCTTCAACTCTGATTGCAGTCAGGCAGCCAGAATTGTTGTTTTAGTTAGGGTTACTATTGCTGTGATGAAACACCATGTCCACACTAACTTGGGGAGGAGAGGGTTTATTTGGCTTACACTTCCATTCCACTGTTCATCATCAAAGGAAGTCAGGACAGGAACTTAGGCAGGGCAGGAACCTGGAGACAGGAGCTGATGCAGAGGCCATGGAGGGTGCTGCTTACTGGTTTGCTCAGCAGCTTTCTTATAGAACCCAGAATCACCAGTCCAGGGGATGGCACCACCAACAATGGGCTCAGTCCAACCCCATCAAGCACTAGTTAAGAAATATCCTGCAGGCTTGCCTAGAGCCTGTAGGTGGCATTTTCTTAATTGAGGTTCCCTCCTCTCAGATGACTAGCTTGTGTCAAGTTGACATAAAACTGTTGAGCACAGTTGCCTTTATGGCAAAATGGCTGCTGCCATCTAGTGGCTAACAGCTTTTTACTTAGTCCAACACTCAGAGAACCAGGGATGTGCACTGTAAAGCAGCTCTGAGTCATGGGCCCAACTGAACTAGTGGCTGTGCTTCAGAGTGGAATAGGAAATGGTTTCTCCCAAAGGGGACACCTGCTGCTTTATGTAGAACTGGGCAGCCTCCTGGGCCAGGTGGACTGTCTTCTTGTCTACACCCACTTGTTGAATCCTCCTTTTGTTAGTTATAAACTCCAAGGTAACCTATTCCAAAGTGGAAATAGAGGGCCAGAGAGCCCTGGGGCTTTTGTGACTTAGGTACCCTTTCAAAAGAGGTTAATAACTGGCCTTTTAGAAGAGTGTACTTAGTATCTGTTTTCAGCAGGTGGCACTGTTATGCTGGTGACTAGTTTCATAATATTCTAGCAGTCCTTAATGGGGGCATGTGTACACCTGTGTGTATGCGTGTGTATGTCTGTGTGTAGGGGGTGACTGTGTACTTGCATGTATGTGTACACGTGTGTATGCGTGTGTGCATGTGTGCATGTGCAGTGTGCATAGAAGTTGATACTGAATGTCTTCCTTTGTCTCCACCTTATCTTTTTAGAGAGGAACTCTTTCTGTACTGGAGCTGGCTGACCGGTGGACTCCAGGTGTCCTCTGCCTGCTCAGTTCCGGGATAATGGGCACTCTACCACACCTGGGTTTTGCATCTCCACAGCTTTCTCTTTAAAGCTGAATTCCCTTTCCTTTGTCTGGGATTTATTTCCCTTGGACCACTGGGAGGGAACAGGGCTACCTCTCTGTATAGAACAGTCCTTTGAAGGAGACAACCCCCTCTGATACTTTTTTTTTAAACAACAAAAATAAATCTTTATTTAAAAAAATAGCCAAATGAGCCATGAGTCATCAGGATAGAAAAGCATCCCCCAGTTCCAGAAACACCAAGAAACATGGCATATTTAAAGACATGCTAGATGAGAGGAATAGCTGTCCCCTTAATGAGACGGGGACTTACATACCCCAGAAGCCCTTCCTTCGCTGCAGAGCTGTATGATCTTCACTGTGGAGCTAACCCGATTTCTGAGTTCTAACTCAGGAGCATGACTTTGTCTGAGTTTTCTTTTCTTTTCTTTCTTTCTTTTTTTTAAATACAAGCCCCCTTTTTTTATTTAAGTTAGAAACAAGCTTGTTTCACATGTCAATCCCAGCTCCCTCTCCCTCCCCTCCTCGCCCGCCCTCCCTACCAGGCCCCCAGTCTCCCACCCAATCTCCACTCTGATCCCCAGGGAGGGTAAGGCCCTCCATGGTGGATCTCCAGAGTCTGTCATTTCATCGAGGGCAGGGCCTAGGCCCTTCCACAAGAATCCTAGGCCTCCTCAGTGACACTCACATACAGGGGGTCTGAGTCAGTCCCATGCTTTCCACACAGCCATCAATCTGGGGACCAAGAGCTCCCCCTAGTTCAGGTCACTGTTTCTGTGGGTTAAACCAGCCCAGTCTTAACTCCTTTGCTCATCATTTCTCCCTTTCTGTCACTGGATTTCAGGAGTTCAGTTCAGTGTTTAGCTGTGGGTATCTGCCTCTGTTTCCATCAGTCTCTGGATGAAGGTTCTGTTTCCCAGACTCTCTGGCAGTGGGATTGTATGCTGGCACTCCCCTGATTCATGTCTAAAATCCATACATGATACTTTTTGAGATCAATACAAGCTGTACATTCAGCAGTGGGTACCCAACAACAGTACACTGAAATGGCCCCATGAATTACTGAAAACTTGGGTCAGACCTAATCAGCTAAACTTGGCCTCTTTCCTCCTTGAACTAGTGAGCTTAATAGATCTGGTACCACCCAGAGAACATGTCATTTACCACGCAGAGAACATGCCATTTCATGGGGTGTGAGAAATACTGACTGGGGAGGTAGAGAACTTTCCTCACTTACCTCCTCACTGACTTGGCACCACTCCTTCCCCAGGGTTCTTCCCTCTGTCCCTGCGTCCTGGGCTTAGAGGCCCTTTGTCTTATAGCTCTGTACATACTGCAGTCCTTAGTGCCTTCAGTAATCCCTGTATTCCCCCTCCGCCCGGCCCCCATGGGTAGGAGGAGATGGGACCTCTATGCACGAGCTCTGAGTTTAGGTCCTTTTCCTCCCTGGAGTTCCCGAGCATACTAAGAGAAATGTATGGTCTTCAGTCTGCTGAAATAGCTGAAGATGACGGAGAGGGATCAAGGTATTTAGGGCTCTGCGCCAGTGAACAAGGCACATGTACTTTGTTTGGCCTTGGGCACACAGCTTACCCAAGGATCTTTCAGTGGTTTTTATTTGTTTGGTTTGGTTTTGCTTTTTGAGACAAGGTCTTGCTGTGTAGACCAGACTGGCCTCAAAGTTTTTAGCCACCTTTCTGTCTCAGCCTTCTAAGTGCTGATCTTAACAATGTATTAATTAATTTTTCAATGCTATAGCCTAATACCTGAGAGGGAAAGGAGGTTTATTGGGCTCACAGTTTTATGAGGATTACAGCAGGCCATCATGGTGACTAGAGTGTCTTGCTGCACAGTGGTGGGAGGCTGAACCCAAAGCGCCTCACATCTTGGTGGGTCAGGGAGCAGAGCACTAAAACTGGTATCAAAGGCCCCAGCTACCAGCCATAATCTCCCAAACAGCACTACCAATTGTTCAAACACATGCACCTATGAGGGGCATTTCACATTTAACTCTCATTGTAATCGGCGGACTATGAATAACAGGGTAATGATGTTCTGGGGATGGGGGAAAGCACTTGTTTGTTGTTCACAGGCCCAGGGTTTGCTCTCTTAAAAGCGCAGGCGCTGGGGGGATAAAGGAAGGAATAGAAGAATAACAGGGTCCTTACTGCTGCCCTGTTTCTTCATTAAACTTGTTTATTAAGTAGAACATTGCAGATAGTGCTATTCTTGTTGCCCACTGCTTCACTTGGGTAAGAACATTCACCACCAGGCTTCAAGTAGTCTTCTCTTGTATTTGTATCTAACTCAGCCCATGAGAGCCCTTATCCCTTCTTGTTCAGAAAGCTAGGTATGTCATCAGCCTATGTTTGTGCTCCATGTTGACAGGGTCTTGGATATGTTTTAGTGTGTTTGCAAACTGAGAATTTAACCTGCTGCTGTTTTATGGGTGTCAGTAGAAGAAAAGTCCTAAATCAGTGACAAAGGAATTTATTTCTCATGGCACAGCAAAGAGAGTAGCCTGTGTGCAGATGAGTGAGGCCTGTGCATTCTTGCCTGTAAAAGCCTGACAGAGCCTGGAACTGCCTTTCCTGACACAGTAGTAGCATCCAAGAGGAAAGTGTATGTTACAACTGATTTTATTTGAGAAACTTTTGAAATAAAAATCCCATGTCCTTCTGTTAGTCTGTTTCCAAATAGACTTCAAGACTAACAGAAAATGTTGGGACAGTTCAGTGTCCAGTATGTGTGATAGAACTCTTAAGTCTACAAGGTTCCTTTCCTTGTGTTACCTGAGTTGAACCCTAACCTCCCTGGGAGGGACATGAAGAGCATGGTTTTGTCTTGTGACATTAGTAGTTGGTGGAGCTAGGAATAACTCTCCTTTCTGCGATCTGTTTGGTTTACTCTACCCTGAAGTTAATTCTCTCTTTAACATCACCATCTTACTGTCAGTATCTCATTGCATCCTTGGCTGATCCAGTAGCTTTAGTCTTCTGCCCATCTACTAGGCCCAGTGAATTTAAAATAAATGAGACCTGAACATTCTTTGGAAAAAGCATGAGTATGTGATGATAGGGAAATAATGGCTGTTCATGGAGGCTGACCTGGGGCATAGTCACTGGGAAGCCAGCTTCTTTTGAGTTACAGAAAGAAAATATCAAACAGCTAGGCTCTGCTGGATGGTGTGGCTGCCTTGTAAACCCTTCATGCAGGGCATTAAAAGGCTGATGTGGTTGTGGCAGAACAAGACTTCACATTGGGTTGGAAAGTTAAATATTAGATTAACATATGTACTTGCAAAATAACATAGGCTAGACACAGGGTTTGGAAATGCTCTTAGTGAAGAATTTTGGCTTCTATAGACAGCTGGTCATTATAACAGGTCAGGCAGATGTGAGTCAGAAGGTTGATGAACAGCATCTGACTGGGCTCCGCTGTGATACCTTGCATTAAAGGCCTAACAGTGTAGCAGTGCGTATTCTAAAACCCAATGACCTCAGAGTGAGAAGTTAGCAGACTGGGAAGACATGGCCTTACAAACCCCTTTCCATGTTACAGGAAAACACTGCTGCTTTCAAATAAACTGATAGAAATTCAAGATACAGAAGAAACTATATTTCATTTAAATTTATGGTAACTGCTGGGTAACTATTTGTTAACTTTTCTCATTGTTGAGATCTAGGTTGATAGCCAGCTTTAAAGGTTTTCCTCAAAGCACTATGTCCAAAGTTTTGTTTTTAAGCCAACCTGCATATGACATGCTTGAAACTCATGACCTTTGGTGTTAGTTGTAACTTTAACTATGGTTTATTAAATTTTTACGTTTTCCCTTTAGTTGGGATGAGACTCACTTTGGAAAAATGGGAAGTTACTATATCAACCGCACATTTTTCTTCGATGTACACCCACCTCTGGGAAAGGTAAGCAATGTGGTGATAATAAGATAATCTCTTATCTGGGCAGATGACTTCTAAGAACTGGAGCCAAGTGTTAGGTGTGGACTTAATTCTTAGGCTTAAGAATTTCCTCAGAATTCCATGACCAGGTACTATGATAGAAAATCTTTGGTGTTTTTAGGGCTTCTCTGGGTTCAGAAATGGAGAAGACCATCCACCAACTGACAGATGGATAAACAAATGTGTATCCTTCCAGCACAAGGATACACAGAAGAATGCTCTGATACAAGGAGGTTCTTCTCAGGATGATGAAATGTTCTAGAATAACCTTGTAGATATGTTTAAAACTACTTTAAAATCATTAGTATATGTTATGTGAACTTTTTTCAATTTTATAAAAGAAAATAGGAGTATAATATACTACATAAAGGAAATATAGCTTAGAGGAGCTTAATCTATAAAAACTAAACTTTCCCTTCTCTTGATTCCCAATATACATATTGACCCGGTCCCCTAGCATTTGATGATTAGAGATTCTACCAATGAGATTTGTTTTACTCTTTTAAAAACAGTTTGCCCTGAGAAGACAAAATGGATTAGTTTTAGTATTCACAAAAGCCTTTCTTCTTAACTGTAGACTCAGATCTTCAGATCTTGGGGTACTGACATGGGCAGGGAGAATTAAGGATAGCAGTCTGTCAGGTTGACCCAAGGAAGCATGACTGCCTAGGCTGAGGACCGGGGACAGAACCCCTCCAGGGACGGTGTGTAGAGAGGTAGGACACAGCCCAATTTACAGTTAGTTCTGAGCCTAGGAAAGGGTAGAAAAGCCTGGCCTCTTCCTGTCTGCCTTTTAACAATAGAGACAAACAGTTGTGCCAGGATCTGTGAAGCTCAGAGCAGCTGGGTCCTTCCCTCCTTCCCTCCCTCTCTCTCTCTCTCTCTCCTTCCTTCCCTCCCTCCCCCTCCCTCCTTCCCTCCCTTCCTCCCTCTCTCTCCTTCCCTCCCCCTCCCTCCCTCCATTCCTCCCACCTCCCTGGGGAAATGCCTCTGTCTTTGCATTCTCTTTCTCATTTCTGTCCCTTATCCCTCCTGTGTAGCTCCTTGTCTTCTTTTCCCTCTTCATTGTGATTTGGAGCCTCTTCTTTCGGTAGAAGGCCAGTCTCCCAGGAGTGAGAATGCCCAGGACCTTCCCTGAGAGCTGTCATGTTTCATTTCATAACAAATGAAGGAAAGAAAGCTTCATGTGCAAACCCCTCACTGACCCTGCCCTTCCAATTATGGAGTGTTTTCCTTTCTAAATGTTCAGTCTGCACTATTCCCAAGAACTTAGCTGTGGCACAACAGAGGGTTTGTTTCAAGCAGCAAGCAAGCTCTTTAGACAAAAGATTTTTTACTCTGCAGCAGCTGCAGGACAAAATGTCACACTGGCACTTCTATGGCCAGTTGTCAAGGGAAACCGAAGGCTATGTATGCAGCTGGAGAGAACTGGGACAGAGGAATCTTTTTTCCTAAACGTTTCATCTTTGTGCTCATTCCTCTCTCCTCAGATGCTGATCGGTCTTGCTGGCTACCTGACTGGATATGATGGCACCTTTTTGTTCCAGAAGCCTGGGGACAGTTATGAGCACCACAACTACATGGGAATGAGAGGAGTAAGGCTTCCTGCTTTATATAGACAGACTAATCCCACTCAGAAATGTTACAGTTGGAAGCAGCAAGTGTCGATGGAGGGACTTTGCAGAATGGGGAGAGGAGAATGATTGAGCCGCTAAAGTAGAAATCTGAAAATGAGTTGGGAAGGAAAGGAGGAAAGGCCACAAACAGCACAGAGGTTGCTCATGAGCCGCGCACACTGCAGCCTACCAACCCATGCTTGAGTGGTGTGTCTGCCAAGCTTCCCTTCAGATTATGGCATCTTCACACTGTCTCCAGGTTCCTACCTCCTTCCTCACAAAGGAAGTAGGGCGCGTAGGAGTCTCACTCTCAGGAGGCTGCATGCCTACTCCAGTCCCTCTGCACCCTGATTCCCAGCATCAGCTTAATGGGACATGACAGAGCCTAAACACTCAGCTCCCTGGGAGCAACCTAATGAGACCTGTGGAAGCTGGCCTCCAGCCTGAGTTCTCCAAGCACTTTGCTTCACAAGTTAGATTAGGTGACCATGTGCTTTCTGAGGCTGATCACTGGATTGTCTGTACAGTCCTGCATGCCGTATTAAACAGGGAGTGCCCTGCCCCTAAGTTCACTCTTCCAAGTGACTTTTTTTTTTGCCATAGGGTCTTACTATGTAGCCCTGCTGTCCTGGAACTCACTATGTAGACCAGGCTGGCTTCAAACTTACAGAGATCTGTTTGCTTCTACCTCTCAAGTGTTGGGATTAAAGGCTTATGCCACCACACCCAGATCTCTCAAGAAATTCTTTTGCAATGTTGGTACAGGAGACTGCTGGCTGTGATGGGCAGCCATGCCTCTTCCTGTGAATGTCACTGATTTTATGCCAGCACACGTGCCAGGGTTCCGAGTGGCATGCCCACGGCTTTATGTGGCTTCACTATGGCACTTCCCGTGCTACTCCATGTGATTTTGAATCGCCTATACCATGCTTCTTTTGTCAGGGACCTCCATCTTAGACGTTAGTATGCCAGGTCAGCTGATGATTTGACAGCTTCTGCCTTCTTCCATAGTTCTGTGCTTTCCTGGGTTCCTGGCTGATCCCCTTTGCCTACCTCACCGTACTGGATCTGTCTAAGTCCTTCCCAGCAGCCCTGCTCACTGCCGCCCTTCTTACCTTTGGTAAGTTGTCTTAACCTGCGAGTTTCGGGAAGTGGGCTGTCACACATGTGGCTGGGTGGAAATCAATACACTCAAGTGTCACATCTGTGCAGTCAGCTCTTTTTATTGTTGTTGTTGTTTGGTTTTTGAGAGAGGGTTTCTCCATGCTCTGGTACTTGCTCTGTGAACCAGGCTGGCCTGGAACTCTCAGAGATCCTCCTGCCTCTGCCTCCTGAGTGATGGGATTAAAGCCCTGCATCACCACTGTCCAGCCTAATTCTTAATTAACTTAAGAACTGGGTAAAATATATTATTACTAGTAACACTTAGGTGTATGATTACATCTGTGAGTCGTGTGTGTGTGTGTGTCTGAAGCATGAAGTTGACAGTTGTCTTCCTCAATTGCTCTCGACTTTATTTACTGAAGCAGAACCAAATCTCACCAATTCCAGTGAGTCTTGTTAACCACCTTTCCTTGAGGATGTGTCTCTACCTCTTGTGTGCTGGGATTATATGTGGCTTCCATGCCTGCCCAGCTTTTATGTGGGTTCTGGGGATCCAACCTCCAGTCTTCATGCTTGCATGACAAGTGTTTTTCCAATGAGCCAGTCCCCTTTATAGTCTTTCTTTGGGGCATGGCTAATCCTCAACATAGGTTCTTTTTAAGTTACTTACATTTGCATGTTTGTTTGTATCTATGTTAATGGGTTAATTTTGTTTCTCTTAGGTTAATGTTGTTATTAGTTTTCATCCCCTGAATTTATTACAACTGATGAGAATGCGGGTGCTCAGAAGTAGTAGTGAAGCAGAAAATAGCAATAGAACTTAAGTGTTTTCTCTGGATCCTCACCTGGTAAACAAGGGCTAACTGTAAAAGTAGTCCTGGTGCTAGCTGTATTCTTCTTAAAGTGAATTATGACCTTGTGGTGCTTTATATGTCAAGAAGGCCAGGCCAGTTTAGGTGGGTGTGTTAGGGGCTGTTCAGACAGGTGTGCTGCTCTGTTTCAGTGGATATGACAAGGTTATAGGAGTCCCTGTAGTGAACTAATGGCTTTTTCCTTGTATGTATTTTTTTTTCTGTAGTGATTCATAATCAGTCATTTTTTTCATTTTCTATTTGATACCTGTTTCCTAGGCACCTGCCCTATACCTGGCCACCTTTTGAGGCCTCAGAAAATACACTGATGAGATGCTGTTCTCATGGAATATACCTTATAGAAGGGCAGACAATAGGCCAGTACATTATTACCATATGATAAAGCATGTTACTTTTCTTTTAATATTTAAATTTATTACTTTGTATGTGATGGGGAAGCACATGCACAGGTGTCATGACACACCAATGGGAATCAGAGAATAGCTTACCATAATTGATCTTTCCTTCCACCACGTGGGTGAGAGGGATCAGGGCATTAGGTATGGTGGCAAACCTTGTAATAGAGCATCTCAAGCAAATGGTGCCAGGTTAGACACAAAGCAGAGTGGAGATCGATGCTATGTTAGATGGGGTAAGCAATAAAGAACTCCCCAAGAAGATACTGTCTAGCAGAAGCCTGAGTAAAACAGGATCAGCCTCCAGATTTGTGAGGGAAGACGGCAGGGAGAACAGCTTAGATCGTAATCCTCATACAGTGCTTAATAGAGGTGAGCAATAACGGGAGGCTGGCACAGTGAGGGTGAGCAGGAATGTTGGGGTTGAGTTTAGATAGACATGGGGCCATACAGCATCTGGGAACTGACCTGAGAAATTTTTAGTCTAAGTGAGATGAGAAGACATTGGAGGGATTAAGTGGGAATATGATATAACTTAAGCTTTTTTTTTTTTAATTGGTCTGGTACCTATGTAGGGACTCAACCGTCAATAAAGATATCATATAAAATAAAACTCTTCTATACATCTGTAGTTTGCAACTGTATCAGCTGGTGGCTTCTTTTTATGGTAGAAATGAGGAAGTGGCCTCCGGGCTGCTCTGAGTAGATGGCATGAGCTTTTGAGACGCAGGGCCTACCGGTAGCACTGGTACTGCTTCTTACCATTGGGCTCTGCTGTGCCCCAAGCTGAATCCTCCTCCATGCTGATAATCCAGTGGAGATCAGTGGCCGCCTAGTCATGATTGCCAGATGCTTACTTGCAGTGCAGAGAGAGGGACCTCTTCCTGCTGTTGGAGTGTTTGGTTTTTGAGCAGCAAGTTCCTGTTTTCCAGACACGGGATGCCTCACTCTGTCCCAGTACATCCTCCTTGACCCTATCCTGATGTTCTTCATCATGGCTGCCATGCTGAGCATGGTCAAGTACAACTCCTGCGCTAACAGGTCAGAAATACCGTCTCAGGTGGGGTGGGGGTGGGGCAGGAACCATGGCAACCCGCAAGTTTGATTGTGGCAGGGCTGGTTGGGGTGTTTGCAGGACTTGCATTCAAGCTTAGTTTAAGAGGAGCATACTTTCCATTTGTTTTTTTTTAGATAATGAAAAATTTCTAAATGTTTCCTCTGATAGATGCTTTTAGTTTTACTTTTCACAAAATGAGAAATTGTTGATTATCAAGAGGTGCTGATATGTAAAGTCAGTTTGCAACTGGGGAGGAGCTTATGGGCGTTATAGAGGAGTCCTGATGCTGCCTCCTCACTATGCCTTATAAGCTGTCCCTCAGCAAGGAGCTCTGGGACATGTCATCCTTTACATCCTCCATCCGGGAGGGGAAGACACCATTGTAAGCTGCCTCAGAGGTGCTTGTCTCAATGTAAGAAGCCCTGTGCTTAGCCAGGAACAGCATGGAGCCTCCCCAGAACACTGTGCTGCTTTCTCTCTCACACTGACTTGCCTGTAGTTTGAGGCCTTCACAGAGCACAGCCTACTTGGAGCCCTGCCATGGTTCCTTGGGGTTAAGAACCCTGGAGGCTTAGGGTGCAGCATAGCTGCCTGAGTACTGTCCTATTGCTGCTCTTGATTTCCCAGTTGATTCTAGCTGCCAGACTGAACTGTGTCTTATTGGTTCCCAGGCCTTTCTCTGCCCCCTGGTGGTTCTGGCTCAGCCTGACTGGCATTAATCTCGCTGGTGCTTTAGGGGTCAAGTTTGTTGGTCTCTTTATCATCCTTCAAGTTGGACTGAACACCATCTCAGACCTTTGGTACCTGTTTGGAGACCTCAGCCTTTCACTGGTGAGAACTCAAGTGCCTGTGGATGTCTTTGTTCCACAGTCTCTCCCATGGGCCTTTTCCTGCTTCTCCTGTGTGTGGAGGAGGTGGTTGTGCACTGTGCTCTGTGTTGTGCACCATGGCCAGACTGGACAGGCACAGCTTTCCTTTGTAGACAGCAGGATATCAGACTGGCCTGACTGAGGGGCTGGAGTGGTATAAGAGAGTAAATGGGGTAACCACCTTGCAATTCTCTCTTATTGCTGTCCCTCCCTACCTCCCTTAATTTCTTTTAAGTCACCCAGCCAGAGGATTCTATCCCGCTGGACTTCTGCCAAGTCCACAAGGGTGTAAGAGCTTAGGTTAAATGAATGGGCGGACTCTAAACTTTTGAATTCACAATTTCTTTTCCTGACTCAGGGCATCCATATTTGGAAGTCAGTCAACACTGTTAGGATTTTTCCTGACTCGGGGCATCCATATTTGGAAGTCAGTCAACACTGTTAGGATTTTTTTAATGACATTAGTAATCAAGGGCTGATTCGGTGCCAGACACTGTACAAAATGGTTTGCTTTCATTATCTCATTATTGAAATCCTGGGTGGTGAGTGGTCATTACCACTCACTGATTTTACAAATGAAAAACATGGAACCTAGAGAGATAACTTTCCCAAGGTCCTATGGGTATTACAGGTAGTAAGGGGCCATCTATGACTCAAGCTTGGGTTAGGTGAGCTCCAGGGCTCAACTACCAAATTTCCAACATGTTTATTCATTCAGAAAACATGAAGATCATGTACTAAATGCGGAATGTTGGGAATGTACTGGTGACTACATTATCCCTGTCCTCTTGAACCTGTGTGTGGGGGAAAGGGGAGAGCAGAGGGGAGACACCAAAGCTTGGGTGCTCCAGGGGGCCTGTGAGGAAGTTGAGGCTTGAGGTTAAGGCCAACAACAGTTGGTCATATGATAAGGGACTGGCACAGTCAGTACAGGGAGCCTTGGAGGCCACTGTTGAACTACAGTTTCATCTTTACAGTGGTCATGGGTGCAGTGCCTGGAAGGACATCAGAGAGCTGACCCATGTTAATCGTGTGTGCGTGCGTGCGTGTGTGTGTGTGTGTGTGTGTGTGTGTGTGTGTGCGTGCGTGCGTGCGTGTGTGTGTGTGTGTGTGTGTGTGCTCTCTAGCACACGTGCATGCGTGTGTGTAGTGGAAGGTAATATAGAAAGGCCTAGGGTTTTCCACCCATTATTCTTTCCATTGTGACTCATACTATACGTACAATGATGTTTCATGCACCCACCACCTGTGGTGGCTTCTGTTTGCAGGTGACTGTGGGAAAGCACCTGACTGCTCGAATCCTGTGCCTCATAGTGCTGCCTTTGGTGCTCTATATGACCATTTTTGCTGTTCATGTCATGATACTGAATAAAAGGTACAGCCAGAACCTTTCCAACCTCTTGCTTCTGGTTTGTCTCTGGCACCTAAGCCTATGTAGGCCATGTGAGGTTAGGATGAAGGAAGGAACTCTCCCCTGCCCCCTTGTGTTCTCTTCTGCATTCTCAGGACTCAGAACACCCAGCCTCGAAGGAGCCAGAGTGTTCTCTAAGAGCCTAAGTGTCCCTATCTCCATCAGAAGCCTTTCACTTTAGTGAGGATGGATACCAGGGTTGCAATGAGACTAGAAGTACTGATAACCAGGAGAGACACCCTCATTTCACAAGTAGCTACTAAGCGCCGAGAACTGGGTTTAGCATTATGCATAATCTCATTTAGCTGTCATTATTGGTGAGTTCTTTGGACTTTTTTAAAAAAAATCTCCTGTTTAATAAATGAAGAACCAAGGTTAAATAAGGTTAGGGATATTGCCCAAGTCAGCTTGATAGTTAAGTGGCAGAAGTGAAATTGAAGTTTGGACTGTAGTTTCTCCAACTCCATTATCCGTGTTTCTTTCATGAAACCACCTTGCCATTCAGGTTTTCACGTCTCCTTTTAAATAAACTAAGGGTTTCTGGGAAATGGCAGCTTCTACTCTCTTAGCTTGCTTGACTCTCTTCTGCTTCTTTCCCCGCAGTGGTCCTGGCGATGGCTTCTTCAGTTCTGCCTTTCAAGCCCGGCTTTCAGGGAACAGCCTTCACAATGCTTCTGTCCCCGAACGTGAGTGCTTGGCAGAGGGTTTTTTTTTTTTTCTTCCTGGGAGTTGACTTGGGAAAAGCAAGTCTGAAGCTTGGTTTTTTTTTTTTTTTTTTTAGCCTATATATAGCAGACTTGGAGAAAACCCAGTATTACAGTATAAATACTCAAGAGTCCGTTACTATAGTACTCAAAATAACTTCTCCTTTGTAGCTTCCAAAGCTAGCTCTGTAAGAAGGCCATTTCAAGAGGGTCTGGTCACAGAGCAAGGCCTCTAGGGGCAGTTGTAGGCTGTCACAGTGTTCTGACAGTTTTATGCATGTACTTATTCTCAGGAAGTAATTAACAGATATTCACCCTCCAAAGATAGTCTGATGTGAAGGACCTTCATTCATGTGTTAAGTACATAAAAAAACCAGGTGAAGTGTCACATACCTTTAATCCCGGCAGAGGCAATTAGAGCCCTGTGAGTTTGAGGCCAGACTGGTTTACATAGTGAGTTCCAGGACAGCCAGAGCTACCTACACCCTATCTCCAAAAGAAAAAGAGAACAGAGATGGAATACAGTACTGGGGATTGAAGCACATGCTGAGTCAGTGCTAGCAGGCAGTTAAGGGATCCCATATACATGCATATAAAAAGGTGTGTCTTGGAGTTGGACCTGGAAGGATGAGTGGAGTCCAGTAGGTATTGAAGAGCAAGAGGTCATATCAGGCAAGAAGGGATGGCATGCTCAAAGCTAAGGGCAGGGTAAAACTCAAGGCATGGGCTATTATATTCAGAGTCTGAGTTGGGAATAGATGATGAGATTTGAGATGCTTGAGTAAGCTACTGGAGACCACATGGAGGTTTCTGAGCAAGCAGGCAGCTAGGAATGCTGTGCATTGTGGAGTTAGCATGACTGGAAGGAAGTATAAGATGTCAAGGAAGGAAGGGGCTTCCACTAGGAAGTCATTGCAGGGTTGTACCCAAGGATCCCTAAGGATCAGGACAGCTAAGAGCATACCCAGGGAGGACCAGACAAGGGAGGAAAAAAGGTGTCGGTGAGGCCCCATTTTGCTCTTTACTGTATCTAGTACCAGGAATACAGTGGGCTCCACAGACTATGAAAGGAATGAGAACTTGGAAAGCCAGAGAAAGAAAGCCCTGGTTTGGAGGGGCAGTAATGTGGAGTTAGTCCTTAGGGAGTTTAGGAGACGTTTTGGAGGTGAGGTGTGGATGCCGTGGTAGAGACTGCATGAGGAAGGATTGAGAAGCTCTGTGGAGGAGCAGTCTGTGAGGGAGTGTGGATCTGAAGCAGAAGTGGTCAGTGGTGGGCAGAAGGGAACTCCCTCTTGAGTTGCTTCCATTGGAGCGAGAAGGCAGCAGGGACTCCAGCTTTAGGCAGGCCTGGGCCCCATGGCCTCTGAGCAGATGTTTGAAGCTTGTGGCTTGCAGCCACCACCCACCCACCCGCAAGGCAGGAGCAGCCTGTCATCTGTCTGATTGATGCCTCTTTTCCTCTAGACCTGGCGTATGGCTCTGTAATCACTGTGAAGAATCTCCGGATGGCCATTGGCTACCTGCACTCCCATAGGCACCTCTACCCTGAGGGCATTGGTGCTCTCCAGCAGCAGGTGGGTAAGCTCTAGTGTGCTTGGCTACAGCCACACTCAACCGCTCTCTGTGACTGAACCTGTCATTCACTTTCTTGCCTAGCATCATTCATTCACCTGCTTTCTCTTGGTTGCAGTATTCTCCTCACTCCTCTTCCTTCCTTTGGCTAACCTTAGCTTCTTTGGGTTTCAGCTCAGAGGTTCCTCTGTCTATCTCATGATCCCCTGCCCCCTCCACACACAATTGGTACCCCTCTGCCCTTTACCAGAGGCTTTCTTGGCATTCTGCTTGCCTCTGGGGAACCCATTTCATAAGGAATTGTGAGAGTTCATTTCTCCCATCCTATTGCCTGATCTTGGAAGGCTCACATGCCTAGCACAGTTCCTGGCCTGGAGGGTGATGAGGAAATTTAAGAGTTATGACTACAGACGTGGGAACCAGACTGGATTCCTCAGGTTTGAATCCATACAGGCTTGACTCTGTACAGATGTCTTAATCATTTTGTGGTTTAATCTCCTGATCATAGGGGAAAATAAGTATCGCTCCTCCACCATAGGGTTATTAAGAAGACAGAATGAAAGAACACATGCAAAGGGCACGTATGCAGGTGTCATGTTAGGGAGTGCCCCGGGTGGAAGGTGCCCGAAAGCAGGAACAGGATAGTGCAGAGTTTGGTGGGCCAGATTGAATTTGTGAGAGTGCATTTGACTCTGTTCTGGGGAGGCAGGGAAGTGATTGAGTGATGAGGTATGATTAGATTAAGTTTAAAAAGTAGCACTAGTAGCAAGGGGATGGATTACAAAGAGCCAGTTAGGGGGCAGGGACAATTCTGGAATTGAGTCAGGAAACACTCCCAGGTGTCACAGTAGGGCCTGGTAATGGATGGGAGGTCAGGAAGAGCTGTGTGTGTGGCTCTATAGTCAAGATGTCAAAGTGCATGGGTGACCATGTTATTTAGTCATGATCCGATGGGGGAGGGATGGCTTTGGAGGTGGGAGGAGAGTTTTTCTTGTGCGTTAGGCTTGGGCCTTGTCTTGGGAAAGAGATCGGAGTGCAGTGTGTAGACATTAATACAAAGGGGTGGCTGGTATTGCCCAGGAAGACTGCAAGGAGAAAGGACCAGTGGGGGGACCCTACATTTAAGGGAGTGTTCAAGGCTGCTCAGAGTGGAACTAAAAGACACTGAGAAAGGGCTGCTCATCTAAGATGCTCCCAAGTGAGGTTTCTCTTACCGAATGGCCGAGAGCTTCATTTTACCAAATTTTACCTCTTCAAATGCTTTGAGTTATACTAAAACGTTGACCCTGGGTATTGGATTTGTAGCATCACTTTCTCGTGTTTGGTTTTTCCCTTTATCTCTGCCCAGTGTTTCTGTCCTGACTGTACTTTAGAATTAAATGAGCTTTAAAATTTTTGACTTTAGACTCTTCTTCAGAGATTATGATTTAATTGGCCTAGGGTGGGTCCCAAAGACTATTCCCTTTTGCTTTAGTTTAAATAGTTTAGATCCATGCTAATGTATAGTCAGGAGAGAAAACCATAAGTGGCCATTCCATGAGGATGCCTTGCTGCAGGTGTTATGTAGAGGATCGTAAAGTGACATTTTCTGTGGCTACACTGTGCAAAAGGAGAGGAAGGTCACGTTCTGGAAGACACTGCACAGTGGGTGCGGTGTGCCTGGAGCCCTGGAGGCTGACAGTGTCCTGTGTGGATGGCACACTGGGTCAGGGGACAAGGTGTCAGGCTTTGACTCGCAGGCTGTCTCCTCAGCTGTAAAGTGAAGTCATTGGATCAAAAACTATCTGGTCACCCTCTGCCCTGAAGCTTAGTGCCTTAGTGATGTCTCTAGGTCTCAGTTTTAGAATACTTTAAGATGATTAACATCTATAAAATAAGATTGGGAAGTTTAGAAAAGTATAAAAAAGAAAACCAAAGCTACCTATAATCTCCGAAGATCTGCTATTTTCAGATATTTTGAAAAGTAGCATTCTACTATAATTAGGTACTTCAGTTCCTAGGAGATCTATATAAAAACTCCACTATGGAAACAAATGTTTCTGTGGGAATGGGCCAGGGGCTACGCTTATGATAAAGAGACAATTTTCCTGGGAGAATCTTGATAATGGTTCTTCTAAAACCAGAAACCGTTCCCTCCACACATGCACAGGACCCACAGGACCTTGACATCTGTAAGTCCCAGGTAGATAGACTGACTCTAGCTTTGATGAATCAAAATGTTTGAGTCTTTTATGTATTCTTAATATCATTGTTTTCATTCTGAGAAACAGAGAAAAAACACTCAAAACTCAAGTATAGCCATAGTACATACAAAGTGATTTTTTCCCCATAAATGCTAGTTCCAACTTCTTTTTGCAAGTAAATTAGTCATGTTGTGTCCAATTGAAGTTATGAAAACTCAGAAGAAATGCATGTATTTCTGTTGTTTCTCTGTGTGTTTACATATCTAGCAAAGGTGTATATTTTTAGTCTGTCCTCTCCTTGCTTTCCAAACCATAAGCAGTGTCATCTTGAGCAAATAGCCTAGGCTTCCCTTTTGCACTATTGTGGGGGAATAGCACCCACAGCACAGAGCTCTGACAGTGACTGAGCAGGGTGAGACTTGCCTGGTGCTCAGAATAGTGCCTGGTGATGCACAGTAGCCACTGTGGGTGGGAGCATCTCATGAGCCTCTTTGCATGCTGCTTAAAAGAATGCTCTGGATGCTTTCACTTGTGTATAATATTCTATCCCATGTATACAGTATCAAGACACTGTTTCTCATTATAGCCCTGGCTGTTCTGGAACTCACTCTCTAGACAAGGCTGGCCACGAACTTGAAGATCCACCTGCCTCTGCCTCCCAAGCACTGGAATTAAAGGTGTGCACCACTACTGCCTGGCTTATCTTAGAATTTTAACCCAAAGCCATAAACTGATTTTTTAAAGAATTGTGTGTATAATGCAGTGATTGATCTAACAGTAAAAACCTAGACACATTATGAACATCTAGGATAAGATATTTATGGAGCATTTTAGTGTCATTTACCCACATAATAAGAAAAAATAATAGCTTTTTTTTGGTGTGTGCATGGATGTGGGTACACAGGCGTGATGTGCACGTGGAGGCCAGAGATCAATGTCAGGTGCTTTCCATAATCACTTTTCACCTTATTTTTTGAGAAAGTCTCTCTCACTTAACCTGGGCTCACTGGTTTAGCAAGGCCCAGGTATTGTCCTATCTCCACTTCCCCAGTGTTAGGATTCTGAGAACACCAGCCTTTTCTTACATTTGTGCTGGGATCAAATATGAGGATGTCTGTACAGCAAGTACCTTACCAATTCAGGTGTATCCCCCTCCCCCCAGCCCTTTTTTTTTTAATGATTTGTGTTTATTTTATGTGCATTGGTGTTTTGTCTGCATGTGCGTCTGTGTAAGGGTGTTGGATCCTCTGGAACTGAAGTTACAGACAGTTGGGAGCTGCCATGAAGGTGTCTGGAATGGAACCAGATTTTCTGGAAGAACAGCCAGTGCTCTTAACCGCTGAGCCCCTAGGCATTGTTTTAATCATTTTTAAACATGCTTCTGTGCTGGAGACTATTAACACACAGTAAAATGGTCCTCCCTTAAGACAGCTGAAATTTTATTGACAAGATTAAAAAAAGAAAAGAAAAGGAAGAAAAGAAAGAAAGAGACAAAAAGTTCTTGAGGGGTAGGACCTCTAAATTCTGAAAAATGGAGAAAATTTCATTCAGGAGTGCTGCTTCTGAGCTTCATTGGGAAAGGTGGCCTCCTGAGTTGGTGACTGGGGATCCTGAAAGATAGATGTTCAAGTGGTATCTGTTTGTTGGGAATTGTGCCTGGCCAGCTGTGCTGATCATAATGTCCTCCTTCTGCCCTCTGCCTAGGTTACCACCTATTTGCACAAGGACTACAACAACCTGTGGATTATCAAGAAACATAATTCAAACACAGGTAATGTGGCAGAGACTGAGGTTCTTGTGCTGTTGTTCACCGAGTCCCCTTCACTTTTCTCATGACACTGGGCTCCTGAACACCTCTGACATCTTCGCTGATCTTAGTATTCTCTTGAACACTGTTGAGCTCCTGCTGTGTTCCAAAGACAGAAAGCATAGAGGATGAGCAGTGAGTGAAACAGAGCAGGGCCAGGGCTCAGTTTTCATCCATGAAGAGGTTATGTAAGCCCACCCCAGAAGCTGCTAGGTAGCGCTGTCCGAGGTTACCTGGAAATTGCTTTCATTTCCAAACCCAACTGGTATGATAGAGTGCTGTCCTTTTTTATCTCTGGGCTAGCTGACTTATTTGATAATCCAAGCCTCTGCCAGCTCTGTGCCTGGGCTTAGCTAGTGCTTGCAGTAACATGCGTGCGCGCCCACATACACACACACACACACACACACTCTGTCTCTGTCTCTCTCTTGCTCTCTGTCTGTCTCTGTCTCTGACTGTTTCTGTCTCTGTCTCTGTCTCTGTCTCTCTGAGGTCTCTGGTTTTAGGACTAAGCAAGGGGTACTTTATGGTCTTCCTTTCCTTGGAAGACAACCTGTGAACACCTTTGTTGTAGCTGGAAGAGGGCAGTTATCACCTGAGCCCATCCTCACTGGTGATAGTCTGAACCCCAGGCATTTTCTGTGGCTGCTCAGCAAAAACAGCCTTCCTGAGCTGGGACTAGCCAGCTGCTCCAAATCTGGAAAAGTGGACAACTGTTCATCTAAACTCCCTTTATTTTCCTTGCCATCTCCTCACATTGTTGCTTTAAGCTAGAATCAGACACACAACAGCTGTCTCGCCTGCTGCCTTATTTGCATGCTCAGTAATGTAAATTAGCCCCTTGAGTGAGTCTGTGATGTTGCCATTGATTGTGCTTTTGATTCCTCAGACAAACTAAGTGGTCTGTCATAATGAAGTTGAGGGAAACTGGGTGTACTTCTAAGTCACTTGCCTGGTTTCTACTGTGGCTTCTAAGCTAAGATGGTTACATTTCATCTAAGCAGCTAAGGGTTTTCTGGGAACTTTGCAGTCTAAGATCTTAGTGTTCTCATTGGCTGTGGAAGCCCCTTACCCTAATTCATACCAAGTCAAACTTTCTTCCCTGTTTACAAGGCAGCATAGCAGCTAGTGTCTATGCAGGTGAATATCGCAACCAGTAATTTGCATTAGCAGATTTAGCTTTCCTGACCTTGATTGTTTATGGAATCTTGGCATCTCAGTGCTGGTGACAGACTTTTACAAGGGTGCCTTCTGCCATGCTGTGATGGCTGCCAGCTACTTTTCTATGCAGCTACCTTTCTAGATCATGGCCAGTTTTGATTTCTAGATGCCTAGGAAGGAGTCCTTTTCTCTCAGCATTTCATTGTTGTTTTTTTCATCTCGTGCTTAGGAAGTCTATTAACAGAGATAAAATTTGATTTTAAAAAGAGCTGGGCAATGGCATGGACTAATTTTGTAAAGACTGTATTACTCACTAGGGAGATTTTCGTTGTGTAGCCTCCCACTTAAAGTCCAGTGGAGGCTTCAGTAATTGTCAAAGATCATATTGCCTGCCCTACATAGTGACCAGCGTAGCTCCACTTGTTCACACCGTCATTTGTTCCCACATCTTTTATGTCCCAGACTCTTTGCTGCACAGATTATCCTTTTGTATGTGTTCCTTTATCCTGCCTGTTCACTTGACAAAACTCCCTACTCCTTGAGAATCTTCCAGGCACTACTTCTGGGATACTCTTTGCTCAACCTCTGAGGTGACTGGAGACCTAACCCTTTGGTACTGTCAGCACACATCACACTACACTGTAACTGTTTCCAACAGTTGTCTCTAGTTTAGTATGCAGTGACTCACTTGATAATCATATTTGTTTCTTTTTGGCAGATCCCCTAGATCCTTCATTCCCAGTGGAGTTTGTCAGACATGGAGACATCATTCGACTAGAACACAAAGAGTAAGTGAACTTGCTGTTGTTGAAATTGAATGGTAGAGCAGAGGGCTGAGGCTCAAGCAATGGAACCAGGTTTCTGTGTGGAGTAAATCCATGTGTGATATAAGGATTGTAGTGAGCTAGCCTTTGCCTGCTGCTTTTGGCTTTGAGGAGCCATGATCTTTAAGGATACCTTTCAGTGTCCCTTCTCCTGTTAATTCCATTGGGTGACAGTAATATCACTACCATAATTTTTGAGCCAAATTTGAAGCAAGCTTTATTAAATACTGGCCAGGATGGTGGACAGTAGTCTGGTACTTATAAAGGCAAAACCCACAGGCTATGTATGTACTTGCCGCCTTTGTCCAATCCAGAGCAAGCATATGTCTTGATGTACTTCCTGCCTAAGTACCTCCCACATCCTGTGCAGTTGGGATAACCAACCTTGTTTGCAGAAGTGAGAACATGTGCTTATTATTTTATATGAACAACAGCCCAAGCATTCCAGTAAGTTATCTTTCCTTTGGCAAGTGGGGCTTACAGGTTAGAGACATTTTTGTTTTATATATCTCTTTAAAGCACAGTAATTTAAACTTAAACATAACTTTATCCTCACCTCCACTCCACCCCCAAAGAAAGGATAGTTTGGTGGCCCAAAGCTGCATTTTGGATTGACATGGTAAGCATTTATTTCTGAGACTGGCACACTAGTCTGTCTCACTGTGTATTCACTGGAATGAATGGAACACCAGTATGATTTAAAAGAAAAAAAAAACTGCTTAAAAGTATGAAAAAGCTGAGAAGATACTAGAATTACTAGACCAGAATCCAAGTGAAAGAAGGAACTCAGAGAGCAGTGAAGCCTTGAGGCTATGTTTCCCCTCACCCTGTTATAGGAATACTATGCCTTGTGAGGGAGAAGTCTCCACACATCTTGAAATTAATGAAGGAAAAGCTCTTTAATAGCATCTGTCTGCCCCTGGCTCATGCCCAAAGAGGAGCCAGCCTTGAATAGAAAATTTTACTTATTTATGTACACCCTAGGCTTATGCGTTCCAAATACCCTTTAATCTCTTACTTCTTAGCCCCAGGTTAAACTTTGAACAATTTAAACAGAGACGAAAGTCAATTTTACTACTTCAAGTTTCTTCTGGATTTGTTTGTTGTTGTTGTTGTTTTTTGAGGCAGTGTTTCTCTGTGTGGCCCTGGCTGTCCTGAACTTACTCTGTACATCAGGCTGACCTCAAACTCAGAGATCTGTCTGTCTCAGCTTCCCGAGTTCTGGGATTAAAGGCGTGCACCACCACTTTCAGGCATTGAGTTTTGGTGTTTTGTTTTGAATACCTCTTGAGAGAAGGTTCTTTTTTAAAAAAATAATTTGTAGTTCATTTCTGGCGGTCCATCGCTAGAGTTCCTGTGAGAGGATTGGCGAGTGAGGTCTTCAGCTTCAGATTCTGATATGCACTGACAGAATTTTCAATCCCTAACTCTTCTGTACCCTGACTCTGGGATAGGAGACTGGGGTGGCAGAAGCAGCTTCCGTGGGGGAGGGGGACTGTCTCCCCCCTCTGGGCCATATGGGAGCAGCTCCAGGGCAGCTTCTGGGGGGAATGCTTCAGGTCTCCCCTCTGTCCCAGGGCAGCTACCCAGGCTCCTACTCCAGGTCTCCCACATGGTCCCAGCATCAATTCAGCTACTCCCCAGGGCAAAAGCAGACCTACCCCCAGGGTTCTCCAAGGACACCTACACCATTTGGATCATGGTGTGGTAGAGAAAAAAAGAATGTCTAATGAGTTATTTTAAGCCTTCAATGCTTGAAGACCCCTGGGCTGGCCTAGAACCACTATCTGTAGTGGATGCAAGCCAACAGTACAGCAATACGCAAACATTCACAGGCAAAAAAGGAAGATACTTTTCTGAAATTCAACTGGAAGCTTCATGTGTCAGGAACATCTTAGACAGAACTTGTACTTGTGTAAATGAGTTGAACCCAAGGATGATGACTTTGGAAAGTGATTAGCAGACCCCTGGGATGTCTACTTTATCAATTGTTGTTGATGTTAGAGAAGATGATAGGATCGTTTTCAGTATTTGGGTATCTGGGAGTGTGTACCACATTCAGAAGACCACAGTTTCCATATTTAACATTTCTAAAATAACAGACATTTTTCCAGTGGTTTAAAATAAAACATTTTTGTTTTCCTTAAAAAATACATTTATTCATTTTTGTTTTGTGTGTGTATACATGAGCCACAGCGTGTGTGGTCAGAGGACAACGTGCGGGAGTCATCTCTCTCCTTCAACCATACAAGTGAGCCCCAGGCATCAACCTTAGGTTCTCAGGCTTGGCAGCAGATGCCTGTTCTGAATGAGCCACTTCACTACTCCAAGAGGAGGTTTGAAGTCAAAGTGACAAGTTTAGTATTGAGTGATCCTTTTCCAAGACTTAGAGCCCAGAAGATTTGAGGTTAAGTGTGTATGTGGTCCACTCCTCTACCCCAGGAAAAGTGACTTTGTAGGAGTAGATTGTTGGCGGTTGTGTGGGGAACCCTGGTTCCTAAGAAGGAACTTCCAATTGATCTTCACCTGGCTCTGCAGCTCACATTCATGCCACCTAGGTGGGCTCAGCATCTATAAGCCATAATTTAAATAAACATGAGCATAGACTGCTCCCATCTCCTGTGTGCCTGCCTGGAAGCATCGATTGATCCTACCTTTTGAAAAACATTGGAATCCATTCCTGTAAACAGTTTTTCAACAATAGTGACTAATGCATACAGGTGTATTATTCAAGGAAAAAACACAATGACCCAAAAACAGACAAAAACAATCATTAGCAGAAACAGTCTGAAAAGATTTATGTACTGGAATCACAAGATAAAAGGTTTTGAAATATCAGGAGAAATAAGAGAGAGGGAGGGAGGGAGAGAGAGAGAGAGAGAGAGAAGCTGGTATGTTTTTCTTGTTAGCTGGATTTTAGATACTTTAGATTCCTACTATTAAATAAATCTGATTTTGTTCCTAATAAATTAATAGAATCGTATTTAATTTTTATAAATTCCTCATGATTGTGTCATGAACATTTATTACTCATGAATAAAAGCAAGAGTTGTTATAAAAAGCTAAGTACATCAAAACTAAATGAAATCCCTCCTCATTCCTTGCAAATCCCTATTTAAAAAAAAAAGTTGTTGAGAATAGAAAGTAAATGGGAATGGGGAAGTTTGCCTGACTTAAGTGTATCCATTTGCCGTGCTCGTTTCTTCTGCCTCCTGGGTCAGGAAAAGCTAAAGCTTCACAGCTTCTAACCCTGTGATGTGAAGGCTGTCTGATGCTCCGCCTTGGGCCTTCCTGCCATGTAGCTCACTACTCCTCCCTCTGTCTTTCTCACCCTGAGCTCCTCTCGTCCCTAGTCCTCAGAATAGTCCTTGTAAGTGAAGAGACACCACATTCCATGGTGTGTTGGGATTAATAGTTCACACTCTAATTTTTCGTAATCCTAACAGATGACTGAATATTCTAAGTAAAAGAAGCAGCGCACACATTTCTTTTCTTCAGATAATGAATGGCTCTTCTCTTCTCCGACTTCTAGAACGACTCGGAACCTGCACAGTCATTATCATGAGGCCCCCCTGACCCGGAAACACCTTCAGGTCACTGGCTATGGCATAGTAAGTAAGAAACTGGGGTGTGAGCAGGATGTATATAAAAAGTTGTGAGGTTTGGTTCAGGGCCATGTAGTAGGACACATCCTCTCCAGAATTTTAGAGTGTGCTAAGAATTTGGAGACTGTACAGAGATGAGTCTTTTTTTTTTTTTGGTTGTTGTTTTGTTTTTGTTTTTGAGATATTGTCTCACTATGTAGCCTTGACTGGCTTGGAAATTGCTGTGTAGACTTGGCTGGCCTCAAACTCACAGAGATCCCTCTGCCTCTGCCTCCCAAGTGCTGGGATTAAAGCTGTGTGCCATCATGCTGGCCGGCACATAGACTTCTTTAACATGCTATAACTGTTTAGCTCAGTTTGCTATGAGAAAGGCAACCTACGAATTCTATTTTGCCTCTCCCTCTTCTTACAAAGTCACTATGTACTTTATGTAGTCTAATATCTAATAAATGTCAGATAGGAATACAATGTAGATCTCTTAAATATCACACTGGAAGGCTGACAAGATGGCTCAATGGGTAAAGACACTTGCCATGCAAGCTTGGTGACCTGAGCTCAACTCCTGGAACCCTCATAAAGGTGGAAGGAGAGAGCTAACTCCACAAGATTGCCCTTGTCCACATGTGTACCATGGCATGTTCCTCTCCTCCTTGGTCATGCATTCATACAGACAGCCATAATACACTTAAAAGAAAAGAAAAGAAAGAAAGAAAGCCAATGACCTGGGAGACCTTTTCTTTTTGCAGATTCCAAATTCTTAATGGTTTTATTTTACAGGTTTCTCTGCTGCCATACAGAGGGAGGGCTATTACCACCATAGCTTTGTATTTTGCTATCTTAGGGACATGCACTTAATAGAATAAGTGCTCTGTAGGAGCTTGTGTCCTGAGAGTAACTGAAGCAGAGCAGCTGGTGAAAATTGTTGAGATGTATCCATCACTGTTTCTTCTAAGGCCTTTGGGGCATTGTTAAAGAGTGTGGATTCCATAAAGTGAACTCCCTCAACCTCTTTGCATTTCCTGAGCCTCATTATACTAAAGCCAAGACTCTGAAGTCCTCATCTTTCTTCCCGGGGCCTCTCCTGAGGAGGGTGAACCACAACCACCTTAGTTTCCAAGGTGCAGTATCTGGTTTGGGTGAGAGTATCTAGATATCCAAAGTAATGGACACAAATGACCCAGATTATCTTATTGGCTCAGAGTGAGATTTTAGTACAATTTATGGGCAAAATCAGCTGTCTAGAACTTAACACTCTGGTCCTATAAAGTTAGCATTTAGACTTCTCACTTCCAGATTCAGACCATGTGTATGTATTATATATGTGTGTGTACATACATATACATACATATATATATACACATGTATTTAAACTTTATATACAAAATCATTTGATTTCAAATAAACATTTAATATAAAAACAAATTTCTTTTAAACTGATTTTTTACATCTATTGTACCATTCAAATGCTTTATCATCTTAGATGATTTCTTAAAATCTGTTATCAAGGGTACATATAGAAAACCTTTTTTTTATAAATAGAAACAAAGGGATTTTCAGCTTTATTATACAATGACATAAAAAGTTTACTCAACAGAACTAATTTCACTACTTTCCAGGAGATAGTAACTTTTTTGTATCAAACAATTTTTTAAGCATTAAGTGCATAACTGCTTAAGAAATGACATAGGCAATAATTCTACATCTACACCTTCCCTAAAATATTCTATTTTTTATATATGTGCATAGCTTTAGCAAATTAAAGCCCAAGAGAAATGCTCAGAACCCATTACCTAGAGACCAAATGGGAGCTCAGTGAACTCAGAAAGAGAGATTCCCAGCTAGGACATCTGCAGCCAACACTGCAACTCCCTCTTCCCTGTGTTTTAAACACAAAAACCAGTAACTAAGAACTTAACACTGGATGACAAATCACATACACACTGTTTAAATAGTCTCACAGTGAAACACATTGTAAAGACCAGCCAAATCAGTATTTACATTTATAAATCTTTGAAGACACCATGAGAAAGCTTGTGTCCCTTTACTAAACAAGATAGGGAACTGCATCTGATGATGGTGGAATGAAATTACAGCATTAAAAATTCCAGCATTTACAGCCTCATTGATCCATTATTTAAAAAAGAATATGAAAATAGAATATCTTAAGATGATAATAAAAAATTGAGATGATGCTATTCCACCACAGTGCTTGGAATTAGAGTAAAAACCTATTGGTGGAAAAACAAAACAAAACAAAAAACAACCTATTGGTGCTTATTAATACACCAGTAGTGAAACCGCTTTGTCTTGGAGAAAATCCAACCACAATATTGAGTCTAGTAAGATTCAAGTCATGCTTCTTAGTTATTTTCTGTCCATAATTTCCTACAAACAGCATACAAATCAGCAGGCATGATTCATTTGATCTTCGGCAATAAATTCATGCTTCACAACCTAACGATTCCACAGATTCATCACTTCTTTCTCTCCTTCATTCACATCATACCCTGACTTTTTGCAATAGGGAGTTCCCAGGCAATGTCACTCTCTTGGGATACTTCTTGGCCTTCCCATTCCCTTTCCTACATCAGTCATTGAGGTTGATTTACCCTTTGAAATACGGTGGCATTTGAAAGGGTGACCATTTTCCTTTTTAACATTTTGTCTCTAACATCATCTGACTTTGGTGATTTTTTTTTTCTTGGTTTATGTGGCAGAATGGGACAGGGGACTCAAACGATTTCTGGAGGATTGAAGTTGTAAACAGAAAATTTGGGAACCGGATCAAGGTACTGAGAAGTCGAATTCGCTTCATCCATTTGGTCACAGGTTGTGTCCTGGGATCTTCAGGAAAGATTCTGCCCAAGTGGTAAGTCTTTGGGGTCCTGATATTCTAATCTAGTTTACCTATTTCTTTTCGCACTACAAGGGGTATACCACCCTGTGGTTAGAGCTCATTTCACTTTTACTTTTTTTTTTTTTGATAGTAGATAGAAGGAGAGAAGGCATCAGGGATTTTATGGTGCAGAGAACTCCAGTATGACTTTGTATTTTATGTGCTTTGATAGTTGAACATCTGTATGCCTGCCTTTAGGTTAAAACTCTAAGCCTTTGTCTCTTTGTAAAGTGGAAATAATGTATGCCAAGCATACTGTTAGGATAGTTGTAGATAACGAAAGTGAGGTTGAAAGAATTATGGTCACTGACTTATAAACAGAGAAGTTCCACAGATGTAAGAAGAGTAGACACTGCTGCGTCTGGGGGCATTGCAAGTCTTCTGGGACATTTGTGACTATTTTTCTGGCAGGGGCTGGGAGCAGTTGGAAGTAACTTGCACTCCGTACCTAAAAGAAACTGCTAACTCCATCTGGAACATAGAAGAACATATCAATCCCAAACGTGAGTTGAGGTCCTGGCTGGCTCTGAAGGAGGAAGCACACTAGACTCTTTGCTTAGGAACACAAACCTCATAGATTCTGTGATTCCATTTTATTGTTGTCAGTTTTGCTTTCTTCCCACATTGCTCTCTTTATAAGTGTTGTCTCTGTGTACACATAGCTCCTTTTTCTTCTTGTCTGTTTCCTCCTTAAATTCTTATTCTGAAGTGACCCAGTGACCTCCAAGGCCATTTCAGGCCCCCGGCTTCTGTTCCTACACCATGGGAGACTCCAGGCCTCCAGTGATTGTTGCAGATTGGTCCAGTTGCTCAGTGTCAGTCACCTCCTCTCCCCACAACTAACCAGACTCTTCACAGAAGGCCACAGCCATATTGATCCCAAATTTCTGCTTCCTGACACCTTTGACATTCCCATTAGCTTCGACTCAAAAAGTCTTTGGATTCGTTTTCCCCCACTCCACTCCAGCTTCTTCTCGATTTCTCTATACTTACCATTTCATTTTTCTTAGACACTGATCTAGACAAACAGTGGCTTAACTAGTTGAACAATTCTTTATTATGTCAGGAACCACATGGGTCTTGTGGATATATTGGTGAATGAGACAAATTTGGTTCCGGAGTCTCATACAAACCGGAGACCAGCTTCTGGGCCAGTGACACAGGATGGGTGATGGGGTCAAGAGCTGTCAGAATACCAAGAGAAGTTCCTAGATTACCTAATGAGTGCCTGACTTATGTGACCCTCTGCACTGCCTTCTGTCTCAACTCACTAGGAATACTACACTCGGGCTCTGGCGAGGGTGTGGGTACTGAGTACAGACTGTGAGAACAATGTGTGACACAGCTTTTCTCTTGTCATTTCCCCTAGTGCCAAACATCAGCCTGGATGTTCTGCAGCCCAGTTTTTCTGAGATCTTGCTGGAGTCCCACATGGTTATGATCTGGGTACTGTGAGCACTTTTTATCCCTTCTAAATATAAAACTCTTGGAGAAGCTCTTGGACACCCACAGATTCAGAGCACAGAGCAATAGCCATGGTATAGATCCATGCACCCCTTGTGGAAGAAGTTGAAATGTTTCCCCTACTGGTTTACTAGACCTTCATGGGCATTTCTGGTATCACAGGATGAGGCAGTGATTTGATAAGGACAGTGATAGCGATTCCTGTCATTGTAGTTTCATTTCTATTACTATGACAAACACCCTGATAAAAACTTCTGTCTTAATTATGGTTTTATTGATGCAAAGAGACTCCATGACCATGGCAACTCTTATAAAGGAAAACATTTAATTGTTTTCCTGGCTTACAGGTTCAGAGGTTTAGTCCATCATCATCATGGTGGGAAGCATGGTGGCATGCAGGCAGACGTGGTGCTGGAGAAGGAGCCGAGAGTTCTGTATCTGGATTGGCAGACAGCATGAAGAACGAGTGACACTAGGCCTAGCTTGAACATCTGAAACCTCAAAGCACTCCAGTGACACGCTTCTTCCAGCAAGGCCACACCTCCTAATGCTGCCACTCCCTATGAGCCTAAGGGGGCCATTTTCAATTCAACAAGCAACTTAGGGAGGGGAAGATTTATTTGGCTTACAGTTTCTTAGCTTACAGTCCATCATTGAGGGAAGTGAAGGGGCAGAAACTTGAAAGGCTCGCTATTTTGCACAGCATTTCTTCTGACTATGGAGTGCACGTCACCCCAGAGTACAGGAGGAACCATAGATCCTAGCTGGTTCACAGGCCAGCATATACTCAGTTATCTTTCTAGTTAAGGACCAATTGCCTAGGAATGGCACCACCCATGGTAAACTGAGCCCTCCCATGAAAATCAAAATAATCTCTTACAGACATACCCACAGACCAACAAGAGCTAGATAACTGGGTGGAGGCTCTCTCCCAAGGTGATTATGGGCTATAGCAAATTGGCATTAAAGCTATCCAGCACACCAGTGAACATTTATGCAGCTCCCACTACTCTGGGCACTGTATGTATATTAACTATTTAATATTCATTATGGTCCTATGAAGATTATTGTTGTTGACATTTTACAGGAAAGGAACTGAAGCACAGAGATATTAAGGGCACATAGCTATACGTAAAGTAGATCCAGGATTCAAAGGTAGGCTAGTGGTTTTTAGCGTCAATTTCAGTCACCATTGACACTCCTACCTGAGTGGCAGTGCCCCTGAAAGCCACACATTAGAGCCAGATAGAATGAGAAGCTGCTTTGGGTGTGTTTATATGCATCATACAAACTTAACCTTGAACCCTGAACCATTCCTATTCCTGGGCTAAAGCTATTTAGCATGGCTGATTCTTGTTTAATGATTCCCAAGACTCACTGTTTGCCCCTGTTGTTGTTAGTAGCTGGCAGCAACCATGGCATCAAAAGTCTAAGTTGAGAGAGGAAATCTTTAAATGGAGAAGATTTTTGCCCATGGATGAAATTTGCCTGTGTAAATGGGAAAGGCATTGCTACAGTTGATGTCTGGTGGAAGACCCCCTTGCTCTTGAGGTGGGAACCTGAATTTTATAGGAATGATGTTCAGAACCACAGTGTCTCAGGCCACAGAGGTAGCTGTCAGCCACCCACAGAGCTGCAAGGAGCTGTGGCATTTGTTACTGTTCCTCTCTGAGCCACTGTCAAGTAGACTTACCTGGGAGTGATTATATAAGTCCTTAGAAAACATAGTTGACTTAGTTCATCAAATTAAACTTTTAAAATCCAGATTTTTGTCAGTTTTGCACATTGGAAGGTGATAAGTTGACATGAAACAGTCTCTGGGTCACTTCTTCTCTGACTCTGTGCGTGTAGCTGTCACTGTGGTCCAATGACATAGCTCTTTTGAATATGTGTCTGTCACTCAGAGTATCAGTCTGGGTCTAAGTAGAATTTTAAGACTGAAGTGACTGTAGAATTTCATTCCTTGTTTCACTAAGAGGTAAAGACAAAGAAAAGGGTGTGTAAGAGTTCTCAGTCTTCCAGACTTAGAAGAGAGACAGTGAATCTAGACTGTAGACATTCAGATATCGGTGTGTATGTTGTGTCTGTGTCTGTGTCTGTGTCTGTCTGTCTGTGAGTTGAGACCTGAATGGAGCAAGCCTGGAAAAGTGAGGTGGAATGAACCATCTAGATTTAGCTTACACACACATATCCTGTTGGGTAAGGATCTGCCTCCTTTCATCTCTTGCATTGTAGAGATGCTAGATTTCTCTAAGTTGGGTGTAGTGAATAGGATTCCTATGAACTGCTAAGGTCTGGTTTTGAACTAAGTTGGACTTGTTTTAAGGGATTGGTTTCCCTCATAAATTACTCCCAGGACCAAAACAGTTCATTCTTTATTTCAAAGCTCTTTGGATAGCTATGGTAGTTGTGGTGGTTTGGATAAAATTGGCCCCCATAAGCTCATATATTTGAATGCTTGGTCACCAGAGAGTGGCTATTTGAAAAGATTAGGAGGTATGACCTTGTTGGAAGAAGTATGTCACTGGGGGTAGACTTTGAGGCTTGCTTTATTTATTTGTTTGTTTGTTTTCAAGACATGGTTTCTCTGCTTACCTGGCTATCCAGAAACTCACTCTGTAGACCAAACTGGCCTCAAACTCAGTGATCCACCTGCCTCTGCCTGCTGAGTGCTGGGATTAAACGTGTGCAACACCATTGCCCTGCTTAAGGGTTTTGAAGTTTTAAAGAAGCCCGTGCCAGGCCCTGGTGTGCTCCTTCCCTCCCTTTCTGTGCATCTGTCTGCCCACCTGTTTAATGTAGCTCTCTGTTACTGCTCCAGCACCATGCATGCTGCCATGCCCCCTACCATGATGAAAATGGACTAAACCCCTGAAATTATAAGCAAGCCCAATCAGTGCTTTCTTTTCTAAGAGTTGCCTTGGTCATAGTGTCTTTTCACGGCAATAGAACACTGACTAAGATACAAGTTGGTACCAAGGACTGGGGTGTTACTGTAACAAACCTGACTGTACTGCTTGTTGGTGGACCCTGGACTTTACGAGTTTGGATTAGGAAAGCATTTGAACCCTTTAAGTGGGACTTAATGTGCCACACTAGTAGGAGACTGGAAGACAGTGATGCTGAGAGCCATGTAATTTTAACAGCCCAACTCAAGAAATTTCAGAAGGGAAATATTAGTGTCCTAGAGACCATTCTTGAGATATTTTGGCAAAGAATATGTCTGCTTTTTGCATTTGTCCTAAAACTTTGCCTGAAGATAAGTTAAAGAGTTTTGGATTGGCATTGGAAGAAATTTCAAGACAGCCTAGTATTGACTCTGTTGTGTAGTAATTCAGATCTTGTGCAGATCTATAATGAAAGGAAGGAGCAAACTGGACAAAGAAAAACAAAAAAATGTACAGTTTGAGGAGAAAAGGAGCACCAGAAATTCAGTGTTCAAGGAGATAAAAAGTTTAAAGAAAAGCCTGTTGCTAAATGGAAAAAAGGGGTTAGTGACCTCGGAATAGAATCCCACCTAGCTAAACTTCCTACTTGTGAAAAGGAATGAAAGCTTATAGAGTGAAGAAAACCATTAACAACAGAAAGCTGATGCAAATGCAGTTAAACAAGGGGCCAGGTTTCGGCCCCCAGCAAACATAATTTGGCAGTTTCTGTCATGTGGTTCTGACTTTAGAGTAAAGGATACAGACAGGGGATGTGGACAGTCCCTTCATGACTAAGGCAAGCCACTGAAGCCAGACATGTGTCAGGGGTGTCCCTGCATAGAGGTACAGAAAGGCCATGTGTGAAGATGAAGCTAGATTGACTTGAAGACCCCAAGGTGTTAGAGATGCCAGAGTAATGGGATCTCTGCAGAGGAAAGCTACAGACAAGGCATGGAACCAGGCCGAGAGAGAGAAGCATGTTGAAGTCGACTATTGTTGGTTGTTTTTAGTCTTTACCCTTTTGGTTTTCTGACTCTTTTGGCTTTTAACTCTTGAGGGACCCACCACCCAGTTCCCAAATCACACATGGAGTTTTGTCGTTACTTGGCTTGTTGCTAGCCAGCTTTTTGTAAAGTAAATTAACCCATCTATCTACCTTTTCCCTCTGGGCTTTTTCTTTTTTCTGTTCCTGTCTACCTTTCTTTCCTTCTTGCTCCTGTCTTGCTATGTAGCTGGATGGCTGGCCCCGTCGTCCTCTTCTTACTCCTCTCTTGCTATGTAGCTGGATGGCTGGCCCCGTCGTCCTCTTCTTGCTCCTGTCTTGCTATGTAGCTGGATGGCTGGCCCCATCGTCCTCTTCTTACTCCTGTCTTGCTATGTAGCTGGATGGCTGGCCCCGTCGTCCTCTTCTTGCTCTTTTGCTTCCCCTTGCTTGTTTCGCCTTCTATTTATACCCTGCCCGACAGCCCCTGTTCTTGCTCCTGCCTTGCTATTGACCGTTCAGCTCTTTATCAGGACCATCAGGTGTTTTAGACGCGCAAAGAATTACAGCTTCACAGGGTTAGTAACAAATGCAGCATAAACAAAAGTCACACACCTGAAAATAATATTCTACCACTTCAACAAATCTGAAAGGCTTTGGAGATCTGGAGAGTGCTTTAACGTTAGACATGTAGTTGCAGAATTTGCAGTTTACCATGTCTGGTTTAAGACTTGCTTTGCTCTGGTATTTCCTCACTGTCTTGTTTCCTCCCTTTTGGAATGGTCATGTATGTTCTGTGCCAGTGTGTGTTGAAGTATCTGGTCTGCTGTTTGATTTTGATTCTACAGAGGGTTACAGTTAAGAAACTGCCTGACTGCCATGAGTCTCAGAAGAGACTTTTAACTTTTAAAGTGTTGAGACTGTAATAGACTATGGGAACTGTTGAAGTAGAACTGAATGCAATTTTTTTTGTATTATGATATGTCTACAAGCCTGTAGACTCGTGTATTTGAGTGCTTAGTCACTAGGGAATGGCACTATTTGAAAGGATTAGAAGTTGTGGCCTTGTTTGATGAAGTGCGTTACTGAGGGTGGGCTTTGAGGCTTCAAAAGCTCAGGTGGCCTTCCACTGCCCCCACCCCATACCTGTTGGCCTAAGGGTCATGCCATGCTTCCTGCTATGACAGTAATGGACTAAGTCTCTGAACCAGTCAGCAAGCCCCCAGTTAAATGTTTTCTTTTAAACATTTGCTGTGGTGGTAATGACTAGTGATTCAGGGATGTACAGCTGGTCCTTTTGGGATACATACACACACATACACATTCCTCCCAGTGGCACTTATTGAGAGCAACCCATTGCCATTCTGAGGCAAACTAAACTGTGCTCTAGCCCTCCCTTTGTTTAATTAGTCAGGCTCCTTGGTAGCAGGTCACTAAATATGACCTTTCTTGTATAAACAAGTAGCTCTCAGTTGAGGGTAGTTTTGCCTCTCTGGTGAGATCTAGTAATATATGAAGACATTTTTGGCTAGAAGAGTTGAAGAATAGGGTGGGGAAGGGGCTCTACTGGCCTTCTGATGGGTAGGTACTGGGCGCTAAAACAGGACAGGCCTACAACAAAGCTGTCAGCCCAAAATGCCGGTAGCAGCAAAGCTGTGAAAGCTGGCCTGCACAGCCACTGACCCCCTCCCTAGTTCGTGTTAATGACGAGGATGGCTCAGGCCTGGGAGCTAGTGTCCAGGATCCTAGCTCTGTTCCTTCCCGTTTTAGCCAAGGCCTGGGTCTGCCATGTGAGACAAGTCACAGGATGTTCTTAGCTGGGTTCAAGACTTTAGACTAAATTGAGTACTGGAAATGATTTCTGCTCCCAAAGAGGGGAAAAAATATCTTACCTCTCACAGGTATTTGTATAGTCCGTAGACAGCTATATAATGTGGATATTCTATTAAAATATTACAGGGGGCACTTAGAAAAAAAGTAATATTCCGAAAGGCTCCTCCTGGTGAGGGGCAGGAAAGGGAAGCCATTGAGAACTAAGCTGAGGTAACCTTTTCTGAGTCTCTGTTCTGTGTGAAATCAGATACTGATTTTATCCTCCTCCACACTGGTTTTAGCCTTTGGAGCACCGATCTTAGCCGTGTGGGCTGGGGTTGGTAGGAGTGGAGGCCAGTGGACAGAGGCTGCAAATGGGAAGCTGACTGCTCTGTGCCAGGGATTGGGGAGTCACTGGGGTTTTCTTGGCACTTGGCTGGGTATCAGATGACTATGCCTCATGTCTGTATTAGCTGCTTAGATCTCTTTCTTGACTAGCTTCACTTTGCTGGCTTCTTACAGGGAAACAATGGCCTCAAACCCAAGGACAATGAGTTCACATCCAAACCCTGGCACTGGCCTATCAATTATCAGGTAGGGCCCAAGACTAAAGCTCTTTCAGGAAATAGAGCCAGAAAAGAGACCTTTGAATCTGTGGAGCTGGAGTATTCGTGGCAAGGGGACGCCTCACCTGGGGAACTGGCCAGGAAAGCGGCTCTGTTTGTGACTGGTTCTGACCCCCTTCCTAGAGAGTTCATGTCGAGTGTACATTCTGAGCTTCCTGTCCAGGATGCTTGTCTATGAAAGATGTGTAATTTATGTAACCTCCTTCCCCTTGAGTGGGGGTGGCAGGGGATGAGCTAAGCCTGGGATCAGCAGAGTGTCCTTTGTTCCACAGGGCCTGCACTTCTCAGGGGCCAACGACACAGACTTCAGAGTCTATCTGCTTGGCAACCCTGTGAGTATTCCAGTTCTGAATGCGTAGGCAAGCATTTGCCTTTAGAAGCTGCTGACCCTTACTTATCCCCAGCTCTTCTTCTATACAGGTGGTTTGGTGGCTGAATCTGGTGAGCATTGCCCTCTACCTCCTCTCGGGGAGCACCATTGCCATCGCTCTGCAGAGAGGGGGTACAGTTGCCAGCAGAGTTGGAAGGTCAGGGTCCCTGAGCTTTCCCTGCTGTCTTGGCCTGAACTCTGGGGAGGGTTTGCCTGCTCTGGGGCTCCCCTCCCCCCTCCCCCCACTGCACACACTTCCTCTTCTTAGCTTTGAATCACATAGTCAGTTGGTACCTTACACTGAGCTCAACATTTTGCATCTTCCCAGTACCCCTGTAGCAGAGTGTCATCGGCCTTTCTGTGTATTAGGAAACTAGACACAGCGAGACAAAGAGCTTGTCATAGGACATGTAGCCAGTGCACTAAGGACACACCCCAGCAAACTACCTTCGGATCCTTCTCTTTCATACTGTAGCCAGAGAAGTCCCTCTTTCCTCTCTGCCACCTTTGGTCATGGCCCTGTCCTCCAGTGGGGTTAGAGAGGTAACTGCAGGCCAGCACAGTGCTTGCCCTCATGGTTACTTTAGCTGCTGGCCATGGGTGACATCGTGACACCCCAGGTACCCTTCTGTCCTTGCCAGCTCCCTGACTGAGCAGTCCCAGCTCCAGACACTCCCCCACTGACCTCACTGCTGAGGAATGTCTCTGAAGACACAGAGGTGGGAAGTGGAGACCGGAAGACAGTTGTGGGGGGGAGGGGTGTCTCCTGCCACACGCCCACATCAGGCCCCTGTGGGCATCCCTACCAAACTGGTGCTGACCAGGGACTCTGGAGACCTACTGACTTTCCTCTTTGTAGTTGCCATGGGATCTGGGTAGTCCACGTGAGGAAAGGAAGGCCTAGTGAGATGATGTGGCCTACTCAGGGTCACACACCAGGACAGGGCAGAGCTGGGCTGGAGCCCAGGCTCTGCCTCCACTGCCTCCTCATTGGGCTGTGCTGGTTGGGCTGCACAGGGCTGACCAGGGTGCTGCTTCGAGGAGGTGGCCAGCTGCTGCTGGGCTGGATGCTCCATTACTTCCCCTTCTTCCTGATGGGCCGGATCCTCTACTTCCACCACTACTTCCCAGCCATGCTCTTTTCCACCATGTTGACAGGTCAGCACTGCCACCTACCTGCCCTGAGGGCACACCCACTGCGGTGCCCCCTCCTGTGGAATCCCCAGGGGTTGTCCTGATGGGCTGCTACAGGTCTCCTTCTCTCCACAGGTGTCCTGTGGGATACACTTCTGCGGCTCTGTGCCTGGGGCTTGGCCTCCTCTCCCCTGGGCAGCAGAATACATGTGATGGGAATCCTAAGCCTGCTTCTGGCAACTGCCTACAGGTATATCCCCTTACATTACCTTCAGCTTGAGATCTGGGTACGTTTGAGAATCCCTGGGGTGCTCTTAAGGTCTTCCCATGGCTGGGCCATGTCCCTGGGGGTTATGGATCTGCTGGGCCCGAGTGGTCCTAATGTGTAGTTGGGTAAGAACAGCAAGGGCCTCGCTCCACTTTCTCCTTGCCATTGGTTCCTAGCTTCGACACCACCCAGGACAACTAGAAGGGTACCCTTTCCCATCACAGCGGCGCTTTGATAAAACATCAGACAGCGGGATGAGAGGAGGGTGGGAAGCATAGGACTGGGGATATAGGGCTTTGACTGGTATTTGTCAAGTCCTCCTCTCTCTATCTTCTGGAAAGTCTCAGAGCCCCTGTGAAGAGTCCTTGGCCATCATAGTGGGGCCTGTGTCCTATGAGCACATGCCTGCTACAAAGGTTAAATTTACATGTTGGCAAGCACTCTGAGCCACACATCCCGTGGCCAGATCCCTAAAAGGTTAGGCCTGTTGGGGAAAGTCATTCAGCCAGTATTGTAACAGTGCACTTGGATGACCTTAGGCAGATGGGTGGATGGACAGATGGACTGGGTTATGTTGTGTGATGGGCCCCAGCAGGGGGAGTTGCAGTTAGATCTTCTCAGTGATGTTCTGAGATGCTGACTACCTTTCTCTTATTCTCACAGCTTCTACCTCTTCCACCCTCTGGCTTATGGGATGATTGGTCCCCTAGCCCAGGAGCCTGAGAGTCCAATGGCAGGACTAAGATGGCTGGAATCATGGGACTTTTGAGGCCTGGATCCAGGTATTGTTCAGGGACACCCAGCTATGGAGCCAGATCCTGAGCCTGAGGAGCCTAAAGCATTCTGCTACCCCCAGGACCAAACTCTGGGAAGCAGACCTGGATTTAAGTCAACACTAAAAGGAGCCCCAGCCGTGTCTGCAGCACCTACACAGGACACTGTACCTGCAGCACCACTTGGTACCAGTTCCCTGCTGTGCAACACAATTAAAGCGGGTGTGAATGTGGGAGGGTACATCCGTTCCATCCCCTGGGAGTGTAGACCACCTAACTGGAGTTACGTGTCTTAAATTCCAAGAAACGGCCCAAGGTTAACAGGATGTTCTCTGGCATCTTTTTACGTTGAATTTGGTTTATAAGGTTCATAAGAAATCCTTTGATCTCCAGGAGGGCTGAGTGCTGCCCCACCACTCACAGGGTTACGAAGGCACAAACAGGTGAGACCATCAAAACTCTCCCACCCCTCCCACACTGGGGGCTGGCCCTCTGCTCCTGCCACCAGTGTCTTCTGTGGATACAGTGCTGCCTATGGTGTGTACCCAGCACAAGCTGGCAGAGACGTTGCCAGTCTCTGGCTGACCTTCCTTAGAGAAGGACCTGGCTGGGTGGAACCCACATCTTGACTGCTGTGTGCACAGAGACTGTTTCTCACTGACCGCCGCTTGTCTCTGCAGCTGCCTGGCTCTGAGGACTAAGCCTTGCTGGCTGATAGAGCCAACAGCCAAGTCAGAGCAGAGATCTGTGGGATAAGGGACACTCAACCTGTCTGGGCTGATGTTCCTGCATGGCATTCCTGTTTTCACACTTCCGGCCCTCCCTGCCAATACATTCTTTTGCCTCATTGTCATTTCCTTCCCCGTTCTGACGCTGCTGTGTCAAGTCTTTTCCCCCAAAGATCCAGAGCCCCTGAAAAACAGCTTCTAGTGCCCTCCACTTTCAGCTCAGAGCTGTTCTTCCATTTCCTTGCCCAAAGGGAGTAAGAAAATTTGGTCAGGACTAAACCAACCCAAGACTAGCCCTTTAGTCTGCCTGCTTCAGTTCAGAACAAAGTAATTATTTGATCCCAGAAGATTTTTGATATTTCAAGGTTTAATGATGAATTTGCCACACTCTATCTTCTCAACAACTCTGACAGGGTCAGAGCTCTTTAAAGCATCTTCAGGAGGTGGTTGCCACGGAGACTAGAAATTGGTCTCAGGGACAGACTGTGCTACCTGCAGAGTGGTGGAGAGGGAAGCTTCTGGGCCCTGCTTGGGCATTCAGCTAGAGTATCATTAATGTTAATAGAGGAAATGCAGCCCTGTCAAGAGCAAGGCAAGGTAGCTAATTAGATCTGAGGCCCACTGACCATCCTCTCCCATGGCTGCACTCTTATGACTCCCCTCCTCCCCCAGCAGGAAGTGCGGCTAGTGTGTGGAGTCTGAGCTGCTTGCTTAATTGCATTTCTGGCAGGGACTGGGGAGCTCCCATTACCCTCCCCAACCTTTGCCTGTAGCACCAGGCAGAGCCTGTTCTGAGCCCAGTGGGGTACCTTCTGGGTAGATTTTCCTGAGAGGGGATGCAGGAATCTGTGCTTGGCTCTTAACAAGGAGGCCCTCGGGGGTATTGAACAGGTGGCTGAATTTTCTTGTGCCTTATTTCTGGGGGCACTTGTTAGAGGGGAAGAACCCTGAAGTAACCAGGGGGTGGCCTTCGAGAGCCAGAGTAGGTAGGAGAATTCAGTGGGCTCCCTCCTCCAATGTCACACTGAGGACAGAAGGGGCCTCTTGTTTGCAAGTATGGGAAGAAGGTGTCCCTCTTCTTTCATACCCAGACTGGCAGATACTTCTATGGGAAATAGGCCACTTGGTGACATCACTAAACACTTGGGCTCTATTTGGAAGATGGAGGGACAGTGGGCCCAAGGGTGCTGCTTTGCATGTGGGATGCAGCCCTCGGGAACTGGCAGGGATGTACATCTAAGACAGCCGGCAAGGAAGAAGATGTGCCAAGCAGCCTAACCCAGCCAACGTCTCAGCCTACCGCACTTCGTTTTCTCTCTATTTCTCTTTTTTACGTGTCCAGAGGTAATCAGAGACCATTACTTTTGTAATAAACAGCTCTCGTTTTCAACACTACATTGTTCTTGTGCTTAATTGTATCTGACTTGCCCTTGAGAAAAATGTTTAGATGACAAGAACCAAATCTCATGGCTGGGGCCATTCTCATTCCAGCCGAGACTCTGGCTTAATGCCAGGGGAGTGTGGGCCTTCCTGAGTACTTGCTTACTTGAGGGACAGTGGCTGTTGTTTCCGTCACTGAAGCTAAAACCAGTAAGAAGCTGGGCCTTCTTTTTCTTGTTTAACTTCCCCAGACAGTATAGAAAGAAACAAGGCAACCATTTCTCCCCAGTTCTGAGATAGCTATGTGACCCAGTGTGATGGCAAATTCCTGTTCCAATCAGCAGAGGGCCCCATCCTGACGCGGTCTTCTGTTGAGAATGCAAGCCATAGACCTGGTGCTGGAAACCTGCGTGGGTGATGCAGGAATGAGGAAATACCAGGCACGCATACAGAAGAGCTGGAACTCATGAGTTACGGTGGAGATGCACCAGCTACTCGCCTGGACCCTCGGTGTGTTTTTATACACAGCACCAGCACGGGGAGGAGTTAGCTAGCCTCAGTGGAGGTCTCTGCCTGCTGGAAGAGACATCCTGAAGGAAGAACCCGGAGCCCAGCCTTGTGTACACTCTGCCAGCGTTCCCACAGGCACCAGAGGAAGGCTCTGCCAATCCCCATGGGTCTGAGGCACTGAGGTTCTTTTCAGTGATACACATTCACTCAGGACTTTGTCGGCTCTTTACATTCATCCACTCGGGTTTCCTACAGAAGGGGACAGCTGACAGCATTGGATTGAAGGTCAGGGCTGAGGGGGTTAGTGCCTCTGTGAGACCACGTGTCTTCTGGACTACCTTGCAGTCCCCCTAAGGACCATAAGGCAGGAGGCAGGCTGGTGAGAAAGATGGGTCATTCCCATCAATCAGGAGGTGGCATCGGGAAGATGCCAGGGGTGGGCAAATCAGAAGGGGACCAAATTCTCTGTGAGTGGCAATAGCTTAGTAAACATCTGACTTTTGGTTTTTGTTTTGTTTTTTGAGGCAGGGTTTCTCTGTGTGGCCCTGATTGTCCTGGAACTTGCTCTGTAGACCTGGCTGACCTGGAATTTAGGGGTCAGCCTGCCTCAGCCTCCAAGCACTGGGATTAAAGGCATGTGCTATCCGAGAGCTAGTTAACATTATTTTAATACATGTGACTTAGTCCTCCCACAGGCCCAGGGAAGCCACTCTTCTATTCTCCATTGTACCCATAGGAGGTTATATTACTTACCTAATGATCCACAGTTAGAAAATCACGAGGCAGGACTTGGTGCCCCAGCCGGTTCTGGACTGGAAGCACCTGCCTGGAGCACCCTTGTGGCCCTGGATACTAGGATGAGGCTAGGCACAGCTGGGGGGGGTTGTAATTTAGCCTGATATTTTGTACATTCTGTATAATATGCAGCTAAGATTCAGGGCTATTGGGTTCCCCCAGGGGTACTCAGACCCATGGAGGTAAATATTTTGTAACAGGTTTCCTGTGGGGGCAAAACTAAGCCCTAGTTTATAGCATTTGCCATTTTCTGTGGTGCAAATGCTTCCTCTGTGGCCATTTCAAGGTGCTGACTTGATGTCAGTGACTGAGGAGCATAGTCAGCTCTAAGGCTGTATGAGTTAACCCAGCACTTTGACTCAGACCCATTAACCTGGGCTCAATTATGGACATGGCTCTTGGTTGTGGTCTATTAATCTGAGGGAGGCAGTGGGGAGAGGAGCCTCCCATTTCCATAACTGTAAGGTGCTATAATAAATAGCATCTCCTTCACAGGGCTGTTAGGAGGATACAGCTAATGGGCACAGTGTCTGAACACATGCCCAGTCTGCTGACTCTTTAAGGACTAGAGGACACTTGAACTGTCCTAGATTGTGACCTGGATATCCCACATGGGAGGAGAGGTCCTCTCTAGCCCCTCAAAGCAGAATTCAAACCATCTGTAGTGGGGATACCTCTCCCTGACTGCTTAGGCTACACCAGATGCTGGGGCCTCTCCCCAAGGGGAGCACACCTAGTTCTCTGTCACCTCTGGCTCCAGGATGACAAAGAAGAGCTGTGGGTTTGGGTGCTGTTTCCTCTCGTGAACTCTTCAGACCTCAGATGCTGTCGAGGGAAGAGGCAACAAGGGTCCTGAGTGAGGACCTCCAGGAAGTCCAAGTTGGGTACAGTGGAGGGTGCAGACAGGATAGGTGGATTGCAGAGAACACTGCCCCATTGGGCTCTTACTCGGGGTCTCCTGACTCGTTAAGACATGGGCTTTTTGTCAGGCTGCCCTAAAGCCTTGCTCTCCTGCTGCAGGGACCCAGAGATAAACAGAGGTGGAGAAGAGTGGAATTGTGCCCAAAAGTCAATCTTAGGAGCTTGGTTGGAGCAGGAGAGAAGGGTCCCCAGAAGAAGTTCTAGAAGGCATGGGACTGAGCACATCCAGCACAGGGCTGCCCATGGGACTACAGTCTGTTCATAACCAAAGTCCAAGGACACTGATTTATATCCATGCAAAGAAAAACTCTGAAGACCTTGCCACTCAACCCTTCCAGCACATCTGAGGATGCCGTTATAAAGTCAGCAGTGAGCCATGAAGGGAGGGTGATCCCCAGTACCTGAGCCAGTGAGTGGAACTGGGCTGGGGCCAAAGACCTTCCGTGCTTCAAAGAGAACAACAGTGCTAACTGACAGGTGGCCAGCTGCAACTGATGGCGAGCACAGGACTTAACCGAGCCACTTTTAGAAAAGAGTATTAATTTATGTGTCTTTCTCAGGCACTCCAACTAATTGTTTAAGATAGTCTTTTACTGAACCGGGAGCTCACTGAACTGGCTAGCTAGCTCAAGGGTGGATCAGAATGGAACCCCTCTGGGGAATAACTGGAAATGCATGGATATTCAGGTGCCCCAGTAAGACCCAGGGTTTGAGCAGAGAGGACAGACAGACAGACACCAATTTGGTGACCTGGGTCCAGCTTGCTGAACTCAAGGGAAGACAGTAGTCAGGGCTTGTGAGCAGAGACCATGAGCCCGGAGGGCAAGCCCAAGAGTTTTCCAGTGGGGAGGTGGAACTCACCTTGAACATTGGGCCTCCGGGTTCTCCCTCAGAAACAGGATTATTTATTACTGAAGGGGAGTGAGGCAATCTATGTAGCCCAGGCTGGTTTCACCCTCCTCCATCTTCCTCTCAATGCTGAGGTTACAGGCATGTGCCACTAGGCCAGCCTGGATAAGTAGTAGCATTGCTAGTTTTCGGGAGTGAAACAAGCCCAGAGCAATTTCTCTTAGGCTCTGAAGCCTGGACATTTCCCAGGCCTCGGGTCGTCCCTGCCTAAGGCGGGTGCAGAGGGAGCTCATAAACCTCGCTAAGCCAGAGGGGGTGGGAACCACGGTAGCTTTAAAGGGCGGTTCTCTGGGAGCTTGGGGCACAGGGCGCAGCTGCCCGCGCGGGGTCCCCGGAAGCGCCAGTGGGTGCGCATCCTCTCGGCTGGACCAGCGAAGGAGCGGTTGTTGGGCCCCTCCCGACTAAGGCACTGGGCCTGGAACTCACCACCACCACCCCGCGTCGCCGCGGAGATGGCGCGTGAGGTGACTGTGCCCAAGCCCCGAGAGTCCCATCCCTGCATCCCGCATCTCTCCGGGGAGAGCATGGAGCTTCCAGAGCCCGAGCTGATCCGGCAGAGCTGGCAGGCGGTGAGCCGCAGCCCTCTGGAACATGGCACTGTCCTGTTCTCCAGGTGAGTGCTACCGGGCCGGGGGCGCGAGTGGAGGGGTGCCTGGCAGCAGTGGGCTTGTCGCCAGAGGAAGAGAAACGGGGCCCGCCGCGCGAGAGGGGTGTGCGGGCAGCGACAGGTGGTGCTGTCCCATCTGCTATTCCTAGATAACGGCTCCCACCTGAACTAACTGGGGCCGGCGGGGTTCCTTACCCGCACCCACCGAGCAGGCGGGTAGATGCAGTGCCCCCTGGTCTACTCGGTGATATCTTAACTGGTAGTGACTGCAGGACTGCCCATAGGGGCCGGGCCGATAGGAGGAGATGAGCCCCGAAGGCCAGCAGGGGTGTACAGGCAGCTAGATCGGTGGGACGGGCTCCCGTGCCCACCCAGCCACCTTTGAGTGGAAGGAGGTCACGTTGTCCTGGCCTAGGAGAACTCATACCCAGCCACCAGCAAGATGAACCCTTCCGAGGACAACACAGGCTTAGGACCGTTCCAGAAGAGCAGCGACAGGCATCCTGTCTTACCACCGGGAAGAGAGGGAGAAGGTATAGGCCCTACAGGAGGAGGGAGCTGGTTTTAAGCCTCACCTCAGGCAGGGCCATCACCAAAGAGCCACACTCCCTCGCTCATCGCAGATCCCCTAGGCCAGTCCAAAACTTCGGAGCAAGACGTTTTTGCAAAACATCTCTCAGATGGAAGGGGAATAAATTCAGTTACACAAAAGAGTTATGCAAAAATGCAAGCTCTTCCCAGTGAGGCTGGCATTTTCTGGTTGGGTCAACTGTATTTTTTTCAAACTTCCCCCACCCCTACCCTGCTCCCCCAGCTTCCTCTGACACACACTTACTGATGTCCACTGAGGCTTTACTATGTAACTTAGTTTGCTTGCCTCTCTGAGCTTCTGTTTTCTTTTCTGAACCCACTGCTTAGAAGTAAGAGGGACACACAACCACAGTTAACTAATAAGAAATGCTTAATGCTCATTAGTGCATGGATTGTGTAGATGGCATCACCCACATAAGCCTCAGATCTGAGGACATTGGGGAATTTTGATCCTAAAGGGAATTTCCCCCTAGATTTTGGTTTGAGATTCCTGCCTGTCAAACTCAGCTCCTCAGTTGCTTAGGAAGGAGCTAGGGCCTGCCAGGTAATGTGAGAGGGGATACGGTGTCCTCAGGGATGAGGGGATTTGACTAAGCTGGCGGTGCCCAGTTAGGAATGTAGTGTGGCTTTCTTCTGAGCAGCCAGGATCTGTTGGGTTGCTGCTCACTGCTGATGACCGCTGCTCCCAACCCACAGGCTCTTCACTCTAGAACCCAGCCTCCTGCCTCTCTTCCGGTACAACGGCCGCCAGTTCTCCAGCCCTGAGGATTGTCTCTCCTCCCCAGAATTCCTGGACCACATTAGGAAGGTGAGGGAGGCAGAGTCATGAGGTCTCAGATCTGTAGAACCTTGTCTTGGTCGGGAAGAAGGGACTTGGATATGGAAAGCAGCTTACACACACACACACACACACACACACACACACACACACACACACACACCATTCCTGCCTCTCTGGATTGGACCCAGCCTCCTCCCCAACCCTGTCCTCATGCCAGCTGGACCCAGCCTGGTACATTGCTCTCAGTGTTGTCCTTTGGCTCCCGAGGCTTGTATGGGTGGATCTTGGCCATTTGGAATCACCTGCCTACGAAAAACTCGGTTGGGCTCATGATCTCCACAACACTCCAGTTTATCCTTGTCCCATGCAGGCAGTATTGTTCTACAGATAGGTCACAGGTTTTGAGATCCTCAAAAGAGAAGGACTTCATGGGTGGAATTTCAGTGATCCAGCCACTACATACTGAGCGCCTACTGTATACAGACATTGGCTGCCCACCCCCTTTGATCCTGGACAACTGCATCCTAAAAGTCTCCTTGGTTTAGAAGTCCGGGTTCTAGGCTGTGGTGGTAAGCAGGTAGCATTGTGCTGGACCGTCTGTGTCCTCGACAGGTGATGCTGGTAATTGATGCTGCAGTGACCAATGTGGAGGACCTGTCTTCACTGGAGGAGTACCTGGCCGGCTTGGGCAGGAAGCACCGGGCTGTGGGAGTGAGACTCAGCTCCTTCTCGGTGGGTAGCTCCAGAGCTGAGGCCAGCACTCTCTCGAAGCCCCCCAACCCCCCATCAAAGTCCATTTGCTTCCCTTCACACCTCCAGTTCCTCAGATGACCAGAAATACCGGCCTGCTCTAGTTGGCTGCGCGTGACTAACACTGACCTGACCTCTCAGAGCCTCAGAGTTCTATAGGTGTCCAACCACCTTGAAAGGCCCCCTTAAAGCAATTTCTGAGTTCTTGTGGCTAGACTTGATTCTTTCTCTGGAGTCTGGTTGGAGTTGCCTACGTGTGTATCCACTGGGGCTAGGATGTCGAAGGTGACCCGTGAACTTTTAAACTTTCCTCCTGCTAGTTAAGTCTCAGCAAGGAAGCCCCAGTGGGCAAGAGCTTATAAACCCTCTGCTGGCACCACTGTCACTAAAATTCCACTGGCCGAAACCAGTCACAAGGGATGGTCTTGATTGCCTCTCCATTTTCAGGGTTCCTGGTCCTTCGGGGATACTCAGTAATACATGAGGGGTCAATAGAACTCATTTCACTTGATGAATAATATGGCAGACTGTGTGCAGCTGCTGCGCTGTTATTTATTTATTTTTAATAGAACCTGGGTTTTTGGCCTCCGTTTTACTCACGAAGCAGCTGAGGCTCACAGGGTAGGGTAGATTGCTCGGGGTCATCCAGGCTGGGAATGTTGGCCAGAATCTGAACTCACACCCACCTGGATGCACGGTATAGGCTTCTTAATCTCTCTGCTACCTTGCAGGTGGGCAAAGGGTGATCTGCGGGAACTGACTTGGTTGGGTCTGAGTTTCGGTTGGGTCTGAGTTTCCGGGCAATGCACAGACCCCTCTCATGTGGCGGTTGCAAAGATTAGGCGAGAGATGAAAGGCTTCACCCACGCACATCGTCCCTGTTAGAGGGAAAAGGGGGCGCGGGCTGATGCTCAGGGCCTGCTTAGGAAGCACGCACCCTGTGTGGGGGGAAGAAAAGCCCGTGTACCTTACAGGCTCAGGGTGGGGCCTCAGCTTCCTCGCCTGGGAATGGAGTGGTGCCTTCCTGCCTTCAGACGACTAAGCACTGCTTGCTTCTGCAGACAGTGGGTGAGTCCCTGCTCTACATGCTGGAGAAGTGCCTGGGGCCTGACTTCACCCCAGCCACAAAGGCCGCCTGGAGCCAACTCTACGCAGCTGTGGTGCAAGCCATGAGCCGAGGCTGGGATGGGGAGTAAGCCAACGCCCTCACCCATCTCTGTCTGTCTGTTGATCTGTCTGTAGTCGCTCAGTCCCTCCCCCAGGGCTGCCCTGCACCTTTGGCCCTCATCCCCTTGGCCATCCTAGAGAGGTGAAGGGCCAGGGCTCTGGTCAACTGCAGAGGGGTGGTTTTTCCTTCCAGAGGAGACTTTGGGTTCCCCTCATCCCCATAGATGCACCCCTGCATACCTGGTTAGCACTCCCCATGAAGCAAAAGAAGAGTTTGGGTAGTGAGGTGGCGTGGGGGTTCTTCTCAGAGAAACCTCAGCCAAGGTGAGGGCAAAGTGACTAGGCTTCTAGAACCTCCCACCTCCTCTGCTCAGTCTCTCTGATGCTTTCCTGGCAGGCTGTTTACTTTCCAAAACTGAAGAGAAGGAGTGTGTCTGGGGACCTCAGGGCACGGGAGCAGGGAAGATGGTGTTCTTCAGTGGCAATGGGCACCCTGGGTCTCAGCAGCTCAGATGCTCCATACAAAACTCCCTATGATCTTGGTTCAGCATTTCTGGTAGAAGCACCCCAGTATTCTTTTGGGTTGGAGGAACCAAGTTGGCCAGCCAGAATGGAGAGGCTAGCAGGGCAAGGAGGAGTGATGTCATGCACATGGCCCCTGAGGTCCGGGGTTCTTCCTGCTACCCTTATCTAGCAGAGCTGAGTCATGTCTCCCTGCTCTTCACTCGCCACCCTCCTGCTGCCAGCTCCTAACTCTGTGTTTAACCCTTGAGGTGAACCTGTGCCTGGACAGGTGAGCGGGGGACCATACAGTGGGAAAGGCCCTTGATCCTGTCCCCAGCAACCCACACTTTCCTCGCTCTGTGTTGCAGTTCTATAAGCTCACGAGAAATAAACATGTTCTGTGTGCTGACCCTCCATGGCTGGTCTTTTTGTGGGCCTTGACCTGCGTCAGATGAAGCTAAGAACAGGATCAGGGCATGGGGTCAGCAGAGCCAAGGCCCGAGTGGTTGGAAGAGGAGGAGGTCTGGAAGGGAAGGCCAGGGCCAATGGTGGTGGAGGAGAAGCAGTGGGTCTTGGGTCCAGACTGGCTGTGAGGCCACCAAATCCAGTTCTTTTCTCTGGGCACACACATGGACCAGCTTCCTCAGAGCAGGTGGGGCAGGGGACAGTTCTAACCGGTCTGAGTGGATATTGGGAGCACTTCCACAATGCCACACCCATCTCCAGATGTCCACATGTTCCCCACTCAGTCATTCACCAGCCTAAAGCAGAGTTCACAGTGGCCTTGAAGGTCACGTGCTGAAGACAAGAGTGAAAAGAGCTGCTTAGAGAAGGCACCCACCACCAGCATCACCCATTTAGAAGCTAATTTCACAGTGCTAGAGCCTTGCATTTGTGCTTGGGGGTGGTCAGTGCTGTCGTTTGAATCTGAAAGAGATAGTTTATAGCCAACTATTTTGAAGGCTGCAGGACCTTTAAATGGTGGTATCTTGTTGATCAAATTGGGCACTGGCACTATGGGAGCTTTGAAGGTGCATGCCTGATCCCTGGTTTGATCCCACCCTTCCTGGTCCACCAGGATATGAAGAAGCACCATCACACATGCCCACTGTCATGAACTCTGCCATGTCCTCCCGCTGGGATGGTCTGAGATCCTCTAAGTTCACCAAATGGAATAAATGTTTCCTTCTATGTTGTTTCTGCCAAGCATTTCGTCAGAGTAACACAACTATAAATAATAGTCACATATGAAACACAGCACACTTATTCCATGGAAGAGCGCAGCGTGAAAAGTGCTATCATGTGAGCTGGTCGATTAGTTCCCACATAGGCTCCAGGACTCCGGGAATGGGCCTACAGCCGGCCTGGAAACAAAGAATGTCTTGGGGCAACTGCCCTGTCTTGGTGCTTCTTATTTTCAGTAGAGATAGGGGCAGCTGGTGCCAGTGGGGTTTGCATGCTGTCATCTGGGCAATCTTTTCTGTTCAGCAGAGATGGCAGGGATTGGGGGCGATGGGGCTGCAGACACTGATTGGTATTGATCAACAGCCTGCTGGAAATGCTGTCCGCACTGCCGCACAGAGAGCATTTCCTCCAGCCCAGCAGGCTGTGGTGGGACAGCATCTTGTCCCCTCCCAACATGCCCTCCCCCATGGGACCTAGTGACAGTTATGACTCAGTTATCTATGCTGGCCTAATGTTCCCAAGTGTTTGATGCCCACTCAGGTGACCAGGATGGCCTGGCTTAGCAAAAGTCAAACACCCTTCTCTGTTGTGAGATGTTTGATCACACTGTGAAACTCTGAGACTGTGTTAATGAAACTAACTTTGGGTCAGGGGGCGGAGCCAGCTACCAGTTGACAGGAATTAGTGACAGAGAGGACAGAGGAGCCAGGGATATTGAGAGAGAGATGCACAGGGAGGAGTAGGAAGAGACTTATAGATTCAGGGTCCTTTGGGTTTGGGATGAGTGGAGAGATGCTTCTCTTGCTGTGTCTCCAGCCACAGGAAGGTCAGCCAGTCGCTTCTTGGCCCCTCTGAGCTAGCAGGTTTTCACCCCAACATCTGACTCCCAAGTCTCTATTAGTGAATAGAACATTAGAGACTTAGTTAAAACCTACATTTGGTGGCCATGGCCAAGCTGGTACTGGTGGGACTAAGAATCCCTCCAAGCCTTGGTCTGAGTGACAGGATGCTGGCTGTGGCACCTTAGAGCACAGGCGGTAGTTAAAATTATCAGGAGAGCCAGGTGTAGCCACTAAGTCGATAGAAAAGCAACACTTCTCTGGCCTGTGTCTTGAGCCACCATCCATAGGTGCTTGACCTCAAATACACTACCATTCCATGTGTTCATCTGCGAAAGGACTATGTCTCCTCTCTCCTCCATCTCTCACCCTTTAGCTCCTTGGTTAGCAAAATTCTTCAAAAAAGTAGCCTCCTGGCTACTGTGCTCATTTCCCAGTTTTATAAGAGAATGGGAGCCTACCACAGCCAGATTTTGTCTCCACTCTCGGCTCTGATTGAAGCCACGAGTGACTTCTGTGTTGCCCAATTCAGGGGTCTTGTCTGAGTCTTTCAATGGCTGTTCTGCTCAGCAGCGCTTAGAGTTGATCACTCCTTAATGTTTGAACTTCTTATGGAAATAAACTAACAGCTGCAAAACCCAGGAGTACTGAGTCCACATCTACCCCCAACTAGCATCACCTCAAGGTCTCTCCTTCCCTGCTCTCTCTCTGCCAAATTGTTTTGTTTTTATCAATATAACAGTCCTGGCTGTCCTGGAACTCTGTAGACCAAGCTGGCCTCAGACTCACAGAGATGCACCTGCCTCTGCCTCCTGAGTGCTGGGATCAAAAGCATGCTCTGCCACCGCCACCCTGCTGTTAGAGAGTTCCTAGGCAAGGCTCCGTGTTCTTTGCCTGCTGATCTCCCTTATGTATTTCTAGATACTCTCTTCACACTTGAGCTCATGGACGCCACAGCGTCACTTCATGTGGCCCATGCTTTGCATTTGGTGAAGTCCTTCAAGTCTTCCCCTCTACACCAGCTCCTCCTCCTCCCCGCCCCTCTTCCTTTGTCTCAAGGGAGAAACCAGGTCATTTGTTGACAATATGACCTCTGTCTACTTGGTGCTTCGTGGTTCTCTGTCATGAGTGGTGAGCCCTGAGGCTCCCTCCTTCCTCACCGAACCTCTCCTGGGTCTTCAGGTCCTTACTGTAGCGCCTTCTATTGTGGATTCTCCTCTCCGCCTTGTGTTGGCTCAACTTCCAGGCTTCCTCCTCACCTGTGTTTGCTCCCTTTGCAGTCTTGGCCAGTGCCTTGCTTAAGCATCATCCTAACTGACCCTGGGGTTTCTTTTTTAAAGATTTATTATTTACTTAATGTACATTGGGGTTTTGAGCATGTATGTCTGTGTGAGGGTGTCACATCCCCTGGGACTGGAGTTAGACAGTTGTGAACTGTCATGTGGGTGCTGGGAATTGAACCCCAGGTCCTTTGGAAGAGCAGTCAGTGCTCTTAACCGCTGAGCCACCCATGCAACCCGACCCTGGGGTTTAAAGGGCCCCAGTCTAACTTCCTTATCCAGCCAGTGGTGTCTCTAAAGTAGTATGACCAGATGCAACATGCCCCAGGCACCCCCTTCCCAGCCTTCTTTGCTCCTGCATTGCCACCACTGAGTTGTTCTGGCTAAGATCTTAGGGTATCCTGGCTTCTGGATTTCTCTCTGACCCACTTCTCTCCACACAGGACTCTTCGGCCCTTGTTTTTTTGGTTTTACGAGACAGGGTTTCTCTGTTTTGGAGGCTGTCGGTCCAGCCTGGCCTCGAACTCACAGAGATCCGCCTGCCTCTGCCTCCCGAGTGCTGGGATTAAAGGCGTGCACCACCACCGCCCGGCCTCTTCGGCCCTTGTGATGGCATATCACACCACTGTTGTCTTCATTCCATGCCAGAGTCCCAGCTGGAATGTCAGTTCCCTGCTGGTCTCAGCATGTGAGGGTGTCCTTGGTTCCTGGGGCTTGGAGAGGATGGAGGAAGGGATGTCCAGCGTGCACACAGGTCCCCGACTTGTGAGATGAAAAATTGTGAAGGTGTCTAGGAGTGATAGGAGTGATGACTGTAGGTCATAACAAATATTTAGCAGTGCTTAACTGTATACTTAAAAATGACTAAGACGGCAGGGTATGGTGCACACACCTGTAACTCCTAGAGCTCAGAAGACTGAAGAGTTTGTGAAACCCACCTGGGGTATAGAGCCAGACTCAATTTAAAAAAAAACGTGCATATCCTATCTGAAAAAATGAAAAGTACATAAGGCAATCATGTCACCCTTCTGCTGGGACTCCCCTGGTAGCTCCCCACATCACCAGAGGAAAGTCTGGAGTCCTAGCGGAGTCCCACCAGACCCTGCTGCCATCCCAGAACTTGCCTTGGCCCTCTTCCTAGCTCACTCTGCTTCGACCATGCTGCCCCCTTTTACCCTCTGAGTCCTGCACTTACCCCTGTGGAGCCCCCCTCTTCCCACAGCCCATCGCCAGGAGCTCATTCTGAATCCTGCAGAGCAGAAATGCCCTCCCGTCTCCAGTCATTCCCTTCTCTCATCGTGTTCTGTTCTGTCTTCAAAGTACTTATCCCTGCCTGGCATCCCATTATGTAACGGGTTTGTTTATTGCGCTTGGAACCTTCTATTGCCTAGGAATGGGCAGGCTGTCATAAAAACCACTCTGGGCTATGTTTAGAGAAGAGAGAAGAGGCGATTCCTTAAACAGTTGCTGAAGCTGACAAAGTAGAAGGGACCCTGAGGCCTAGGATGTGGCTCCTGGGACCAAATAACAGTCATATTTATGGTAGAGTAAGATCCGTATGACAGGGTTGGTGCCCATCGCTCAATCTAGCCTGGGCTGACAAGAGTGAAGTCTGCAAGAGTGTGTGGGGACTGAGGAGGGAATTGTTTTCCGCTGTGCCTGCTAGACTCAGCTGGGCATTTCTGTACCAGAGATGACCAGGTGCCACCCCCAGAGACTTCGGTCCATCGAGGAGACTCCCACTTGGCATTGGACCAGAGGTGATGCTGGGCTGAAGCTGGTCAAGGCAGATGTTCAGAGTCAGTTTCTGCTGGGCAGAGCTGGGAGCTTGTCTTCTTGGAAGCCCGGCTCCCTCCTGTCGCAAGGCCTCCCACAGAGCGAGCGACCTGGAAGCCTGCAGCTGGGCCAGCAAGGCTGTTCCTCAGGACAGCCCTAAGCTGCCTTCAGAGACACAGCGGTGGTAGAGTGGCCCAGCGCTTCCTCTGCCTGTTCTGTGTTTGAAGGCCTCCAGGCAGAGCTGCAAGGAACCTCAGGCCTCCCTTCTCCTCCCAGGTTGGTGACGGCCCGCATAGCACTTGGCTGGGTGTTACATTGCCCTGTGGACACAGCCCAGTGGCAGGCATTCCAAGCCTTGTTCTTAGTCCCACCCCCAGGCAGGTATATCCCCCGTCCTCCCTGCCTGCTAAGGAAGGGGATCCAGCCCACTCCACCCTTCTGAGTATGCCCCCACCTTGGGTCACAGAGCATCTTCCTCCAGCCTTTCTTCTGGTCTTTTTGATGTCCATCTGACCAACATCCCCTGAAAGGGCGGTACAATCAAGGAAAGGCCCAATGTCTGCAAGCTGGAGGCTTGTAGTGTCCAGGAAGAGAGCCCTGAGAGATGGCTGGCATAATAGCCCGTGGGTTGTAGGCCCCTCTTGCAGCAGCAGCTCAAGCCTGCTAAGCGGTCAGCAGGCCCTGTCCTTTTGGCCCTCCTCAACCCCTCTCTCCTGAAGCAGCCTTGCAAACCATGGAAACACCTGTTTCAAGGGGAGAGGGGACAGGAGGAAGGGGCCTCGTCTCACTTCCTGACTCATGCAGCAGTGGGCTTTGAACCCACACCCTTGAGCAGATCAAGAGCTTGAGGAGATGGCTCTGTAAGGTTGGTGACAGTGAACAGCTAGGCCAAGATGGTTGTTGTCTGTCCCCACAGGAAGCTGAGGGATGGAGGCCTTCTCTCCCCAACCTAGCCTGTCCCCCACCTCCTGTCGATTCTGCTCTCCGCAGCCTGTCAAACTCAGTTCCTCTCTTCCTCTGGGGATGAAGAGACAGCCCAGTGTCAGCCGCATGTGCGAAGAAGACCAGAGCTCAGGTCTCCTAGCCTGGCCTGTTTTCCCCTCCTCGCCACAAGTGCAAGAGCTTCACTTAGGCCACTTCTTATCCTGCCCAGGCCTACCTGACAGTCTCCGACTCTCCCTGAAACTCGCTGTCTTTGTGGCCTGCCTCTTTCCTCTATCTGGGGGAGTCCATCTGAAGTCTAACCTGTCTGCCGTCCTGGGTCAGTCACCCACGCACAGGCTCAGCACTCAGCCAGGTTGCTATTGCTTCAGTGGTCTCTGGGGTGTCACCCTCTTGCTGCACAGGAAGGAGGCAGAGCTGCTTCCCGCCTCTCCAACCAACTGGCAACAGTTATCAGCCCCCCCCCGCTAGAGCCGGGGTCAGGGAAGAGGCAGCAATGGGCCCAGGATAAGAGTCATGCAGTGAGGTATGGTGCTCCAGCCTAGTGACTCTGGGGTTATCCCTTAACAGAAGGCCCTGTTGGCCCAGAGGCAGAGGCACAGGCCAGCATTGATTAGGAGGACAATTTATTCAAGGCACAGTCATACATTAATAACAAGAAGGTTCGGCATTCTGGCACATTCCTTTAGTGGTAGTGGCCATGGTTAGTCCACACCGCTCCAGGGCCCCCAGAGGGTACAATGCTGCTGATAGGCACTTTGCTTCCAGACGCAGCTTAGGGACAGGCAGGCAGGGGTGAGGCTGCTCCAAGCCCTGTAAGAGTCAGTTCTGAAAGGCTCTGTGTCACCTGGGTCCCCTGGGGGGGCATCTCTCTCCAGAAGAGATCAAAGCAGAGGGTGAGTTAGGGTGGCACGATGAACAATGGGCTGGTACAGCAGGTGCTGAGGAGGCCCGGAAGTAGTCTGCATGTGCAAGATGAAGGGGCCTGGGCCCTGGTGGCCTTGCAAAGCCAAGGTCCAGCCAGGCGGGCAGCCCCTACAAGAGCAGAGTGGAGTCTATCACTGCCCAACACTTGTATCAGAGCCCGGCTGCATCTGACCCAAATTCAGAGGACGGAACCCTCCAGCCATCCTGCTCTGTTGTCTGTAGGACTCCTCGTACCTGATGCATCCATGGGTCGCCGTGGATGGGGGTAGGAGGGAGGGCCAGCAGGAACAGACAGGGCTGCAGGGATCTGGGGCAGGCGCCAGCAAGCGATGCCCAGAGCAAAGGCCCTGGTCTAGGTTCTGGTTGCACTCCAAATCACTCCATACCAAATACACACTGTGCCGGTTGGACTGTCACTCCCCACTAGGGGCAGAGCTGGATGTTGGACCTCATCACTCTGCTATGAGAAAGTTCTTTCCCTGGTTGATGAAATCCCAGGGGTGAAGGCCTGGAGTGTATAAGGGCCTGGCTGTACATAATTCCCCCGTTATTCCAAGCTTGACAAGGAATGGAGGTAACCTCTCCCAGCTAACACAAGCTCTCAACAAAGATCACCGCGCTAATGTTTGGGTCCAAGTCCTGGGGTGTGGCACTACTTGCCCCCTGAGCAACTTTTTCTGCCCTGGAGTACAGCTTGGAACTGCGGGGCTGGGGGTGGGGTGCGGGTGGTGACAGCGCTGGAGCAGAGGCGGGGCCAACTGATCTGTGTTCCGGGGGGAGCCATGTGCCTGGGTGGAGACACCGAGGTGGAATGAGGATGGACCCACCTGCCCTTTCTCTAATGGGCAGCAAAGAGAGACCCAGATGTCTGGGGAGGAGCTTCAGAGGCTCAAGGGTCTATAGACCCCTTGGTTCACGTGGTCAGGCTTCGTGGCAGTACAGATAATGCCCTGTCCTAAGAGGCAGAAGCTGGAGCACCTCAGAAAGAGGCAGAGCTGCTGATCGCTGGCATTGCCGAGGCTTGCTCCTCCAGTCGGAGGCAGATCTGGTAAAGCAGCTTGCCCACTAGGAGGGTTTTCCCATGGGGGATGCAGCCATCACTCCTCCTCTACCTAATGCTGGCAGGACTGGGGTGACGGCACGGTGTGAAGCATCTGTAACGTCCTAGCTAGTGCCACACTGGAGGCCAGGCAGGGCAGACCGAGAGAGGAGGAGGGGTCCTTGTGAGGGCGGGAGGCGGCCAGTGCCTTCAGTTTGCGGCCTGAGCTGTCACCAGTCTTGACCACACTGGGCACAGCACTCAGACACACGGGGCAGAGGATGTTCTTGGTGACCGCCTGTAGGCTTTGGGGATCTTTTAATTTATCCTTAGGGCTTAGAAAGGTGTGTCTGATCTCCATGGCCCAATTTTGGAGAGAAGGCCTTGTTTCCTGGACTCTATGCCCTCCTACACACACACACACAGACACACACAGACACACACAAACACACACACACACACACAGACACACACAGACACACACACACACACACACACACCCTTGAATCAACCAGCAAGGATTAGCCATGGTTTCCTTCACCACATGCATGTAGGTCCCCCTTTAATGAGCTTAAGTCACTGTCCCAGTAACTACCCTTATAAGTAGACAGCAGGGCAAAGCAACAGGGAACATCCAATCTCTTCCCAGGGTTGTCCCAGTGGCCCCTTGCTCAGGGGGTGAGGTACAGTTTCTATATGCTCTGCAGGGAAACCTGTGATGAAGCAGCCACCTGGACCTTGTCCTCAAGGCCCAGTACACATACCTTTGTCTGCTCAGACTGCAGTGGAGGACCGGGGTCTGAAGCGACCATCCTCGATGGGCAGCTGGAGTGGGGTGTAGAAGCCCCTAGAAAGCTTTCAGGGGGCTTCTCCCTACCTCATCCCTTAGACATACTTGCACCAGCTGGACCCCAGCAAAACACATAGCATCCCGTCTCTTGCGTTCCGGATTTCAGCCACCACTCTTAGAAACATGGTGTGTGCCTCCTCCACCCCATCCTGGGGTCCTCAGATTTGCCCAGCATCCTGCCCTTTCCAGCAGGCCCGGCTCTTCACATGACCACAGGGTGGCAGATGTCTCCATTAGGAGCTTTTCAAAGTCTATGGAAGGGAGTTCCTTCCTGTCTCCCCCCACCAGGCTCTCCCCTGGCCCTCCTGACTGGAGTCCTAATCAGTGGCTCTGGCCCTCCAGTTCCAGCCCTTCCTGGAACCGAGCTGAGTCCAGCTCCCTCGCAAAGCCCCTCAGACCGCTCTCTTCTTCTCCCTCTTCTGGCTGGCTGTTGATGGTGCCATAGGTGTGCCGGGCTGGGGAGGAGGCGGGGGTCAGGTTCAACTCCGGCTCCTGTAGCACGGTGGCCACGTACAGCTGCTCGGGACAGAGAGGGGAAGACGAGGAGGCATGGTCACATTGGAGCAAGGTTTGGGGAACACCCTCTCTCCTCACACCCCACCCAGTCACCTCTGCCCCTCCACGTCCTGGGTCCTCTCTGGCCCACTCCCCAGCGGCCTTGTCCTTCCTCTGCCTTGGTGCTTGTCATTCAGCGAGCTCCTAGAGACAAGCCTGTTCACTGCCTTGGAGTTGCCAGGGTTAGTTTAGTGTCAGGGTTGCTAATGCCTCATCTACAGGATGTGTCCCACACATAGTTGTTCCCACTCAGGCTGAGTCCGGAGGGGTTGGGGTCGGGGATGGCCTGGGATCCCCCAGAACTGGAGACACCTTCCTGTATCAGTTAGTATGTTTTGCTGTAATGTGTCACAGGTTCAAAACTGAGGGTGGTAGCTGGCTCCTGTCAGCTAAGGGCTGGTTTCAGGAATGCCCAGGAAGAGGGCAGATTGGAGACACAGGAAGTACCAGGGGAAGGGGCAGTCTGTCACCTCTTGCAGTGGCTTTCAATCTACTCCCTACTTTGAAAGCGGTTACTTATGGGATAGAAAGAAACCTTTCCATCCTCCAATATAAACAAACAGCCCCAGTTGGTGAGGGGAACAGTTCTGGAAAGTATCTAGACACATGCATATTGCCAAAGTGCATGCCATAGACATTTTGACTATAAGGAAGGAAATGGCAGCAGAACGGTGGAAAAACCCGACATCATAACCAATAGTCTCATTAGCGCCACTAGCAGGAACGAATGGGACCTTACAGGTCTCCAGGGTGAAGCATTGTGCTTCCAGGAATACATGCTAGCCCCTGCGTTTGATTTGAGCCTCTCAAGCCTCCAGCTTTCAGGGAGTAGGGGAGGGAGGGGAACCTGCTGGGGGATATCGGGAAGATGAGCCGGAGAAATCCAGGAGGTGGGGAAATTCTGCAGCATGGGCTTGGTCTTTTCAAGTCCCAATCTAGTATAGATCTAACTAAACTGGTTCTGGGTTTGAACCAGTTATAAAAGATGGGTAATAGGGGCTATTTGAATATGGGTAGGCAAAGAGGTCAAAATTCATCTATGCAGCAACATACTGACAGTTACACAGGTTATCAAACTGTATGGACAGTAGAATCACATTTTAGCAAAAGACCATATATACACATAGAAGTCCACATGTGCATATAGGCATAAGATACTTTGGAAGAGATGCGCGCATCCGTAGATACCCTGAAGAATGTACACCAGTATCTCAGTGACCATCCCTGGGTGGTGGGAATATAAACTTTTTATTTCCTTATTTTGCTCCTCTGGTTTTCATCCCCACAGTTGCCTACCATGTTCATATACCACTGTCGGAAACGTAAGGGATTTTTAAGAGCTTAAGCCAGGCACGGCAGCACGCGCCTGTGTAGTCCCTGATACTCTGGAAGCTGAAGAGGGAGAGTCACTCGAACCTGAAGGTCGAGATCAGGTTGCTCACATGGAAACCCTGTCTCAAAAAATAAATACATGCATAAATAGTAAGTTCTTTCATTCTTTCTTTTTAAAGCACAGATTGTATAGTCATATGGACCTGGTTCAAACTCCGTGTGGCCACATCCTTGCTCAGCACACTAGGGCGGATTAGTGGATCTCCTGCGGTGGGAGCATGACTAAGCAGGATGCTCAGACTCCCACACAGCAAAATGGTAATAATTAATTAAGTTTGGGGGATTAAAACCCCTGGCCATGGGAGCTTATTATCCCAGAGAGAAAACAGCAAGTCTTCAAGCTCTTTATATTTCCCCCTGCTAACAGCGAGAACGCTCCTATTGGCCAGAGAAAGTCATCCCTGGTTGGTTCTTGGTCTCTTCACTGCTTCCTCTCAAGAGACAGTTTGTCACTGACTGTAGGGTTTGGCTTGTTTTTTCCCCTCAGGTTGGGCCAACCAGGGGTCTGACCATGCCCGTGCACATGGCCAGGTGTGTCTGCCTATGTTGATGGACTTTGACCCAACTCTGCCATCACTTAAAAAAGAAGAAAAGTCTCCTGTGGGCCCTGCCCTGTTTATCCATGCTGAACACTGTCTTCTGTTTTCCCCACAGGCTCCAGATCGTCTCTTCTGGCTTTTGCCCAGGCTCTTCCTCTTCCTCCAAAGCTCTTCCCACACCCTGCTTCACCTGGCAACCTTTCCTCCCATTCCTCCAGTTGTATGACATGGTCCCTTCTCAGGGAGGCTTCCCCTCAGTGCCCAGGCCTGCTGGTACCCTTCTTCAGTGCTCGTTGGAGGCACCTAACACTGAGGTATGCAGGACCCTGTGCCCAGCTCCGTACTTGCATAGATGACTCATAAACACTTGTGGTAGGGATGAGGGCGAGGGCTCCTGCCACCCAGGCAAGTCAAGGGGCATGGGCGCCTCTGCCCAGTCCACTGATCTCAGACTCAGTCCAACCTCGGCTCTTGGCAGGCTGGCGGGCTCATCGGTCCGGTGCTGCCCCTGCCTTACCATTCACTGGGTCCGTCAATAGCTCCCTGCAGCTCTGTCTGCACCGCTCTGGCCAACACCTGTGCCCTGGAGGCAGCCTTGGGTCCTGAGGCCCAGCACGCCCCTGCGTCTACACGATTGAGGAGTCTGAGAGCTGGGTCTCCCTGATCGAGTGCGTCCTGTGTCCTCTATGGGTTTCTCCTCTCAGGGTGACTTCTATTGTCTGTGCCAGAGCTGGATCTTCTCACCCCGCTCCTCAGCCAGGGCCACGGAAGCACTTGGACCTGGGCCAAGTCCTGCCGAGTCAGAAGACGGAGCCCAGGGGTCCCGGCTCCTCCCCAGTACCCAAGGTAGGCACTAAACACTGGTGCCCCCCCACATCGTGAGCTTGAGCCACCCTTGCAAGGCCCCGCCCTCTTGGCTTGTCCCAGGGTGGAGGCAGAAACTCACAAGGGAGGTGGGTGTGGAGGTCGTGCTGCTTGGCTCCACATCAAACACAGTCTCAGTTTCTTCCTCAGGCTGCATAGAAAAAAGGGTGGTACCTCACAGGATGGGGCTGCACCTGCCCCTCCCACCCTCCATCCATCTGGACCTCTGGCTTGCCACCTGGACCTTCAACTTTTTCTTTCTTCTCTCTCTGTCTCTCTCCTCTGTCTCTGTCTCTCTCTGTCTCTGTCTCTCTCCTCTGTCTCTCTCTGTCTCTCTGTCTCTGTCTCTCTCCTCTGTCTCTCTCTGTCTCTCTGTCTCTGTCTCACTCTCTGTCTCTGTGTCTCTGTCTCTGTGTCTTTCTCTGTCTCTCTCTCTGTGTCTCTGTCTGTCTCTCCCTCCCTCCTGCCCTCCCTCTCCCTCTCTTCCTTCCCCTTTTCTTTCTTTCTTTCTTCTTTTTCTTTCTTTCTTCTCTTTCTTTCTTCCTTCCTTCCTTTCTTTCTTTCTTCCTTCCTTCCTTTCTTTCTTTCTTTCTTTCTTTCTTTCTTTCTTTCTTTCTTTCTTTCTTTCTTATTATTCAAGACAGGCTTTCTCTGTGTAGCTCTTGCTGTCCTGGAACTCACTCTGTATACCAGGCTGGCCTCTGCCTCCCCAGTGCTGAGATTAAAAGCAGATACCACCACCACCCAGCTAACTCTTTTTCTTTCTAGACCCTCAGATCAGCAGGCAGGGCAGAAGCCCAGAAGAAATATGGAAATAAATGATTGGGATGCCAAGAATCCCTTTTGGAATGTTCTGTTCCCAAAACCATAAAGGGGGAAATAATCATAGTTGGAGTGGGGTTTCTGCTCTGACTGTTCTTTGTCTAGGGACCCTCAGTCAACCTTACCTAGGTTCCCTACCACCTTCTTTCTCTAGGGTGGCACAAGTGCAAACAGATCTGGTGACATCATAGTATTAGAGCCTGTGTGTGTGTGGTGTGTGTGTGTGTGTGTGTGTGTGTGTTGGAGGAAAATACATCATGGGCCTACTCTAGCCTGTATTCCGGTTAGCAATAGTGGTGGGTGCTCATGCTCCAACTGAGTCCCAGATACAAATAGAGGGAGCAAGAAGAAATGCTTCCAGAAGGTTCCCTCTGCAGGGTTCTGTGCTTCAGCTCGGTTTTCTTTTCTTAATATACATCGTTCAGAAAGGAAACCTTTCACTGTTATAAACAACCAGTTACTGTAAGCAGAAAGTCAACTGGAAGTATGTAATCATGAAGAGCAAGAATTATGTTTCATCTGTTGGAAATCATCCCGGTGTCCCAGCATTGATGTTCACTCTGGGAAATGCTGACGCAGATACTGGGCATTGCTGGCAGGGCTCTGAGATGGTGTGGATCACTCTTGTCTCCAGGGCCTAATGATTAGACTTGGTACCCTTGTCAAATTTCCAGGGTACACTAGGGACACCTCTGCACAGACAGCCTCCAGTCCTCTAGCCTGGGCTCCCTTCACCACCATCCCGTTTCTCTCAGCCTCTCCTTCCTTCCCGCTCTCTGAGCCCTTGCAATGATGCTGACAGTGGCTTGACCAGACTCATGTGGTGGGACAGCCAGGCCAGCAGCAGCAGCCTGTTATTTGGAAGAGGTGATGGGGTGGGGGGCAGTGTCTTTGGATGGCCACCCTGAGCTAGTAGTGCATGTGAGCCCAGAAACCCTGGTCTAAGGGAAAGGCCCACCCAAACTCTGTCCTATTGTGTTCTGGGTGCCTTGACCAGGGTATCTGAGAGCTATGTCCTCGGGATCCGAAGAATCAGTGGCATGAAGGACAAGCTGACTACTTACCTCATACTTACGGGCAATCCGCAGCTTCCCCAGAAAAATCCCAGAAAAGGCGATTATCACACAGACGATGAGGGATGACAGGGAGAAGAAAGTGAAGGTGTGGAGGGTACCTGCCGGGGAGAGGACAGACCGTGGGCATGGAGCTTAGTGCTGGAATCAGGGTGGAAACAACAGCTGGGCTCCACAGAAGCCGGGGACCACCCGATTCAGAGCCTCCACAGGACCGCCGAGCTAGGGCAGAGAAACCCCAGCACAATGCTCCCCCCAAGAAGTGGGCTCAGTGAGCATGACATGATAAGGCCATCCCTCTGTTCTATTCGGCCAGCTTAGAATGTGGCTTATTATGGATTCTATGGAGAACAGAACTTGGATGAACTCAAATTACCCCACACCAATGTTCATTAAACAAGTCTTGATCTGCCAACTCCCTGTGTCCATGGTCTCTCCAAAGTATATTTGAGTTACAAGTTCTGCCACTGCCCCCCCCTAGTCTCTGACCTTCCCTTGTCCCCGCAGACCCCATGCCACCCGGCATTCAAAAGCCATTCACATATTTCATGTGTGAATATTTGATCTCCTTAATGGCAGCAGATTTTTTAACAAGGTCAGTATGGGAAGTCAACTCTCCAGTCTCGAGTGATTGCCAAATGGATCTTACTGGTGCATGGCTATGCAAAGGCAGAACGTGGTAAACGACCTCCACACCCAGCCTCAGTGGGGTAACAGAAGCTGCAGCCTTGACTACAGCTGGCACAAGGCTGCGTTCAAACCCAATCTTAATACATGAAGCCATTTGGGATGTAGTGTGCGGATGAAAACTTAAGATTGCGAGTTATAGTGCAGATGGTCATGGTTTTATAAACTAGCACACACCCTCATTTTGCTCCCTCCCCTGAGCAAATGCCTAGCCAGAGTCTGGGAATAAGAAAAACCAGGCTCTAGAAGGGATTGTGGGTAACAGATTTTGGTCTTTGTATTTTTGCTTGTTTTTTTGTTTTTACTGTCTTTGATATTTAGAGAAAGGCAGTGATGGGAAAAAATGCCTTCCAGGTGGCAGGGCAAACCAGACAGGATGGGAAATGGATGTTGACACATGTGGCATGAGTGTAATCAGGGTGTTGTTCTAACGGAGAGTAAGAAAACACACCACAGTATGTCATCACAGGAGGCGAAGTCAGCGGAACTGAGAAGTCTAGTGACATGGGTGACCCAGACAGGAAGAAGCTAAGATCCCCAGTCTGTGGCCCCTGGGATTTCTGTGACAGTGCTCCCCAGGGAAGGAGAAGCACCTTTGTGTAGTCAAAGGGCAAGGAAAGGCTAGGCACCACTGCAGATTCGGATTCCCTTTCCAGGTTCTGGCAAGCCCACAGTGGCAGGTATCTCACAGGCTCCCAGAGGAAATATCATGGGAACAGAGTCCCAAAAGCTGCTGTTCTATTTTCTGTCAATCTACATTTAAAATGAAGGAATGTGGCATTTCTTACTCAGAGCCAAATACGCATCATTTGGACTTTGTCTCAAAGTCCTGCCAAGACTAAAGCACGCAGTGTGGCCCAGAGTACTCTCTGGACTTGGCTAAGTCCCATGAGCGATGTTCTGTTCACCCTGAGCTCTCTTCTTCTACCAGAGACGGTCTCAAGGGACCCACAGGGCAAAGGTCAGGCAGAGGTGGGACCCTGGAGCAGGCTGCTCACCCACCTGCTCTCAGGATGGAGAAAAACAGCATCCAGAAGAGCCCCAAGAGTGGTGCGAAGATGGCTTGGTAGACGGCGGCCATGTGGATCTGCTGGTTCAGCTTGGTGGGCGCGTACGAGTAGTACATGTTATAGCGGTCTGTGAGGTGCTTCATGCACAGATACAGCAGCCCTGGGGACCAGAAGACAGAGACACACTCACTGTTGCTCTAATGAACAGGGCAGATCTGTGCTGCCCTCAGATGCCCATGGATTTGAAAGGCCAGACTCGGGGCTGACAGGGCATCGAGAGTCAAGGATGGGCTGTGGGATACCTACAGGGATGACTTCTGTGGCCTCTAGAACTGGTTGTGCCAGCTTGGTGATGTCATTCATTCACGCATGCGTTCAACCAACACCCCTTGTTAGCAGCCATCCAATCAGTTCCACGGTCTAGCCCTGTCCCTGCCACCCCCCTGCCACAGGCTGTCCCAGATCTCCTCATGCTCTGACATGGATCCTGATGCCATTGAGTTTGGTTCCTCCTCCCACTTCAGAGTGTGTAGCCCTGGGGGTAACTTGTAGATGACTCACCAAAAGGGACAATTATAGGGCAAGTGATGCTATATGCCATCACCACGCTGAAGACGTTCAGCATCCATGCATACTCTCTCCCGAACTGGAAGTCCATGGCCTGGTTCTACGGCAGAAGGCAGGGGTCACCCTCAGGTTGCCCAGCTCCCTTGTCTTGGATGCTTCTGGGATTCCTCTAGGGAGCTGGCTGGCAGCTCAGTCCTAGAGGCAACATTTCTCCCCTCGTTGGAGTCCAAGAAACAGTTATCCATGGTCACAGTCTTTCATCGTGGGTCCCGGTGCCCCTAGCAGACCCCTTCTTCTCCCTCCCAGAAGAAGCTGAGCATTGGGTTCAGAGAAGGGGTGGCCCTTACCTTTCTGATGTGGACTCTCTCTGGCTCTGATTTGGAAAAGAAGAGGCGGGTACAATACGTGCAGAGTGACCCCAGGCGCATCAGCTCCATGCCCGTGCCTAGCAGAGCAGCTGTGATCACGTAGTTGACAAAGAACGCCCCATTGTCTGGGAGGAAGACGCACCTAGGCAGGGGGGATTGGAAGGAGGGAGGCAGAGGAAGGACAGGATAAAGGAAGAGATGTTGGGGAGAGGAAAAGAGAAACAGTACAGAGAGTGGAGGACACAGAGAAGAATAAAATCCATTAATGGCCACTCTACGTAATGGCATTTTTATCAATGACTGGCCACATGTATGATGGTAATCTGTAAGGCTACATGCACCAGTGAAGTAGCAGGCATTTTATTCTGTGCAAGTACACTTAGAAGTGCAGTTCTCCTGCACACAAATGGATGTAAGCACATAGACTCCAGGAACCCGATTTAACAAGCAGCCCCTTTGGGCAGATGTATGGATGGACTACATAAAATATGGTTTAGAATGGACCTGTCAGGTGTCTGACCTCCTGTCAGGCTCTGAATTCTGAAGATAAATGGCCTTAGAGGAGAAAAGATGACACCTTTTAAGTTTGTTTGTTTGATTATTTATTGAGACAGGGTTTGTTTTTGTTATTTTTAATTATGTGTATGTGCTTGTGTATGGATATGTGCACATGAGCACGGGTGCCCACAGAGGCCAGCTGCACGGGATCCTCCTGGAGCTGGAGTCACTTGTGAGCCACCTGGAATGGGTGCTTGGAACCAAACTCAGGTCCTCTGCAAGAGCAGTACATGATCTTAACAGCTGAGTCATCACAGCTGACATCTTTTTATATGACTTATGCAAAACAATAGTAGGTGTTAAATACACTGAAAGCTACAATGAGTAAAATTCTCTTCTCTATAGGGCACACATCTTTAGTCCCAGTACTTGGGAGGCAGAGGCAGACAGATCTCTGTGTGTTCAAGGCCAGTTTGGTCTACATAGTGAGTTCCAGGACAGCCAGAGCTACATAGTGAGACCCTGTCTTGAAAAACAAAACAAAACAAAACAAAAACCTGAAGTGGACTTGACATGGCTAGCTAGCTTCCACTGGGAATCATTCAGTTGCTATGTCTTTAGTGCTCAAAACACGTGGGTTGCAAAGAACACAGTTCTACATTGAAATAGAGAATCAATACATTTTAAAGGCCAGGATGATAGCTAATCAGAAGAGTGATTGCTATGCAAGCACAAACATCTTAGTTTGATGTCTAACATTCACAAAACAAACAGAAATGTGTGGGGCGTGGCTTGCAATCCCCCTCCCTGCCCAGTCAACCTAATCAGTGGCCTCCAGGTCCCTGTGAGAGACCCTGCTAGGAAAAAAATGTTGGTGGTTCCAGGGAATTGACACCCAAGGTTGACTCTGGCTTTCACATGCGTGCGCACACACATGCACACCCTCACACACTTTTTTTTGTGTAGAAGGAGACACTGGCATTTCTCAGTGTCTCCTACACAATCATGTTAATGTTCTTGAAGAGAGAACTTCCAGCCTCTGGTCACCTTTCAGAACTCCTTCAAAAGCTGTCTTAAGGGCTGAAGCTAGCTCAGTGGTGGAACATTTGTCTAGCAAGCACAAGACCCAATATGTGCTTCCCATAGGAAGCTGAGGCAGGAGAATCTTGAGTTGAGTAGGATTGATGTCTGAAAACAACACTATTCGTATTCCTTCTTCACAGTACTGAAGTCGGCTCACAGTCTCTGCTGTTTTATAAGTGAAGTGTACTGAAGGTGAACCCATTCACCGAAGGAAGGATAACATTCTGTGATTTCAATGTCAGTTTAATTGTAGAAAACTTGGACTATTCTGGTCATTGCCTCAACAAGCAAGCCATGGAAAGGTGAAGGTCATTTGCATTGTGTCATTGAAAACTGCCGTTTTCAAATACTGTAACCATGCAAAAAAAAATATATGATAGGCCATATTCTAAACATAATGCACATCATAGATCTTGTCTCCCGCAATTTTAATGTTCTCACTCCAGTAATTAATCAGCCTTCACATTAATGTCTTTAACATCAACAAACAAATGTAACTTCACGTTGTTTCTATTTAAAAAGTATTATCTTATTGATGGGTTAATGAAGATTGCCACAAAACTGTAAAACATTTTGAAAATTGTATATATTTTATCTTATTTCATTTTATATCAAAAAGGTGGGCATATGTGTGTTGTTGTGGAACATAATTTCAAGGTGTATTACATTTGTTTATACTACAGAACATTTGCTTAATGATGCAAAGATGTGCTGCATTCTTTTTTTAAATTTTTTTATTATTTTAATTTTAAATAGCTTGTTTCACATGTCAATCCCAGTTCCCTCTCCCTCCCCTGATGTGCTGTATTCTTTTATTTTGCATTTGTTAACTCTATGAAGCTGTCATACTTCACCTGTCTAAAACACCTGATTGTTCTAATAAAGAGCTGAACAGCCAATAGCAAGGCAGGAGAAAGGATAGGTGGGGATGCCAGGCAGAGAGAATAAATAGAAGAAAAAGAGATTGAGGAAAGAGAAAGAGGAGAAGAGGATGACTCCAGGGGTCAGCCACCCAGCCACCAAGCTACTCAGCAAGCCACAGAGAAAGAAGTAAAGAAAGGTATACAGAATTAGAGAAAGGTAAAAGCCCAGAGGAAAAGGCCAGAGTGGTTAATTAAAAAAAAAAACTAGCTAGAAACAAGCCAAAATAAGGCCAGACATTCTTTTTTTGTTGTTGTTGTTGTTGTTGTTTAGCTTTTTGAGACAGGGTTTCTCTGTATTGTTTTGGAGACTGTCCTGTAATTCGCTCTGTAGACCAGGCTGGCCTCGAACTCACAGAGATCCGACTGCCTCTGCCTCCCGAGTGCTGGGATTAAAGGCATGCGCTACCAATGCCCGGCCAAGGCCAGACATTCTTAAATAAGAATAAGACTCCGCCATGTGTGATTTATTTTGGAGCTGGGTGGTGGACTCTCCAAAGAACAAAGAGTCAAAAAAAGTAAAATAAAGCAACCAACAACAGTGTGTGCCCAAGTGTGGGAGGCCAGAAAGGGGTATTGGACTCCCTGGAGTTGGGGTTACAGGCAGCTTTGAGCCACCTCGTGGGTGCTGGGAATTGAACTCTTCCTTTTCTAGAACACTATTCACTCTTGACCACTGAGCCATCTCCCTTGCCTCTGGTAACAGAGCGATCCATGTATTTTACACACTTACATACACTGCCCAGCGTGGTGAAAACTGGAGATCAGCTCTGTGGACTGTACCAACTTGAGGTTCCTGGTTCTTTCTTGTATTACACCATATTCATGAAAATGTTATCAGTGAGGAAAACTATTTGAGGACACATGGGATCCCCATCTCATACACTTTCGTGGTAGCTTCTTATGAAACTCCAGTGATTCCAGGAAGTGGTCCCTGAGCTTTACCAGATTGTCAAAGGGGACCATAGCAGAGGACAATCTTCTAGGGATGCTTCTACCTGCATCTGTCTACTCCTGGGTACCACTGATGCAGGGATGGGCGAGGGAAGGATACACACATCTACCCCAGTGCAGAGAAACAGAAAACCCCATGCACACCCAAGAATACTCACTGGAACCTGATGGTTGCATGTTCAAGATAGTAGATGTCAAAGAGCCAGCGCAAGAACACATTCAAACTAGAATGAAGAACAAAACTCGACCTTCAGTTATAGGGTTCATGTGCTACAGCCTAGAGCTCAATTCCTAGCCTAAATCCTTCCTACTTTCCATTCTGCCTCGCCAATCCCCTGAGTCCCTGACTTAATGCTTGCTGGCCAGTCATCCTGCCCTCTTCCTTTTGAACACCAAGCCATCTGCGTCCCTTGCTGTTGGCCATACAGCTCAAGGCCACTTTATGCAACAGGTCTTTGCTAACTATCTCTCTCCAAGTGCTCTCTCCCCCCACCTCTCTCTCTCTCACACACACACACCCACTCCCATTGACAGGGACGCCTTGTCTTCTGAGCTGAGGCAGAGTTCAGGGCTGACACTCTACAGTTTTCATGATACCTGGCTCAAGCTACGCCTGTGACAGGCATGGAACTGTCATTCGAGGAGGCCTGCACTATCTGAAAGGAGGCTTCAGTTCTAGGCTGAGCCTGGCTGGCCCAGGGGTGATAACTGAGAGTGAGGTACCTGGTCAGTCCCATGGAGGGCAGAATGACCACCATGAACACTAGGAAGATGTAGCATTTGTGCATTATGATGATATTCTGACTTGACCTGCAAGGAGATGAAGAGAAACATTTATCAGTGTGTGAAACAGAGTAATATCAAAGATCTGCGCTGGATATGGTGGCACACGTCTTTAATCCTAGCACCGGGAGGCAGGGGCTGGTGGATCTCAGAGTTCAAGGCCAATCTGGTCTTCAGAGCAAGTTCCAGTACAGCCAGGGCTATGTATGGAGACGGACCCTGTCTCAACAAAACCAAACAAAGCAGAAAAACAAAACAATCAAAGACCTAACTACGTAAGACAGTGAGCAGGAGAGGGAGAGGAAAACCAGCTGACTGGACAGGGCAGTTGCTCTGTAGTTCAGCCCAATGCTCTTCTCACAGAGCACTGTGAGCTGTACTGTATCTGGGAACAGCAGGAATGGACAGTGCGATCAACTAGTAATGTCTTTCCTGGGCATAGGAAGGAGACAAAAGGCATGCCATATATTTGACATCTCTGTATCAAAGACACATTACCAACGAAGTTCAGCAATTTATGTGATCCATGTCCTTGACTATAAGGGTTTCTATTAGGTAACCCATGGCTTACCACCTGGTAGAGTGGCAGGAATTTTGGAAGTGGAAGCCCACTTTTGAGATCCAGACATTAAGCCATACGGCTAATATAATCTACCTAGTTACCTTCCACCATGGAAGTATTAGCATTAATAAATAGAAAATCTCTTGAATTTGGCAACGTTGGTTCTGTATGAGCTAATCATGCTCAACGTCATTGAGAGCCAGGACTCCTGCTGTGGCCTTGGCTGCTTACCTGAGACTCTGAGGATAGAGCTTCTGAATCACAGCATTTGTGCCTACAGCTCTATCCCCACTGTGTAGGTTGGAGGCAGAGAGGGCAGCCTCAGCAGCGCTTGGTTTGGGCCTCCCTCTCTTTAGATAGCAACCCTTAATCAACAGATCCAAGGCCAGAGGCCAGGCGACAACCCAAGACCTCTGGTCTTCTGAGATGGTTTCAAATACCAAAACCATTCCATGCCAGTTTTCAGCTTTAGGCTAGATGAAAGGACCAAGTGCCAGGCTGGTCAGAAAGAGGAAGAGGCCGGGGTCAAGGGCCATCTGGGGAAGGAGAGGAGCCCCCAGCTCACCTGGTCCAGTGGGCTTCTAGGAAGGCGGAGAAGTAGACCATCAGAGGCATTATCACCGTGAAGGCCCAGAGCAGGACAGAGGGAAAGAACTGGGTCACAATTGGGCTCTGGAGGGGGAGCAGGGAGGGCAGGAGAGGCATCAGCACAAGAAGTTCCTTCCCCTTGCAGGCTGCCCTGGATCTCCCCAACCATGCCTCTCCACCTTCAGCCCCGTCAAGAACAAGTGCGCTTTCCCTGAGGCTACAGAATAGACCTGATCTTTCTTTAGTGCCTTCCTGGCCAGAAGTCCACCTGCTGGAGGAGGCAGAGGCTCACACCTCAAGGTCAAGTAAGTCCACAAGGGGCTTCTATGCTTGGGTCATGGGAGAGACAATCTGGGGTTTCTTTAGTGACTTTACCCTACTGCTAGGGGCAGCTGTTGGGACTCATGTTTCAGGACTCAGGGATAACACTGCCTGAACTATGATGTGTGATGTGGGGGCAGCATGGGAAGGGTCAGGAAGGAAGAAGGCCTATGGGAACAGAGAGGTTTGCGGCATGCATATGGCCTGTGCCTCTTGAGACAGACACAAAAGTGGTATGGCTATACATGTACCTGCATATGCGCAAGTGTGTGTGTGTGTGTGTGTGTGTGTGTGTCTATGCTCTGTATATGTCTGTGTACTTGTGTGCATGTGAGTGTCTATACATGTGTCTCTGTGTGTGTGCATATGTGTGTCTGTATATATGTCTGTGTATGTGTGTATAATAGATGTGCATGTGAGGGTTTGTGTGTGTGGTGGGGTGGGGTGGGTATGTTTTACTGGGAATAGAGAAAGGGTGCTATGGGTGGAGAAGGTTTCTGGCTCATCAGAACAGCATGAAGGGCACAGCATTTGAAGAACCGGGCCAGTGTTCCTTGATGCTGCCTTCTAAGTGGAGGGCAGGCTCTAAGGGGAGGAAGAGCTTTGATGGGGCCAAGGCTGCAGGCATGGGGGTGGGGAGAAGGCAGACTCAATGCTAAGGTCTTGCTTTCTTTCCAAAGGCTGTGTTGGGACTCATCTTACTCTTCCTTACCCTCTGCTCTTACCAGGAGCCAAGGAAGCCTGCTGAGAACACAGCTGCTAATGCCTGCTGTACCCTATAGTCCCCCAACTGGCTTAGCGTGACTCAATCCATCAGTACCCTTAAAGCCCGCATTCACTGGACTACCATCCTTGGACTCACCCCAGAACCCACCTACAGCTCCTCTACTCTCCTTTCCTCTCCAGCCTGTCCCCAAGAGGGGCAACAGCCCCACATCTATCCTATTTAGAACTCAGGACACTCTGCCCTACCCATGACACCACTGGACCTCCATCATGCTGTTGCTATAAAAGTTCTAGAACCCTGTCCCAGGAGCCCCAGGCCTAGCCTGAGCAGAGGAGGCACCTGCAAATTCTCGATGGGGCGGGTGACATTGTACATGTCGATGGTGTTGATGATGATGGCGGGCGTGGTGAGGAAGAAGAAGAGGATGAAGAGGAAGGTGTTGATTGCGATAAAGCGAGTCCACCATTGGAAACGGCGGGTGGACAGGTGCTTCCTGGAAAAGGAGGGAGAAGAGAGACACACTCAGGCCAAGGTCTCAGTCCAGTGAGTGAGTGAGAGAGAGAGAGAGAGAGAGAGAGAGAGAGAGAGAGAGAGAGAGAGAGAGAGAGAGAGAGAGAGAGAGAGAGAGAACAATACTTTTTCTGTCCTGGTCCTATGTGCAGTGGCCTCTGGGATTTCTCTTTAGGGTCACCATTTGTAAAGGCCCAGAATATGTCTCAAAGTGCTAGTGAGAAGCCACAGTGAAAACGTTCCCCAATGTTGGTCCCTTCCGTGGTAAAGGTGAGCGTGTGGTAGGTAGGGTTATGACACTCAAGGAAGCACACAGCAGAGCCCAGCGGGAGCTGGGTTTGGACAGCTCTGAGTCTAGTCCCCACGGATTCTCTGTCAGGCAATGAAGTAGAGAGAACAGGCCCTGTCCTGTAGCTGTCTTCAATCCCAGAGACAGAGTGAAGGACACTGAGGAGGCTTACCAGATGATGTCTTTGGGGTGAGGGGCATTAGCGACCCTCCATTGGTAGTTTTTGACGATGGTCGTTACTGAGGACTGCTTGGGGTGCATACCACACTGGATGTACTTGTAATCTTCACGGATGCTGCGGAGATGAAACAGAGAGGAGACGTAGGTCTGGGGTAGGGAGAGGAACACTTCAGAGAATCACATCCCGGGGTCCCAGTGCCACCACGACAGTCCCTACCAGCGGGGCTACTCCACTTCTTGGGAATTCTCAAAGCCTTTGCCAAGTGTCCCAGGACCTTAGAAATGGACAGTTCCTACTGCACAGCAGCTGGGGGAGAGGCTATTGGAAGTGTCTAGACTACCCAGTGAGAGTAGCAGGCCCCAGGGTCCTCAGCTCCTGGCCCCATTAGCAGCAGTAGCAATGTGCAGATGAGCTCGTCCTTTAAAGTCATAGGAAGGAATTAACTTCAACTCAGATCAGCATCAGTGACCCCAGGCTCCAGGGTTCTTCCCGTGGCCCTGAACATATGCTTTCTGGTGAGGAGCAGAATCTCAGTTGCACGGGTTTCTAAATTGAGATGCAGTTGGAGAGGGTACACACTGGTGTCAAAGCCTGGTCTTTGACCTGCTGACGCATTCTGCTGTAATGAAGATTCAGATCTCTGCCATCTGGTGAAGTTTTAAGAAATGAAAAATCTTGCCTTATCTAGGGGTACTGCTTTATACAAAACACAAATACACATACACACAAATAGTAATGATAACAATAATATTCTATATGTCCTTTGTCAACTCACTGGGGAGTGAAAAGAGCAGAAATCAGCAGCCAAATTAGACATGTAAGAAGTCTGAGAGGCCAGGCGTAGTGGTGCCTCAGCACTCAAGAGGCAAGAGACAGGTAGATCCCTGAGTTCAAATCCAGCCTGGTCTACAGAGGAAATTCCAGCACAGCCAGAGATACACAGAGAAACTTTGTCTCAAAAAACCGAAACAACGAAAAAGAAAGGCAGGCAGGAAGGGAAGAGGAAGCAAAGAGGAAATAGTTGTTGTTGCTGCTGTCTGAGGGGACGGAGAGATAGCCCAATGATTAAGAACACTGGCTGCTCTTCCAGAGGACTTGGGTTCAATTCCCAGCACCCACATGGCTGCTCACAACTCCAGTCCCAGAAGATCTGACGCCCTCTGCTGGTCACCCTGAGTGCCAGGCATGCAACTGGTACACAGACATACATGCAGGCAAAACATCCACACACATAATATAAAATAAAACCTTTTAAAAAAGAGGTTTGGGCGTTTAAGTGCACTATTATTTGTGACTAACATCTAGGCGGTGTACTCCTTTGTAGCGTTGGTGGAAGAAGGCACCCTCCATGGTGCCCACCAGGGGTTCCCACCGGGGAAAAGAGGGCCCCACAATCCTTTTGAGACCAGTTCTGGGGTTCCCATACATTTAGTTCTCTGCTAAAAGAATCCTTCTAGGACATTCTAAATGGAATGAAATTAATTCCTCCTTGAGAGGAGATTATTAAAGGCTGGGACTGGAGAAAAAGGGAAGGCTCTGGGCAAGCCTACAGCAGACAGGAAGGAAGGTCAAAATGGCCTTTTCTCCCTTGGCTTTCTCACTGGTAGTAGGTGGGGGGTGATGTGTATGGAATGGGAGGAAATGGCTACCATCCTTGGCAAGAGATCACAGCCTATGCGGACAGTAGGAAGCATTCCCGGAGAGCAGTTGAGGCTCACCAGAGAACAGGTACAGCCATGGGACAGCAACAGAAAGGGACAGCAACATGGCAGCTCCCAGAAGGGGGAAGAGAGAGCAGCCAGGGGCAGATATCTGGAGGCAGGCTTGATCCTCTGCCCCTTAAGCTGGGCGGGGATAAGAGAGTGGCGTCTGGCTGAGAAACAGAGCCCATAGGGATGGGAGGCTCAGAGCTGCCTGCAGTTCCCGCCTCTTGCATCATCTAGACTATCCAAGTTGGAACTCTGGTCGTCTGAGACTCATGACACCCGGCACCCACCGTTTCACTGTCTTGGCATCCTGGAAGGTGACAAAGACCAGGTCAAGCCGCTTCAGCCGGACGCGATTGAGCTCTGCATTGAATTCGTCAGTCAGCTGCTCTTCCAGCTCACTGTAATACTGCTCCGCATCTACCTGGGGCAGGAGGAGGCCCTCAGAGCTGGAGAGGCCAGGGCCAGCGAGGCCTGGCATGGCCCCAGGGCTCTCAAATACAGCCAGAAGCCCTTCACCCCTGGAACAGCTACACACTGACTCTTCACTTCGCCTCTTGCCCTTAGATCTGGGGACATCGAGGGACAGCGTGGTTAGTGGATATTTCAGACCCAAGTGAACTTCAGGGGTTGGGCATTCTTCTTATGGTCTAACCGACCTCCGGGTCCATGTGCCTGAGACCCCTCTAGCCATAGAGGTCAGGGGACAAGGTGGATTCTATTTTTCCAACTGTTTCTGTCCTGGTGACTTTGGAAGCCTGAGGCATGGCCACCTACTGCAGGCTACCATGCTTTCTCCGGTCTATCTGTCCAGGATCAGAAGGCAGACAAGAGCAAGCCTCTGTGATCGCCCTATAAGGGAACCCAAGAAAGGCTTTTGCTCCTCTTTATATCTGCAAGGATACAGGGTTTAGGCGAGAGAGAGTGGGGAGCCAGGTTCTGGACCACCAGGCTAGACCTGGATGGGCCCTGGAGATGGGGACTTAGGCAAGGGACCAGCCTGGAGCCCAGCCTCCCACCCTTTCCTTGGTCTTCCCATCACCCTGGTCAGTTACCTCCTTGAAGCAGGTCCAGCACTTGCAGAAACACAAACGGGAGCAGGGGTGAATCTTGATCATCACCTTCCCGGTCTTCTTAGCCTTGGCCGTGTAGTAGAGTCGGCCCCGCATGGCATGGCGCCTGGCAGCAGTGGGCAATGAGGGAAATCTCTCTGGTCGGTGACCGACAGAGGAAGTGCCATCCTTTCCTTACCCCTCACCCCAGTGGCCAGCAGGCCCCTCCATGATCTTACCTTTGATCATCCAAGTCAATGAGGTTCCTGACATCATAACAGAAGTGGACTCGGGTCACCATACACCCAGGATAGGCCTCCCTGCAGTCACAAACACGGATGCTGAACCAGCCTGTGGAGCTGGGTTGAGCAACCTCACTCCCTAATTAGTGTCACAGCCCACGGGGATGGGAGATTCTACTGCCTGTGGTTCCTGCCTCTCAGAATGACATCTATTCTTGCCCCTAAGGCTGAGCTACCATTGGGGTTTAGACCCAGTCATCTGAGACTCGAAGCGATTCAGAACAGGGTATGGCAGTGCTCCAAACACCAGGGGGCTCGGAAGAAGCTGCTTTTGAGTGATAAGGAGCAGCATCGCTAGGTCCAGGGTTTGGAGACTGAGATGGTTGGGAAGCAGGGTCTCCCTGGGATGAGTAGCTGAAGCCACAAGAAAAAGTTAAGTGGCCCCTTTTGCCTCTCACCTATGTCATACAAGGGCCTCTAGAACCCTGCTGCAGCCTTGGTGGCCCTCTCCATTCTAAATAGTTGATCCCGAACTGAGTCCAGAGAGGACCACCACCAGGAATGTCTCTAGCCCTGGAATTCTGTGCCAACTCACATTCCTATGAGAACCCAGGAGGAGATGCTGGGAGGAGGAGATGCTGGGAGGAGGAGATGCTGGGAGGAGGAGGACATGCTCGACAAAGCCCATGCTCCCACTTACTGGAAGTGCTTGCTGATGATCTCTGGGTCCTGGATGTCAGTGGGTACATAGGTGATCATCAGTGTCCTCGTGATCTGGAGTTGGGGGAGAGGAGGCTGTGCTTCTGCAAGAATGCTGGCTACATGAGTCCTTAGTGGCCCAGAGCCCCGGGAGAGCAAGCCTTCTGCCCCCACTAGGCCACCTGCTTCCTAGAGCCTCCCTGCTAAGCAATTGCTGGCCAGCATCCTGTAGCCAAAATCAGCAAACCAGGCCGTGGTTAGTCTCTGTGCTCCAGCTGGGAACTCCTGCCAGACGGGTGAGCTCAGGAAGGGAGAACCAGAGCCTAGGTAAAGGACCACATCTCCCCTTCTAGGAAAGATCACTTGTGTCCGCTTGTGGATGGCGCACCCCCACAGTGACTTTCCGTCTCACCGAACTGCCTACATTTCTAGTGTAAGACCTCGTGTTGCTGGAGCAATCCCTAGTAATCTAGGGGGGCCTGGACCTGGGCCTGGAGCAAGTGCATTGGTCTCAATCTGGGATGTGTCCCAGAGGCCCGGCTGATAAACAGCTACAGCCACGGGGAAAAAGATGAAGACTTTGAGAGGAGCGTTAGTGAGTGTCTTAGACGGCTGGCAGGGTGCCCTCACAGGGTACGCCAAGCCCTCCTCTTCCTCTCTGGTTCCCTGCCACTTTGAGGTGAGTAACCTTCTCCTGCCACCTGCTTCTGCTGTGATGCGTGTCTCACCACAGGCCCCAAAGCAACGGAGCCTACCACGTATGGACTAAGACCGAAGCTGTGAGGCAAAACAACCCTTCCCTCTTTTTCGGTTGATTCCCTCAGGAGCATTGCTACAGTAACAGTAAGTTATCCAACATAGCAAGGCTGAGGAGGCACTGGGGTGTCTTGCCCAAACTTCCTATCTTACTCTGCAGCTGGATAACATCCTCCTGATGCATCCCTTTCAAGATGACGGCCTGACAAACTACCTCGAGGGATGAGTACCCCAGCCTCAGCAATGAGCAAACCTGAAGCGGCCGGGTGTCCAGTCTCTGCACCTGGCTGACTGGAGAGCTTGGGGTGGCAACTTTGGGGCGCGTGATCTACACTCCCGGGTAGGTTAATGTGATTCTGTCCTAGAACGGGTAGACTCAAAGGAGTAGAACCCACTCTCCTGTGCTCATGCCCATGGGTGCCTTTCCCCGCAGAGCACAAATAACCCAAAGGACATACCCTTTTCTGGGTCCTCACCCAAGCAGCTGCCCACCTGTGACCCCTCAGCATTGAGGTCTGTACAGCAGAGGTTGTGGTCTACCTCAGCCCTGAGATTGCCTGAGTGGGCTTTCTTAGCCTTGAAGGTATGTCTGGGTCAAGAGATGAAGATTTGGGCTGGGGAGATGGACTTGCTGCCCAAACATGAGGACCTGAGTTCAGATTCCGAGCTTCCATGTAAAAAGCCAGGTGTGGCTAAGCCTGACTGTAACCTCAGCACTGCGGGAGTCAGAGACAGAAGGCTCCCTGGGGCTTGCTGGCAGCTAACCTTACTCTAGGTTCAGTGAGACCTTGTCCCAACAGAATAAGGTGGAGAATAACAGAGTAGGACACCTGATGTTCTGTTTTGGATTTCATGTGAGTAAACATACATACGAGCGTGTACGTGTGTGTATTCACGCGTGTGCACACGCGCGAGCGCACACACACACACACACACAGAAAAACAAAGAAGCAATAAAAAAGAGACACCAAGTCCCCAAGTGAAGCCCTCAGCCAGGGAGTTGGACAAAGGTGGGAATTATTCCCAACTGCCCACACCCCAGGCTGGGAATATTCTAGGACACACAGTCTAACCCGGTTTCCAGAGTTCCCAGGGCAGAAGAGACAGAACACGGGAGGCAACCCCGAACAGCTACTTACCATCCTGTGTGAGGGCGAGTGTGAGGGGCTTTCACGGCTTAGCAAGTGGGGGGGGATACTAGGCCAGGGGAGGTAGAGGGAAGGACATGCGGGGGTTGGGCAAACAAGGACTTGCTCCTGCTGGAGGGAGACGCCCTCCCTCAGGGAGAGCCAGGATGGCACATTTGTGAAGCTGGGGAGAGGGTCCTGCACATAACTCACCTTGCGGTTCTTCTTGGGCACAAACCCCAAGCAGTGATGGCCCATGAGGGCAAAGTTGATGAGGAAGTACAAGAACGCGAAGAGGCTGTGCAGCCACAGGAACTTACTCCTGCAGGCGGGGGCGGGGCACAAGAGTCACGCTGCTGCAGGCCTCTGGAGCCCCACAGCGACGCCACGCCCCCATCGGACCATCAGCATCCCCAGACATCCCGCCCACCGCTACAGACAGGGCTTCCAATGGACCACATCCAGGGTGGCACTAAGCTCCTTCTTGGCTTCTTCTCGTCAGACCCTCAGGGTGGTACCCTGACCCATCCCTCACTTATACAGGGAAAGGAGGGCCAGATCAGTGGCCGGTCTGCCTAAGGTCACTGGAAACAGACACAGCTGCCCATGTGTGCGGGCGCCCATCCCTCACCTCACAGGTGCCCAGTAGGCTGAGGGAGGAGCTACTGGGCCACGTGCAGGGAGAGGAAGAGCAGGCAACCTCACTTCCTGGAGAAGAGGGCTGGCGGCCACTGGGCTCTGTTTCCACCCTGGCTTGCGGCTCACAGGACGCCGTGTCAAGGCATCCGACCAGGGTTACTGTTTGGAAGCTTGAGTGGTGTGGCTTGAGGAGAGCAATCCGGGTCTCCTCCCTGTGGCTCAGGGCCTGACCACCGCAGGCGTCCGCCCACCTACACAGATGCCTGGCCACTCAGATTCTACAGCGGGGCAAGGGCAGGTTCTTTAAAGAGCAGCTTGGCATTGTTGGCATTGTGCAGCGTGAGTCACATACACTGCAGGTCCCCTGATGATCTATGGGATCCCACTTCTCGGGAAGGGATACGAGGCACCTCAGAATGGCTGGCTGGCTGAGGGGACGCTGGTGGCGCTGCTCCAGCTGGCAGTACTAGGGTGGGCAGGGCTGGCTGGTGGAGGGTGGGAGAGGGTGCTGTTCTGAGGCCGGTGGCACACGCCGGTAGAGGTGCAAAGCAGGAAGGGGTGAGGCGGGATGGATCCCATTCACACCTCAGGGGACTGCTTCTGCAGTTTGGTCAGGAAGCTGGCCAAGCCATTTAGTGAGCCTTCGCACAGACAAGCAGAGGCACATCTGGCTCAGTTCAGGCTGATGTGGCTACCAATCAGGTTGGCTGGCTCCTGGCCTGAGAATGGGAAGGAACTTAAGGGTGGTGTTTTCCCATGCTTAAGGGCTGAATCTGGAGCAAGGATTTCCCCAGGTGCAGAGCCAGTGGATGGCCAGTAGATGGCAGTAGTGAAGCCTGAACCTAGCATCTGATTGTCCTATTGGTGGACATCAGAAGCACAGACTGGAGGACCAGTGAGTCACTCCATTATTTGAGGGATGACTTGAATCCTGGGTTGTCAAGGATACTGCACCTTGAATATTCCCTGCTCCCGCCCTGCTACAGGGTCTTCTCAGGAGCAGATGCACTAAGTATGCTGACTAGTTTTTATGTCAGTGTGACACAAGCTAGAGTCATCTGAGGGAGAGGAAGCACAATTGAGAAAGTGACTCCAAAGGTAGGGCGTTATCTTAATGACTGATGGAGGAGGGTCCAGCCTAGGGTGGGCGGGGCCATGACTCCATAAGATCCAAAGGTAGGGCGTTATCTTAATGACTGATGGGGGAGGGTCCAGCCCAGGGTGGTCCTGGGTTCTCTAAGAAAGCAGGCTGTGCAAGCCATGAGGAGCAAGCCTGTAGCAGCTCCCCTCCACGGCCTCTGCATCAGCTCCTGCCTCCAGGTTCCCGCTCTGTCTGAGTTCCTGTCCTGGCTTCCTTCAGTGATGGACTACAGAGTGGAAGTGTAAATAAGCCCTCCCCAACTTGCTTTTTTGGTCATGCGTTTCCTCGAAGCAACAGTAGCTCTAACTAAGACACCACACAACGGGATCGTTTCCCTAGTCCTCAGGAATGGCCAGTGTGGGGGTCCCACTCATGACAGATGAGGAAACTAAGGCATTAGGAGTCCTTCCCCACCGGAAGAATGCAGCTTCTGGCATCCCACTCAGGACCTGGACTCCAAATAAACCAGGCCTGCTGCATCCATGCAGCGCAGAGCTGGGTACCAACTCGTTCAGCCTGCCTTTCCCTCCCAGCACCCGGTCGGTAGAATGGGAGAGAAGCGCAGGACCTACCCTGTGGAGACGTTGACGATGGTGGTCCGACCAAAGTGACTGCTCCAGTCTGAAAGACAGAGAAAGTTTGTCCCGCCTCTACACTGCTGGGGGCGACGGTGGGGGCAGAATTCAAGGCTGCTGGACAAATGCCAAGGATCTAGTGACGCCTGTCTACATCTGCATTTCCCTCTGCTCCCCTGACTTGTCCCCAGCTTCCAGCAAAAACGTCCTCCTCCTGGGTGGCACTGACTTGGGCTCTAATCTGTGAGATCACGTGTCTGTGGGGGAATCCCCAGAGCATGAGTGTCACCTAACAGACACCCAGCAAACGAGTTTTGAGGGAACCAGATGACTGTCTAGCCACCACCAGACCAATGACATTAGCAATGCTGGCCACAATCCCAACAAGAACCCTAAACTCCAGAAAATGGGACATTGTCTCTTTGGAAGCAGGTGGGTCCTTCTGGCCACGTGTATTAATCAGTCTGTTCAGAAGCTTCAGGCTTCATAGAACCTCTAAAACTCCTGTGTTATCCTCGCCACATGCTAGTGCTTGGAATGAGAGTCTGGGATGACAGGGATACTCCCTCTGGTGCTGAGATCTGGTGCCTACTCAATGTGCTACAGAAGATTTGTTCAGGTCTACATCTGGCTGAGGAGAAACACAGAAAACTGGGGAATCAGGTTAAACTGTCTGCTAACTGGACATCAAAGAAACCACTGGACACCAGCCTTTCCCACAGCTCTGACTCTCCCTCAGTTCTAAGGAAGACACAGGTGCTGTTCCCTGAGCACTTGACCTATGTCTCTCCCAATGTCTAAAGAGTAGAGGGAACAGATTTAGAAGGTAAAATGCTTGGTCAGCGTGGGAGAAGGCTTTTTTCAGTAGATGCGGGCAAAGGCTGTGGCGTCAAGATCTTGCCAGCTTAGGGGCCAAGCTCTCACTCACAATGCTGCCCTGTTATAATGGGTGTGGGCAGAAGTCAGAGTGGACAAATTCTGCAAGGATAGAGTCAGAAGAAGCGGAGATCAGAAGCCTCTCCTGTGAGCCACACATCCTCCAACAGCACAAGGACATTTTAGAGACAGTTCTAGACTGAACTATGAGCTCGTCCTGTTCCAGACCCTAGATCAATCAAAGCTGTATCATCTCCGATCTGCACATGAGGGAACTACAGTAGTTTACCCAGGGACTCATGACAACTGTCTTCCAAAGGAATGACTACAAGTCAGATTTCTAGACCCCCAAGGTCCAAGTTTTACCCAACCTGCTAAGCTGTCAGTGACTCAGGGCCAACAGCCCACTGAGCATTGCCTACCCAGAACAGTTCCAACGTAGTTAATAGGCAAAATGATGCCCAGGGAGGGGATGCAGAGGATGAGCACGCAAATGATGAGGTGATACTGGAACATGATGTAGATGCGCGCATCATCCCCGCACTTGCTGATCAGGTCCTGGTCCCTGCAAGAGACACAAACAAGAGCATTCCTTGGGTACCAGGGTGACCACTGCTTGTATGGGTAGGAAGAGGAATCAGTAGGAAGAGGATCACCTTACCCCTAAGTTTTAATCTTGGGGAAAAATTTCCCTTCTTTGGAGTGCCTCAAGTGTGCCTGGAGAGCATGTCAGCGAACACAGGTGTGTCAGAGAGGCTGTGCACACGAGGGAACCCAGAGCCCTGTGAACTCATCAGTCAGCCTCTTAGTCCTTCTGTAAACATTCAGGGCTTGTGCTGGTAGCAATGGGCAAATCACTACTGATAACTCAGATGAGTCCCTTCAAGAAAGTTCTTTATTTTTCAGTTCCTTCTGCTCAAAGGCAGTGCTCCACACTGCCAAGCTGGCCAAAGCGGGAGAGTACAGAATGGCCAAATGTAGGTGAGGGCAAGGGTGTTGGGAGCTTTCCTCCGTGGAAACTGAGCGTAGGCACCGGCCAGACACACTGGCCTCAGCGACTGAAAGTGAATGCACGCGTGCTCTGTGAACTAGCAATTTCACCCCTAGGCGATACCCAACAGAGATATGACACACTTATCAAGACATATGGTGGGAATCTATAGGTATATGATTTATCACCACCCTGCCTGTCTCGTTATGATGCCGGTGCCAGTCGAAATCTGCCACGGTGAGAGGTGTTTTCTTGTCGTCTCAGTAATTAGGAGGTAGAGGCAGGAGGGTTAGGGATTCGAGGTTATCCTAAGCTGAGCTAGAGGCCAGACTGGGCTACAGGAGACCCTGTCTCAAAAGTAAACAGCAAGGGCTGGAGAGGTGGCTCAGCAGTTAAGAGTTCCGGCAGCTCTTCCAGAGGACCCAGGTTTGATTCCCAGCACCCATATGGCAGCTCACAACTGTCTGCAACTCCGGTTCTAGGGGATCTTGCACCCTCACACAAATACACAAGGAGGCAAAACACCATGTAAAAATAAGCATTTTAAAAAACAAAAGGATAAGTGATACATCCTTATAGAAAAATTGGAAAATAGTTCTCCTATAATCTCATCGAACCTAAGACTATTTTTAAAGATTTATTTCTATTTATGTGTGTGTACATACCTACCACGTGATTTTATGTATACCATATGTGTGTGTAGCTACCTTTGGAGACCAGAGTGTTGGATTCTCCTAAAACTAGAGTTTGATGAAGGTGCTGGGAACCGAACCTGGGTCCTCTACAAGAACAGCAGGTGCTCTGACATTCAATAAAGCATTCTGAGTAATTTCCTCTTGTTTCTTGTGCAGGTTTTTCTTAGTGACGGTTAAGGTTTGAAGATGGTTTGTTCCCTCAAAAGCCATTAAGGAGTTTGGTGCCCACCATGAGGTATATGAAGATGATGGAAAACTATTAATAGGTTAGAAGTAGGGCCTTCAGAGCAGGCGAAGGTTTCAGGATATAAAACCTATAATGATAGAGATCACAAGACACACATGTGTGGTCAGATGTAGGTATGAACACTCACATACATGCACACATGCTCACAGCCATGTGGTCTCCTCACTCATGGTTTTCTAGGTAGGTTCATCAGCTATGTTCAGCTTCAAACATCTGCTGCAGGATTCAGACTTTTCAAACATTATGACAAAAAGCACATCTTAGAGGTTTTCAATAACTCAATTTAGGGATTATTCACAGCTCCTGATTTTCTGTCAGGTAATTAAAGCATGCCTAGGCTCGAGAATTAAGTCCCAAGGATGGGGTCTTTGCAAATTGATGGGAGAATGCCTTTGGGGAATGGGGACATGTCTTGCTGCAGGCTTGGGATGCCAGATCTGATCCTGTGAAAGAAAGGCATGCCTGAAATGTGCATATGGAGGCTGAGGGGACCCCAGAGACCCTCCTGACAGACAGAACGAGTGGAGGGGTGCACTGGGCAGGGCTAACAAGATTTTCCTTCCTGGGCCAGGAATGCTGCCTCCAGCCTCCAGCTTGGGTCCCTCTTTCCACTACTCTTTACGTCATGTCCCTGGATGCCGTGCACAGTTAGCTCATGTGATAGTTAATTCTGTCCTCCCTTCCTTCCATTTTCCTTGAAGACTTGCTGTTTCTACTGTCCTTTTTTTCCAACATTCTCCTCTCTCCATATCCACCCACACCTTCCCTTTAAACTCCCACCAGGCCCATGTGTGTGGGGTTACTGTAAAGTAAACCAGGCAGCTCTGCAAGCAGCACCACCCCCCAATCCTGTTTCCCTCAAGGTCTCTCTGATATTTTACTTCCCTTCCCCTACACGTCCCTTGGAGAGTAAGGTCCTCAAATATCTGCTAACCCTAGAAATGTCTCCCCAATAAAGGTGCAGATCATGAAGGCAGACCTCCTCCAGCCATGCCTGCACGGACTTGTGTGATCTCACACCCTAGGAGAAGCCCCTCCCTTCTCCTCTCTCAGTGAGGCCTCCTTGGACCTGGGCTGATCCTGCCTCCTTAGGTGACCTATGTGCTCCTCTCACTTCAACTGCAGTCTCTAAGCACCCGTCTGTCATGTCTAGACCCTCTGCTCTGACCCGTCTCCTAAGTTTTAATGCTGCTGTTTCAACAGCCGGCTGGTTGCCTCGCATGCTTGCCTGAGCCACGAGTCACCATTTTATGTTTCTTCTCCCGCCCTTTGCCTCTGTTATTCTACACAGAATCAAGACCTCTCCACAGATGTGGGAGAGATGGCTTAGGACTTAAGAGCACTGACTGCTCTTCCAGAGGAGGACCTGGGTTTGAGTCCCAGCACCCACATGGCAGCTCACAACCATCTGTAACTCATGCATGTGGTACACACACACACACACACACACACACACACACACACACACACACACACACCAGGCCGTGACCTACCGACTGTTGTCCCGTGAATCCCCCCCCCCCCACTGTTGCTCTGATCACTCCTCTAACTCCAGTCACAGCCGCCTTGTCCTGAGTCACTACAGCGGTTTCCTCAGCTGCTCACCTTGACGTGGACGCTGTCAGCGGCTGTCCACCCTCACATTCCCGCCTGTGGATCAAATCCCCGGAGTGTCCATACGGCAGGCACAGTCCCACCAGCTCCCTTGGCACTGTTTTCCACCTTCGCGCTTTACCATGTAGCCCTACTTGTAGCTATTCCCGAAGATTCGCAGCTCTGGCTCTCTCCTCATCTCCACCCTTCCTCACACAGTCCTTTCCTCTTGACACGTCCTCCACGGTTACTTCTTTTGAGATCCTTCTATCCTTCAAGTCCCAGGTTAAAAACACACTCTCCCTGAGCCCCTGGTGGGAATCCCTCTCTTTTCCCCAGATGGCCCCTTTGCCTGGCAGGTTGTAAGGATACGTGGACTCTTTCTGGCCATTGATTCTCTGAGTAGACTGCACACAGGGACTCTGGCTGAACTGACTCTGCTCAGTAAAATACTTAGCTGTCATCTATGACAGTGCCAAGTCCCATTTTTCTGACTTCCTCGAGTCCTATAGAGAAGCCCCTGGACAGGAGCCTTAGGGTGGGGTAGGGGCGGGGGTCAAGATGACCACGGTACACACGAAGCTTGTCCACTGACCTTCTCATTGACCTGCTGGTTCAGGCATTCGCACACCCAATGCTACACACAGGGACGTGCGACAACACAGTGACCGGAATCTTTTGCACTCACTGACTCTACAGAGACACCTTCCGCATGAAGTCCCGTTGTCTTTATCAGTACTCCACTGATATTGCGTGATGGTCAGTTTTAGTTGTCAATTTGACACAACCTAGATTCACCCGTGAAGGACCGTCTACATCAAGTTTGCCTGTGAGCATGTCTGAAGGAGATTATCTCGGTTACGTCGGTTAGGGGAGGAAGACATGCCTACTGTGGGTGGCACCATTCCCTGGGCAGGGGATCCTGGACTATGTATCCGAGTGGATAAAGCGAGCCGAGCATTGGCATGCAGGGTTAATTTACTGATTTCTGCTCTTGATTGTGGATGCAATATGACTAGCCGCTTCAAGTTCCTGCTGCCTTGACTTCCCCAAAATGACAAGCTGTGACCTGGAACCGTGAGCCAAATAAGCCCGTCCTCCCTCAGGCTGCTTTTGTCAGGGTATCTCAGCAGGGCAATGGGAAACAAACCTAAGATTACATGCCACTGATGGAGAAAATCCAGAGGGTAAGCTTCAGACTCCCTCTGGGGATCTCTTTCTCCACACTTGAGGTTGTAGTTAGTTGAGTGGCCCTATTTATCCCAACTCTCTTTTTCCTTGTTCCCACACGAAGGCATGAAAAACTCCCCACCCTGTTTCTGCCTGTGAATTTGACAAAAGCAGGAGCCTATAGCTGGTGCGTTCTGCCTCCCAGGGGAAAAATGTTCAGACATGAGCTATGCTTTGGATGTGGCTTGCCCTCCTGAGGGTTCCTGCATCATGTCTGGTCTCCACTATGTTAAGACGTTAACAAGGAGACCATTGCCTCCAGAAAGTCACTCTCGTAGGAATCCGTAAGTCATTTCTCACAAAGATGAGTTACAAAGGCTTCTCTCTGGGACTTGTGGGGTTCCGTAGCAGAGTGCATGCTGCCCGAGGCTCTGGGATGGATTGCCAGAAGTAAAAAAAAAAAAAGGAAAAAAAGTAATTAAGTTTGCGCCTGACTCCTGACTTGTGGTCTGGCTTCCTGCCTTAAGACATGATCTTGGAAAAAAAAAAAAGACATGATCTTGTGGCTGGGAGGTGGTGGCGCACGTCTTTGATCCCAGCCCTCTGGAGGCAGAGGCAGGTGGATCTCTGTGAGTTTGAGGCCAGCCTGGTCTACAGAGTGAGTTCCAGGACAGCCACAGCTACACAGAGAAACCCTGTCTCCAAAAAACCAACCAACCAAGCAACCAACAAACAAAAAACAACAAAAAAGATATGATCTTGCCTACATATGTAACACCATCCACCTGGGGCCACACCAGCTGGGCTGATATCTGCACCATGCCTTTGACCCTAAATTTCTAATAAGACTTCCTTTTTTTCTTTGTAAAGTTACCCAGCCTTGAGTATTTCGTTATAGTAACAAGAAACTTATTGATAAACATTATTGATTTAAATACAAAAATAAGATAGGCCTGATGGTGCAAATCTGTAATCCCAGCATTTAGGAGACTGAGACAGGAGATCATAAATTAAAGGCCAGCCTGGGCTACATAGTGAAGCTTTGTCTGAAACAAAAAAACAAGTATAATAATGTGTTTGTATGCAAATGATGGTGGACTTTGATTATTCAATAATGAAAGCATGTTTGTTGTGGCTTATGTGTGTTTAATACATTAAAGCAAGCAAAACCAGAGAGGCGTGAAGATATTTGAAAGACCACCCTCATCTGGGCCACATGCGGCTCAGCGTTGAGAAGCTGACCCTTGCCCCACACAAAGCAACAGCTGGTTCACCTCCTGGGGACTGTGGTGAGGGAGGGAGGAGCAGCGGAGGACAAGGCCTTGCTGAGCCCCCCCCCGTGGAAGGCACAGTCCTAGGCACAATTCAGGATTTCCATGGCCCAGCACAAGTTCCCTGGGACCCTGTGGGTTCCCAGGTGGGAAAGAGAGGTTCCCCAATGGCTCCTGGGGGTGTGTCTCAGAAAGGCTCAACTAGGAATGGTGGGCGTGGAGCAGCATGGAGTGCAGCAGTCTTCGTAGAGGGAAGCAGGGTAGCAGGGCCACCCGGGACAGTACATGGTCTCTGTGATGGCTGTCCTCGGTTGTCAACTTGACTAGGACTACATCTGGAATTAAGTAAGACCCAAAATGGTAGGGCATGACCGCAAGGGACTCTTTTTTCTTAATTAAATCATTTGAATAGGAAGATCCACTTCTAACCCAGCTCTTTGGGGTGGGAAGATCCACCCTTACTCTGGGCCACACCTTCTGCTGGTAGTCTGTATAAAGGGCACGGAAGAAGGAAGCTTCTCTCTTTGCTGGCTTGCTCTCACTGTCACTGGCAAGTCCATTCCTTCACTGGCATTAGAGCCTACTTCTTCAGGATCCCAGTGTATGCTGAAGACCAGCTGAGACATCCAGTCTCGCGGGCCGAACAGCTACTGGATTCTTGAACCTTCCATTCATAGGTAGCCATTGTTGGATTACCTGGGCCACAGCCTATAAGCCACTCTAATAAATCCCCTTTCTCTCTATATAGAGAGATTCACTCTATAAGTTCTGTTCCTTTAGAGAACTCTGACTAATACAGACCCTAGGGAGGGGTGAGGTTGTACCCCATAGAGCAGGTGTCACCAGTCAAGAGAAGACCCTGGAGAAGGTACAGGAATTAGGCAAAATTCAGAGGGAGTCCAGAATTATATGTGACTCTGAGCACAGTGAAGGAAAATCTGTCTACACATGTGCATGTGTGTGTATGCATGAGTGTACATGTCTGCATATATGAGTGTAGATGCCTGCTGAGAGGTCATGAGTGCACATGCCTCTGAACACGATTGTACATGCTTGTACACATGAATATGCATGTCTCTGCACTGAGGGTGTAGCCAAGGCTCACTCTAATATATGTCTGTTCAACTGAAGTATCAGGCTGGTAGTGGGGTAGTGTGGTACCAGCCTTAGGGTGTGACTTCTTGTCTGCTGACATGATCTATTATCAGGAAGGGGGGCAGTAGATCTCTCTCTTGGGAGGTCAGAACAGAAGCAAGCCTTGTGGCTGTTCACATCTCCCTTGGGCAGAATGTCGGGACACAGCAGCTGGATCTCCAGCGCCTTCCACCTTGTCCTGTATTTCTGTATGCGTGAGTCTGTATTTCCCATTGAGTCCCCATGATAAAGACTTTTGTAAATTCTCGCATCACCTGGTGCCCCACGTTGGGCACCATCTGAAGCGGGGATGCACAAAAGTATAATGACCAATTTATTAAGGGGGGCAATGAAAGACAAACTCACAGATACAGAGCAAAGCAGGTGCTGCCAATGATCCAACAGCCTTTGCCCAGGAGTCCAAAGCAACAGCCTTGCTGATGCCTCTCCGCCACATGGTCGCGCGAAGTGAGAGAGCCACATGCCAGCAAGTGAGAGAGCAAGAGAGCGAGAGACCCTTCCCCCAAGCTTATCAGTTGTCCTGCAGCAGACAAGACCACCCTCTAGGGCTGATTACCCGGGCCATAGGCGGAATGAGTTCCCACAATAGTGGGGAAATGGGAGACAGCAAGTGTCTTGGGATCTAGCTGCACAGAAATCCAGGTGAGACAAGGGAGAATCACAAGGCTGTACCTTTGCCACCCAGGCTCAGAGAAGGGACATCTGTCCTTCTGCTCCGGGTAATTGATCCTCCTTGACCAGTATCAACACAGAAACCAAGTGATTGGCATGCAAAGAAGGACAGCTTTTCCCGGAGTACAGTCCGCTGGCTTGCGTTTGTTCTCGTGGGAGTGACGATTCCGCGTTTACATGGGGGTCCCTCCCCGAGGGCTAAGGCAGAGGTGGCTTGGGCAGAGTGCTACAGCCTGGGAAAGGGTTCTCTGCTTACACCAGGTGAGGCTCGAAGCAGAGTAGGGTAGGCACTCGGCCTGTCACGAGGGAAGGTCTGCTGATGTCTGCAGTCCCTTGCTATCTCATGCCCCCTCCCCGGACAACACAAACAGAATCCCCAAGAGTGGCACTTACTTCATGGTTAAGCTGTTGAAGAACCAGGAACAGAAGCCCTGGAGAGGGAAAGGAGAGAAACTTTGAGAAAAGCCAGCCTGGTTTATTTTTGCCTGACAATGGGGATTCAGACAGCAGAGGGTTATTTGTGTTGGGAGTCTCCTTCCATAGATGGAGCTTTCTGGAATGGGGTAAGGGAAATGTCTCCTTAGAAGTGAGTGGACACCCTTGCCGTCCTTATCAGTGAACTGGGCTTGAAGGAGGGCCGGAGGGACTCCTGGCTGGATGTACCCTGCTCCTCTCTGCCTCTTGTTACTTCCTCCTGAGAAATCTCCATCCTCCACATACATGCGGTCAGTGCTGTCCGTCAAATGTGAGTTTACCTTCAATGATTAGCTGGACAATGGGAAAATGACCCAAAAGGAACTAATTAAAAATCTCTTAAGAGGATGGATATGGATGTGTGCCTAAGTGCCGCGAATTATGCAGTCTTCCTGCTGTCTCCGATGCCACATGCAGAGAGCAGAGAGCAGAGAGGTGAGGGGCCCTGCCAGTGACGCTGGACTTCTAGCTGTGCCTGAAGCAGCCATTTGTCCTGAATTTCCCCAAACTTGAGCCTTAAATGACCCTTTTGTGGTAAAAACCAATTTGAGCAAGTCTTGGCCCTTTGAAGCTCAGACTCTTGTTCCATTGAAGATGCCTTTCTCTCGGATCTTTCTGACTCGGAGTTTCTAGGTAGCAGGGAGAGGCAGCCTCAGCCATGGGAAAGTTGTGGGGAGCCCCAGGAGGGAGTCGGCCTGCGAAGGCTCTCGCTGAGGGTGAACTGGGGTCTGTAGCTCTCGCTTGCCCTAGCTGGTAGCCAGTTAAGTGCCCTCATATGTTGACTTCCCTCCAAGGTCCCAGAAGGATAGCAAGAGCTTGGACAAGGCTGCATCTCTGGATTGACCCCATCATGTGTGTGTCTCTTCTGTGAACTAAGAGGGCTCACACGACTGGCAGACCTCTAGAACCAGGGGGCCTGGAGAAAGGTCTTCCCCGAAAGGAAGCAGCGTGAGCCGGCACAAGAAAAATCAATCGTTCCCTTGGCACAAAGCCCACTTTCCAAGTTTGGGTACAAAGTGACATCTCCTCCCTCGTAAAGGCTGGTGTGTCGAAGGCAGGTCCTAGTTGGTGGCTCTACAAAGATGTGAGTGTGCTGAGGTCATTCACGGGTCAGTCCGTGGATGGTCATAGGTGAACGGGCTCTGGGGTGGGGGGTGTAGGCCAGTGGGCACACTTTTGAAGAGTATATCTTGTTCCTCATCTCTCTGTCTCCCTCTCCCCATCAACACAGAGTCAGCTAAGTGTGGATTGAGCCCTTCGAATAAGACCGAGCCTAGACAAACCTTCCCCCCCGCAGGTTGTTAAGTTGTGACTAACACGATGTCCTTGGAGCCAGAGCTCCTCAGAAAAGTAAGTGACTGAAAGGCAGTGGGGAGGCAGACACTCTCTATCTCCTTAACCCACCCCACAGGGAAGGGTCACCAGCTTCCAGGAGCTGGCTCAGCCGAGGAGAATGACTGGCAGCATTGGCACAACGGATGTTTCTATCAGCATCCTTCACCCTCACTACATACGGGTAATAACCAATGCCTGACTTACCAGAGACCCTAGCGGGGCCCACTTGGCTGAGAGCTGCACTGTAGTAGAGGCTAGCTCCCTGTGCTTGCCCTCCTCCTGCACCGTAGTAGAGGCTAGCTCTCTGCTCTTGCCCTCCTCCTGCACTGTAGTAGAGGCTAGCTCCCTGTGCTTGCCCTCCTCCTGCACCGTAGTAGAGGCTAGCTCCCTGCTCTTGCCCTCCTCCTGCACCGTAGTAGAGGCTAGCTCCCTGTGCTTGCTCTCCTCCTGCACCGTAGTAGAGGCTAGCTTCCTGCTCTTGCCCTCCTCCTGCACCGTAGTAGAGGCTAGCTCCCTGTGCTTACTCTCCTCCTGCACTGTAGTAGAGGCTAGCTCCCTGTGCTTGCCCTCCTCCTGCACCGTAGTAGAGGCTAGCTCCCTGTTCTTGCCCTCCTCCTGCACTGTAGTAGAGGCTAGCTCCCTGTGCTTGCCCTCCTCCTGCACCGTAGTAGAGGCTAGCTCTCTGCTCTTGCCCTCCTCCTGCACCGTAGTAGAGGCTAGCTCCCTGTGCTTGCCCTCCTCCTGCACCGTAGTAGAGGCTAGCTCCCTGTGCTTGCCCTCCTCCTGCACCGTAGTAGAGGCTAGCTCCCTGCTGCTTGCCCTCCTCCTGCACCGTAGTAGAGGCTAGCTCCCTGTGCTTGCTCTCCTCCTGCACCGTAGTAGAGGCTAGCTCCCTGTGCTTGCCCTCCTCCTGCACTGTAGTAGAGGCTAGCTCCCTGTGCTTACTCTCCTCCTGCACCGTAGTAGAGGCTAGCTCCCTGTGCTTACCCTCCTCCTGCACTGTAGTAGAGGCTAGCTCCCTGTGCTTGCCCTCCTCCTGCACCGTAGTAGAGGCTAGCTCCCTGTTCTTGCCCTCCTCCTGCACTGTAGTAGAGGCTAGCTCCCTGTGCTTACCCTCCTCCTGCACTGTAGCAGAGGCTAGCTCCCTGCTCTTGCCCTCCTCCTCTCATAACGATTTGCCTTCTGAGTTTTTCTTTCTTTCTTTTTTTATTGTTTGGCTTTTAAGACAAAGTCTTATTACAACACAGGCTGGCTTAGAACTTACTATGGAGTCTAGGCTGATGACAGGCTTCTTAGTTTTTAAGAAAGAAAATATTATTTTTTACCATTGCAAAACACAGACACACAGGCACAGGGCAGTGTGTCTGAAGATAAGCCCATGTACCACAGCGCCAGGCAAGCATTGACCTTGAGTCTCCAAGAGCCAGCATGACTCCCCGAGGCTTTGTATATTGGATGAGGCACAGCGTGACAAGAGATCTCTTGAAGACAGACTGGTCTCTTGGAGGGGTGGCCGCAGAAGAAACGTGCTTCTACTTACCACACACAACAGATCTGTATTGTGTTCGTTACAGCATGGACTCAACTGGGTACTCAGACGTGGGGGTCACTGGGGGAAGCAGATGCAGGAAGCTGGCCCTGCAGATAGGGATGCTAACAGAAGGAAATGCTTCCTCCATGGGTGAGAAACAGAAGTCCAGGACACAAGTGGGCTCGTTAGGGTCCTGGGTGAGGAGACTCACAAAAAGGGCTGCTGGGGAAGGAGGGCAAATAGGTGGAAGGCTCCGAGACGGGAAAGAGGCAACATCCACTGCTCAGACACCAGATTGGCTATGAGGCGAGGGAGAATGCCCACAGACGTCTGCAACGGACTGGGAAAGCATTAGGGAGAAATTGGAAGCAAGCATAGAGAACCTGTGTCTCGGGTCACAGGGGTGGCTCCTGATGCAAATGGAAGATGGGTGGGGTGGGAACAGGGGAGGCCCTCGGGAGATCACTTAGAGCTGCTGAGGCCATCCAGGCAAGGGACTGGTGGAGGCCTGAGCAGGGCTGGCTGGGGAGGACCAAGATGCGAAGGTGAACTTGGGGAAGGAAGGACCCATGCCCAGGTCCCTGGCTAAGAGAGAGATGGGGACAAGAAAGGGCTGCAACCAGGGATTAGAGGAGGGTGGAGGGTGTCACAGGTGTTTTAGACATACTGAATTCCTTTACGGTATTCGTGTGGAGCTATTTTGAAGGTCACTGGATAAGAGAGGTTGGAGGCCTTCAGGACTAGCAGGAAAGACATGTTCAGAGGTAAACAGTAGTGGCGACAGCTGGGGTTGTAAGAATGGATGTCATGACTCAGAGACAGAGAGTATGGAGGCGGGGGGGGGGGGGCTTGGGATAGCAAAGGGACTTTAACAGTGGAGGACTCTCAAAGGGGTCAGAGGTGTAGGAGAAAAATCCCGCAGAGCATCCATACACCCAATTGAAGGCAGAAGTACCAGCAAGCATGCCAAACTTTTTTGACATGTGATACGACATTGCCATCTGCAAGTGAGTTGGGCCATATTCATAGCTATCCTGGGACATGTGGCACTTAGACCACAGTTTGGATATGCCTCTCTGTGTGAGAGACAGGCTAAGATGAGGACTGAGGGGACCACAGGACTTAGAGGCAGTGGCAGGGGACCACCGATGGCTTTGGGACTCTGGTGGAGTCAGGGGGTGACACATCTGAGGAGGCTGGGAAGGGGTGAGAGGTGAGAAAAAGACCACAGTCTAGTCAGCGGACGAGGCTGGAGGAAACAGCAGTATGGTATTCATGAGGAACACGGACAGTCGCTCTGTTTCCTCCCTTCTCCATTCAGCTCAACTGTCATTTCAGTGATCACACCATCACTACCCACAATGCTGCTCCCACCCTGGACTATCGTAAGCCTTTCTTTCCCATCATGCACTCATCTTGTCCTGAATGCGTTGATCTGCGTGTCTCCCAGCCCTGGAAAACCATGAGGCAAGACATGGTCTCCATTGTCCATCCCCTTGTCCTAGGGATGCAACAACCCATAGAAACTGGTCAAATGAGTGGCCAAGGCAGAGCTCCCCAGGAAGGAGAAAGCAGAACACAGGGGTGTGGGGGGCAGGGCTGGACGAGGCTGAGAAGCCCTGCATGATGAAAGGAAGGCACTCTAGGCTCTAGGGATGGCTAATACTTCCGTCTTTCTGGTGGGAAAACCGAATCTGGGGAGGTTGAAGAAGCAGCTGCTGCTCTGTGCACCATGACTGCCCGCTCAGGGTTGGGATCTCTCGGGGCCCAGACCGCTCCCGGGACTCACCTTGTCCCTGCGTTCCACCTCCAAGGAAATATCTGAGGGAGACGACTTCTCACTTTGCTCCCCGTAGATCAGCGAGGTCAGGCTGCCCGCCAGGAAGGGTGGCAGGGAGGTGGAAAAGGAGAGACGAGGTCTCAGACCCCTGCCTTGCTCCCTCTTTGTTCCCCAGCTGGGGGACACCAGCTACTCTTTCCCAGGGCTGCGCGCTGAGGGCCCCAGCTTCTTAGCAGGACATACAGATCGGGTATAGACAGAACCACCCCTGCTGCCAGGTGCGCAATGCACCTTGGCAGTCCAGCCGTGGGTTCCGGAAAGACCAGACACAAGCATGGCTTTATGCCTAAAGATGTCTGCCCTCCATGTTCCTGTCCCTTCAGCGAGGTGAATGCAGGGACAAAGGCAAGGGAGAGGGTGCCACCAGTCAATGAGACACTTCCTGAAGCCTTGGCACCAGGCAGTGACTTCCAAGGGATTAGGGTGCTCACCGTCCTGCCCCCCCCCCCCCCCCACTTACCTGTCATTGTGTATTAGCAGAGCCAGGCGCCCGTAGTCCCACGCAGCTTTCCGGAGGAAGGAATAAAGCACTACAACGAACTGCAGACCCAGAAAAGCAATGTGGAGCAGGAGATGCCTCATGCCTTCTTTTGCATCAGTCTCCTGCATCCCCATGGGGGGGCCACCCTATCCCTGAAGACTACAGAGTGTACCCCCCTCAGATGATAAGTTCTGCCTTAGGAGGAGCTGTCCCTTTGAGTTGGGCATTTCCTGACATAGAGCAAAGGGCCAGTTTGTGGAATGGAGGAGTTGAGAGTGTGTTTAGAGCAATTAAACAAGAATACCCCATGACAACATCAGCAAGGGGACAGAGAAGGACGATCCCAAGGCACTGGACAAACGGACTTTTCCTTGGTGATTTAGCGAGAACCCCAGAAATACTGCCTCCTCCTCCAACACCAAAGCCCTCCCACATGAGCCACCTAGGCTGGACCATCACTGTGTCCATTGGGTAACTGGGAGCCCCACTGTGTTCCTTGTTATCCACATCCTACCCTGGCTAAGATCTCCCCGTGTCTCTCCCAAAGCACCCAAGACTTACCAGCCACAAGATGAGGTTGAGTATGAGCACAGTAGGGATCCCCCCAAAGGGCTGTCCCTGGAGGACAGTGCTCCGGGACTGGAAACACTCATTCACCGTCATGTTGCGAAACTTTGGGCCCTCTGAAGAGGAAGACATCCTGGGCACACTCAGGCTCCTGATCTGGTGAAGGATCTCAGTCAAACCCAGGAAATGTTCCCCACTCTGCAAAACACAGAAAGATGCTAGAGGGGCAAATGGGGCTATGCTCTGAGGACAACATACAGCTAGGCTGGGGGACATGTGGGACTCAGGGTCCAATGATGGGTTTGGGATCACGGCATCAAAGGGGAAGAGTTGGCCCATCTGAGCTACAAGGTTCCAGCCCCATAGCTACGCAGACAGAGTAGTTTCAACTGTCCAAGCGATTATTTTATACTGCTTCACCCTTTTTTAAAAGTTGCAAAGACGGGGCAGTGGTGGCATGCACCTTTAATTCCAGCACTTGGGAGGCAGAGACAGCAGGACTTCTGAGATCAAGGCCAGCCTGGTCTATAGAATGAGTTCTTGGACAGCCAGCGTTCACAGAGAAACCTTGTCTCGAAAAACTTTTTAAATTGCAAAATGCAAATGTAAATGCAATGCATCTTCCTGTTGCTCTCATATATATATATATATATATATATATATATATATATATATATATATATAATAGGAATAGGCAAATCTCACAAAGCTAGGTCCCAGAATAGAAAAGTTCAAGTTGGCAGACAGAGTCATTGTGATCATGAGACACCCATGTGGACGGGGCTCACTGCTGTTTCCTCTACATTCTATGTCTCTCCAGGAAAGACATGATCTCTAAGGATGCAAGATGCCTAGCGCAGAGGAGTGACCCAATAAACTCTTTGTATAATGTAATTTATAGTGTGTGTGCAAGTGCATGCATGTTGGTGCACTGTGTACATATGTGCACTATGTACTTGAGTGCAAGCATGTGGAGGCCAGAGGATGACCTTAGGTGTCATTGTGCAAGCATGTGGAGGTCAAAGGACGACCTTAGGTGTCATTCTCAGGAATGCGTTCCATCTCTTTTGAGACAGAGTCTCTCATTGGCTTAGAGCTCACCAATCACACTAGTCTGGCTATCCAGCACAGCCCGAGGATTTCCTGTTTCTGCCTCTCCAGTGCTGGGATGACAACCACACTTGACACTTTTATGTGGGTTCTGAGGGCCAAACTTGGGTCCCCATGTTTTTCAGGCAAGCACTTCACTGACTGAGCTGTCTCCCTAGCTGGTAAATTCCCTGTCTTACCTGGTCTTGGAACCAAGCAGACCAGCACCTACCCAGGTTTGCACTCATTCAGTGGAGCTGGGCATTCTGGTAAGCCCCAGATGCAAAGGCACAGTCACAGCATCAGAACTTTACAGGCATTGCTAAGAGCAGCCACGCTCAAACTGACCTGCAAGCCTGACTAAACTCCAAAGACTTTCATTTTGGCTCTAGAGCTCACCCTACCCTAAGTCTCTTTGCTCTGATTCAAGAGAAGTCTCATTCATTCATTCAAATATTTTGCAAGTCACTGCTTTGTGCATACATGCTGCTAGTGGTACCTCAGTGATATGACAGATAAGAAGGCATCCTTCATGGCTCCCTAGTGGGAAGGAACATACAGGGAGAGGATCAGGGACCACTGTGGGTACCAACCACCCTTTTGCTGGCATGGGGAAGCACACTCCTAAGCAGACACAAACTCTCAGTGTGTTGAGGGAAGGACAAACAGACTCTGTGACTGGATAAGGGATGGTGAGGATAGGCATTAGTGGCATGAAGTCACCTAAGTTTTAAAGGATCCTTTGGTGAAGGATACAGGCATAAGGGAGGGACAGATGAGCAAAGAGAGGACCCTCGGGATCCAGGCCATGGCCATCTGGACAAGACAGGCTGCTCGAGGGTGGTGGGAAGCATCTGGACACCTTGAGCGGAGCCAGCAAGGGTTCCTAGCAGAGGGGATGGGGAAGATAATAGGACAGAAGTCCGGATGACTCTGAAGTTTTTAGCCCAAGAAATTGAAGAAATAAAATGGGTCTCTGTCACTGGAAAGGTTGGGGAAAGAGAGGAATGGCATACAGTGGCTTGGCTAGGCGTGTTAAGGAGCTACGGGTGTGGACCCAGAAGACAGCCTGGAGACATCAGCATGAGACAGAAGCCACCAGCATAAGCAGCTCTCGGAGGCAAAGGACCAGATCACTGAAGGAGGGGTACAGAGAGGGGAGAAAGAACAGAGGACGTCAAGACAGAAGCCGGTGCCTGGGTAACGGCTGATAACCGCCCAAAGGAGAGGTACCACGACCCCAGACAGAGCTTCAGTTGGAACAATGAAGAGCTTGGGAGTTACGGGGAAGAGTGAAAGAGATGACACTCCACCACCACAGGACAGCGCTGGAGAGAAGCAGCTGCTCTAAGGGGTTTCTCCAGGGCCTCCAGTACCCAGGAGGTAAGGGAGGCGGAGGGGGTCGGGTGTTTGCACTGTGGGTTCTGTGACGCTAGAGTTCAGCTCTGGCAATTACTCCATGCCCAACGACCTTGAGTAAGGTACTAGAGGTCTCCATGCCTTGGTTTCCTCATCTGTCAGATGGAGACGGTGACAGCAACTGACCCATTTCACGGGGATGCTGGGAGTTGAGAGAGCTGAGATGTGTGGGTCCTGCAAAGCAAAGCCTAGAACCTGGGAATCGTCACATAAAGTCTGTAAAAGGGAAGCAAATGTGAAGTCCTGGGGGCGGGGGGCCGGGGAGGATGGGAGGTGGGGATGTAGGGGAAAGGGAGCAGGAGGTGAGGTGGTCCTGGAACCGGGCTAACTGGCAAAAGTGGCAGTAGACCACGGGTTAATGGTGCTCTCAGCCTTGGTGCAAGAAGCTTCTCTTTGCCATGGGCGGCAGGCAGTGAGTGCGGCCTCTTACAGCTGTCCTCAGTCCTGAGAATAAGTGACTGCTGACCTCGGAGCCCTAAGTGGGACGTTTCATTAACTCCCTCAAGGTGCAGGGAACATTGTAGAAGATGGGATGGGAAAAACTCAGAGCCGGAGGATAGGAAGGGGTCTTGCAAAATGCTGTCTTCTGGACAAGACAAGACCAGAGTACTCGTCAACACACAGCAGCCATGGCTACTTGAGTAACACCCAAACAAGATCAAGCAAATCAACACTCCAGCATGGCAGGGCTCACCCCTAGCTAAGGAGCTATTGGCAACTCATGACTGCTGGAAGAGGGAAAGCCATCTTTTCTCAATGGTGTGGCTGCTGGTAGGCTGCCCATGCTCTGTCCCATATCCATGCCTATGAAGGAAGCACTGAGCAGACATCAGATTCCGTTTTTTGTTTTTTTAAAGAGGGGTTCAATTCCCAGCACCCACATGGGCAGCTCATAACTGTTTGTCATTCCAGTTCCTGGAGACCTGACACCCATAGCAAAACACCAATGCACATAAAGAAAGAATAAATAAATTTGAGAGAAGAGGGTATGAAGTCAAAGAAGGAAGGTTTTTAAGGGTCCCAGAGGGAGTGGAAAAGGAAATTTGGGGTGTACATGATCAAGATACAGAATATACAAAATTTTCAAAGAATAAATAGAAGTATCCTTTTAAAATATTCTTTTAGTAGGGGCCGAGGACACAACGAGGCTCACCTTGAGAAAGAAAGGAAAACAAAAATTCACATTCTACCCTCTGAGTTAGTGTCTATCGAGAGCCCACACTATTCTCCTCTCATTTCTACCGAGGTGTCCTGGGTTTTATTGCCTCTCAAGGTCACCGACTAACCTGCCATAGCTGACCGAACACAATGCACTTCCGTCAAACGCCTGAACATCAAAGTGACAGCAATGGCATCCCCGGGGAAGGAGGAGCAGTCATGTGAACCATACCCTTCTGCAGGAAGCTGCAGTTCTGATGATGGCCACTTGGGGGAGCCAATGCTAAAGCAGAAGGTCCTGGAAGGTGACCCCCCCACACACAAATACACACATCTCCTCCACTCCATGACCCCCCACACACACACACGCTCGGGCCTAAGTCCGAGGAGATACTTCCCACCTGAGGCAGTTCTCCAAAGAAGGTCCACTTAGCTACAGGTTTGCTTTGAAAGAACAGATGTGATGGAGAGATCATCTTAAGCAACTTCCACTCAGACAAACAGCCTTGATCTGGGGTGTTTTGCACCACTCCATCGCTTAAAGATTTCTGTTTTAGTTATGGGAGGGCACTGATTATGGAGAGCATAATGTGCCCATGAGTGCAGGTACCCGTAGAAACATCAGATCCCCTGAAGCGGGAGCTACAGGCAGTGTGAGCCACCCAAGACACCCCTCTAGATCCTTGATGGTGCCTGTTGTTGTGTGTGTTTGTTTTTCAAGACAGGGTTTCTCTGCGTAGCTTTGGAGCCTATCCTGGAACTCGCTCTGTAGACCAGGCTGGCTTTGAACTCACAGAGATCCGCCTTCTTCTGCCTGCTGAGTGCTGGGATTAAAGGTGTGCGCCACCACTGCCCAGAGCTGCTGTCTTTTAAAGTGGAAACGTTTTTGGCTTTTGACAGGGGACCTCCGAGCTGAGGTGTGAAGGTGTAGGAGTTAGCTCTGTGCAGTGAGGGAGAGTGGGCAGAGGGAACCGTATTGACGAAGACCCATGGAGGAGAGTGAATGGAACACTCTGGAAGCTGGAGAGTGGCATGATCACTTGTTTGCCCGTCAGTCCATGCAACAAGGTGGCTCTGGGGCTGAAGAGATGGTTCAGGGGTTGAGAACACCGGCTAGTTTCCCAGAGGATCCACACAGAAGCTCACAAGCATCTGTAACTCCAGTTCCAGGGGTGTGGACAGCCTCTTCTGGCCCCGTGAGCACCGGGTACACATGTGTTAACACAGATATACAACACAGGCACGACACACACACAGAAAAATAAAATCTCTCTCTCTCTCTCACACACACACACAGAAAAATAAAGTATCTCTCTCTGTCTGTCTGTCTCTCTCTCACACACACACACACAGAAAAATAAAATCTCTGTCTGTCTGTCTGTCTGTCTGTCTGTCTGTCTCTCTCTCTCACACACACACACACATACACACACACACACGATGAATCCACTTGCAAGGCCCCATGCAGACCCTGGAGGTACAAACATGACACCTTCCTGAGGGGAATTCACAGCCTTTTGGAGTTGGAGAGA